CAACTCGATTTAGGGACAGATATATCAATACAAAGAAATTCATATCTTGTCCGAATTTCATGAAAAATGTAAGGCTAACCCCTTGCAATTTTTGTCGATTTTGGTCAAAAAATGAAATTGCTCCTAACTTCCTGGAAAGACTCCTCAGGGCCCCTCGAACACATTCCCACTCGCTTTAGGAACAGATATATCAATACAAAGAAATTCATATTTTGGCCAAATTTCATTAAAAATGTAATGCTAACCCCTTGCAATTTTTGTCGATTTTGGCCAAAAAATGAAATTGCTCCTAACTTCCTGGAAAGACTCCTCAGGGCCCCTCGAACACATTCCAACTCGATTTACGGACAGATATATCAATACGAAGAAATTCATATCTTGTTTGAATTTCATGAAAAAAGTAAGGCTAACCCCTTGCAATTTTTGTCGATTTTGGTCAAAAAATGAAATTGCTCCTAACTTCCTGGAAAGACTCCTCAGGGCCCCTCGAACACATTCCCACTCGCTTAAGGAACAGATATATCAATACAAAGAAATTCATATTTTGGCCAAATTTCATTAAAAATGTAAGGCTAACCCCTTGCAATTTTTGTCGATTTTGGCCAAAAAATGAAATTGCTCCTAACTTCCTGGAAAGACTCCTCAGGGCCCCTCGAACACATTCCAACTCGATTTACGGACAGATATATCAATACGAAGAAATTCATATCTTGTTTGAATTTCATGAAAAAAGTAAGGCTAACCCCTTGCAATTTTTGTCAATTTTGGTCAAAAATGAAATTGCTCCTTACTTCCTGGAAAGATTCCTCAGGGCCCCTCGAACACATTCTAACTCGATTTAGGGACAGATATATCAAAACAAAGAAATTCATATTTTGGCCAAATGTCATTAAAAATGTAAGGCTAACCCCTTGCAATTTTTGTCGATTTTGGTCAAAAAATGAAATTGCTCCTAACTACCTGTAAAGACTCTTCAGGGCCCCTCGATTTAGGGACAGACATATCAGTACAAAGAAATTTATATCTTGTCCTAATTTCATGAAAAAAAGTAAGGCTAACCCCTTGCAATTTTTGTCAATTTTGGTCAAAAATGAAATTGCTCCTAACTTCCTGGAAAGACTCCTCAGGGCCCCTCGACCACATTCCAACCCGATTGAGGGACATATATGTCAACAAAAAGAAATTCATATTTTGGCCAAATGTCTTTAAAAATGTAAGGCTAACCCCTTGCAATTTTGTCGATTTTGGTCAAAAAATGAAATTGCTCCTAACTTCCTGGAAAGACTCCTTAGGGCCCCTCGAACACATTCCAACTCGATTTAGGGACAGATATATCAATACAAAGAAATTCATATCTTGTCCAAATTTCATGAAAAAAGTAAGGCTAACCCCTTGCAATTTTTGTCAGTTTTGGTCAAAAATGAAATTGCTCCTAACTTCCTGGAAAGACTCCACAGGGCCCCTCGAACACATTCTAACTCGATTTAGGGACAGATATATCAATACAAAGAAATTCATATTTTGGCCAAATGTCATTAAAAATGTAAGGCTAACCCCTTGCAATTTTTGTCGATTTTGGTCAAAAAATGAAATTGCTCCTAACTTCCTGGAAAAATTCCTCAGGGCCCCTCGAACACATTTCCACTCGCTTTAAGGACAGATATATCAATACAAAGAAATTCATATTTTGGCCAAATGTCATTAAAATTGTAAGGCTAACCCCTTGCAATTTTTGTCGATTTTGGCCAAAAAATGAAATTGCTCCTTACTTCCTGGAAAGACTCCTCAGGGCCCCTCGAACACATTCCAACTCGATTTACGGACAGATATATCAATACAAAGAAATTCATATCTTGTTCAAATTTCATGAAAAAAGTAAGGCTAACCCCTTGCAATTTTTGTCAATTTTGGTCAAAAATGAAATTGCTCCTAACTTCCTGGAAAGACTCCTCAGGGCCCCTCGAACACATTCCAACTCGATTTAGGGACATATATATCAACAAAAAGAAATTCATATTTTGGCCAAATGTCTTTAAAAATGTAAGGCTAACCCCTTGCAATTTTTGTCGATTTTGGTCAAAAAATTAAATTGCTCCTAACTACCTGTAAAGACTCTTCAGGGCCCCTCGATTTAGGGACAGACATATCAATACAAAGAAATTTATATCTTGTCCAAATTTCATGAATAAAGTAAGGCTAACCCCTTGCAATTTTGTCGATTTTGGTCAAAAAATGACATTGCTCCTAACTTCCTGGAAAGACTCCTTAGGGCCCCTCAAACACATTCCAACTCGATTTAGGGACAGATATATCAATACAAAGAAATTCATATCTTGTCCAAATTTCATGAAAAAAGTACGGCTAACCCCTTGCAATTTTTGTCCGTTTTGGTCAAAAATGAAATTGCTCCTAACTTCCTGGAAAGACTCCTCAGGGCCCCTCGAACACATTCTAACTCGATTAAGGGACAGATATATCAATACAAAGAAATTCATATTTTGGCCAAATGTCATTAAAAATGTAAGGCTAACCCCTTGCAATTTTTGTCGATTTTGGTCAAAAAATGAAATGGCTCCTAACTTCCTGGAAAGACTCCTCAGGGCCCCTCGAACACATTCCAACTCGATTTAGGGACAGACATATCAATACAAAGAAATTCATATCTTGTCCGAATTTCATGAAAAAAGTAAGGCTAACCCCTTGCAATTTTTGTCAATTTTGGTCAAAAATGAAATTGCTCCTAACTTCCTGGAAAGACTCCTCAGGGCCCCTCGAACACATTCCAACTCGATTTAGGGACATATATATCAACAGTTCATTCAGGCTTAAAAAAAAAAAAAAAAAAAAAAAAAAAAAGTTATGTGCTAGCCAAGCATTCAGGGATCGGTCTGAGCCATAACAATGCCCCAGCCGATCCCTTAGGGCTCTTCCGGGATCTCGGCGTTCCCGGCCAATACACACTTCCTTCCCTGTCCATCCATGTAACCCAAGGGCCAGGCACCGTGTAAAAGCAAAGAGCTAAGGGAGGAACAGGGCGGCCCCTAAGCCCTGATCCTCCGAGTGGACCACATGCCCTGAACCTGTACGAAGGCGCCAACCTGGAACTCGCGGACAGTACCAGCAGCAGTGCTTACCGATTAAGCTAAGGTACTGTTGGTGATTTACGATGGGAAATTAGACATCTTATAATGACTGAATGCGTTCGTTGAAAAGCTAAAAAGACATCGACGGGATTCGAACCCGGGATTCTCGATTCATAGACGACGAATCTAACCATTAGGCCATTCGGCTTCCTTAGAATTCTGCTCAAAAAGGATTTGTTTGAATAGGCAGAGAAACATTGAACATTGTTGAGTGCATCTGTTTTATCTAGCCCCATGGACGAACAGAAGTTGATACTTCGGGCAGCAATGAGCCAACTGTTTTCATTTGTTATGTTTGGAAAAATATATACGGCAGCTTCGTTATAGTCGTAGGACTATACGTGTGCTAAACCTACTTATCGTTACGCAACAATGAACACCGTGATTATGTAGGCTTTTTTGAAAAGGCATCATCTGCGTTCAGGGGCAGACCCTGCTTTTTTGCGGGGGGGGGGGGGGTGTCCAGGCCCGTCAGATGTTTATATCTGATTGTTGTGGACAGGCGGACCGTGTCATTATTAAAATAATTCTTCTTTTTTGCGCGTTTTTTTCCATTCAATTCAATTCAACATGGTTTATTAACAAATCACGAATAGCAGCCACAGCTGAATTGCACGTGATTTACATTTAAAAAAAAGTACATTTTAAAAAAGTAAAAGGCCTACCGAGTTAAAAAACAAAATGTGACAAAAATACTAATATTAGAAAAGGTTTAAACATTGAGCATACAGATCTGACTAAAGAAAATTGTCTATATAGAGAAATACATATTATTGTTACAGATTGTGTTGCAATCAATTTATCTTACTTTAAAAAGGGGGCATTCAAATTGCGTTAAAACTTATAAAAGGCATTCAAAAAAGTTGCAGGTATTTTTTTTTATAGTATTCCTTTTAAGGCCGGGGGGGGGGGGGGGTTCGACCCCGTCTGTACCCGCGCCTGACTTCTTCTCTATTCTCAACTCCGTCACTACTATTTCAACATTATATGGACGTCTTGAGAAAAGGAATACTATTTTTTTTTACGTAAACACTAACACTAACACTGTAGTTCCGTGCGCTGTTTCCAACAGTCTTTCATTAGCTTTTAATCAAACTTTTTTCCTGGAAAAAATGTGAGCAGTACGTTCTCATCCTTTTAATTAAAAAAAAAACCCATTAAAACGTAGTGCGATGTTCATGATGCGCATCATAGAACTTCGCTGGTACACCCCACCACAGCGCCCTGCAAACAGGGCCTAGGGCGCTGGGCTGGGAAGGGCTGATGAACTTCACAGAATCTTGTGTATGAAGTGGGGATGTCTTTCTGGGTAACTTAATTCTTCATGATATCCATGGTATGTTACTATTCCTGTGTGAATTTGTTTCCGTTTTCTTCAAGTCACACATGAAGCTTGACGACGGTGATCAGACAGAAATCGGAACGCGGGGCCCACGGTCGTCCCTACACACCGATCATCAAAGCAGTTCAGTAAAATTCGCCCACGACCCATCCACTGCAATCTCCTTCGCTCCAGGGACACACAGTACATCCTCAATCAGGCCGCAAACTCGTTTCAATTATTACCTGGGTTTTTTTTCTTATCCCTATTGATAGGGACCCCTCATTTAATAATGTCAATTTTGATCAAATTGTGCCTAATATCTGTAAAAAAAAAGTGTATCATGTTTTCCCTCAGAGAAATTTGTGCAAAATTCGCTCAGAGGAGAGAGCAAGCATCAGCTCTTAGTGCAAACCAGCTATTGAAATTTGACGCGGGGGTCTTTGCCAACCAATGGTACCCGCACATGCACGCGCGAAATTCGAATATTTGGGAAGGGCTCATAGACAAATACATACAAATTCACCACGAAACCATTTTCCTTTACAGTCATTTCAGGGATTTATTATTACTTTAATCACACACTCATCACACAGGCCATGCAAGAGTGTCCAAACTAAAAAGAACAAGCTAAAAACCACAACACACACAAAAGAATTTGGAATAAATTCTAGGAAGACAATTGAGGCATATTTCGTGACAAATTATTTATAAGGCGGCTATTAATAGTTCACTTAACTTTATAGTTGTCTTCAAAGTGATCATTCCTTTTAGATAACTTCTTTTCATGACATCACAATAAATTTGTTACGTCAAATTGACTGACAGCGCAGTTGAGGAATAAACCGCAACAAACATGTACAGTATACATTTTGGTGAGCAGATTTGGGTTGAAAGCCACTAAAAATTTGACGTCATGAAATTCCGTCTATTATTTAAATCTCAATGTTTTCAAAATAAGAGTTATCAATATATTAACTTTCTGTTTTCGACCCTTTGGTGCACATGGCGTGTGCTAGCCATCGGCCAATAAACGTTATACTTGTGCATAAATCCAAATAATATGAGCAGCATAGAGCTGCAGATGTATATTAGGGTAATTTATTGGTTGGCTACGACAAAAGATTGTGCAAGTAAATGAGAACAGAACATAAAACTAAGACTTAAACAATCACATTCATGAGGTAAAGCCTTGAATTTTAGACAATTCTCCCTGTTAAAATTTGTTTTTATCGACTCAAGACGCACTGCTTGAAGTAGTTTATATTACAATTGAACAGTAAAATTTGTATTATTCATGACATTCTGGGATAAATACAGGAGCCCACATACTATAGTGAAGTTGTGGATGATTTTTTTAAATGCAGATAAAATTTTATTTTAAACATTTATTTTTGGGGCATAACAATTATTTTTGGGGGCATACATTTATTTTTGGGGTATACTTTTATTTTTGGGGGCATGTTTTCATTTCAGATTTACATATTTCGTTATATTTTTAAAATCTATAATGTTTTATGTGCAGCAAAGTTGACTAAATCTATAAAAAGAAAAATTAATAAGTATATCGCTCTTTGCAAACGATGACTGTTATAGGAACAAATGTGACATTGCATTATAGCAAATTGTGTCACCATCATGTAGGTTTTTAAGCTATAGCACATGAACACATTTGAGTGCCTAAAACTGGCAAAGTTGACCACTATCAAACCACACCATGCGAAGGCTCCTGTAAATTTCCCTTAAAAGTTTGTCAGGGCGCCACCAACTGAATTACCACAGGAATTTTCATAGAATTCCTTATGAAATGAGACAAATCCTTCAGTCGGGGTTGTATGCCAATCAGAAGTCTATCACACAACGGACACATTTCAAACGAAATTTCCAGCAAAAAATAAGATTAAAAAGACGGGAATTAACGTTATAAACAATCTATAGTCCCTTTCCACTGCAGCCATCTTAGAGGGTCTATGCTTGTTCCACATACATATTCATAAGATCTCTTGTGCATTCATTGTTACTGAATTGAAAAAGAAAAGAAAAGAAAAACCTCGAAGATGTCTGCTGCTTAAAGCAAAGTGTCTATGTCATATACAATATTACTTTTTATTAATAATTTATTCTTAAATCAGTATTTCTTAAAAAAAAGAAAAAAAAAAGAAAGAAAATAAAGTTGTAACGAGAGGAAGAATGCATTACCTAAAAACTGTTTTAAAATTCTTTTAGTTTACGCAATCAGGTACATACAGTTCTGTCTCCAGATGTCTTTTAAAACAGAAACATTCCTCATTCGACTGAAGTTCAAAAATACACGTCCTGGGAAACCCATTGTCATACAGCTGTGGAAAATTGACTTTCAGTAAAACCAAAATCACAGTGTTGAAGGAAGAGGTGACTTAAGACACAAATCAACTGATAAATATATAACAGAATTTGATAAATAAATGCCCTCATGGCAATGTGCTATCAGCTGGCTCTGGTATTAAAGTCATAAGTGCATATATTTTTTTTTCTTTGGGTGGTTATCTAACTGTGCTTCACGCATCTTTGAAAATTCAACTGCATTAATTAAGTATGCTTCACAATGGATACATGTACATGTACATGCTGCAATACAATCTTTAACACCTGTGTATAACTTTCACTTTTTCTTACAGAGCATGGGTTGCGACACTTCCACTTTGGCACGATTATTGACAGCATAATGGTTTACATTTTTGTGTACAATACCAGCAAACCCCAAACCCTGGCTGTTTTTGTACACAGGCACGGCTGATGGGTTATAACGTCAAGTTGCCTCGACTCGCCTCCCGGTGACGTCTAAACACACTAATCCCTTGTGCCTTTTGTACACACACACAAAGTCTTTGAAGTCTGTGGAGGCAGACCGTTTGTTGATCTTGAATTGACAGTTGTGCTCAGCCTATTGTACAATTTACGCTCCAGTGTACACCCTACAGTACTGAAACATAATTATGAGGTTTCGGCAAGAAAAATCGTACAAATACTGTTGAAATGACTCGTGCGCATCAGCATTTGTGGCGTTTGGCTGTATATCAGAAGTTGGCTGAAAAATTTTGCCTTTTGCGGAAATTGAAATTGTCTGCAAAAATAATCCCGGCGCAAAGTGGTTAAAAACATTATAGATATCATATGGGGATCTTGTTTAGGGGCGGGGCATTAATCAGAGGAGGGTATGGACCATGACAACAAACCAACCTGAATGATATTGAAGTTATAATCTCACTCTGTGTTAAAAAAAAAAACAACCCAGAGAGCATGACTTTGGAATACCTGGCAGAGACGTGTCCTGATTGTCTTAAAATCAAGATAAAAAATATCTGGAGAGAGGGTGTGCTTCATTCGTAGGCTTCCATCGGTGGACAGGAAGTGACAAGATTCTGGTCACCGTACACATCATCGATGCGACCCACCGACGGCCAAAACTTGGACTCCGGTCGGACAAATGGCTGACAAAGACAAAACAATCATACATTGGGGCAACTTGATTAGAAATTCAACAATTTGCATATATTTTCCACAGACTCACTTAAAGGACAGCCCCATTTACATATAACTTATCATGACCCTCCGGGGTTTTACAGATGAGAATCAGGTTGAAGTAGACCATGGGAATGAGGTAACCTCAATGAATATATACCAATCTGCAACCTTGTTCCAGATTTACGATTATATACGATTGTATTATATTTACGACACTTGTGCGTAAATGCAATTTACACCGTAAAGCTCACTGTACACACTTGTATCTTGCTGTACTGATGTACCGATGTGGTAGTATTACCTTGTACACCTTTATGAGCAATTTAAACAGCAACTTCCGAGATTTAAAATTTTGGGTTTGGGTTTCTTTAAAGGGAATCTACATCATTGGCTTTTGCTGTAATTTTCAGAAATGAACTATTTTTAGGGGTAAGTATAACAGACCAAATATTGTTACACTGACATTTTTGAAGTTTTGTGGTCGAAAATGCTGGAAAAACCAAGAAAAAAACAAAAATGTTCAAGTAGTCTGGTTCCCTGACTCCACTTAAGATGAAATTTGTAAGGTAATGGAACCAGTCTAACTGGCCTGCACCCGTTCATGAACATGTAACCAATAGCAAACAAAATTTGGACTGAAGAAAAATGGTAAATTTGGAGCAGTAGTTGAAAAATAGTTAGGTTTTTCCAACGGTGGTCGGCCGACCACCGTTGCAAATTTTTACAAAATGCCACTTTTCTTGAAAACGACTTCACACTTGGTGCCATAATTTTACAGGATGCTTTAGACTGTCATTTACCAACATCCTAGTAAGGTATTTCGTAAAAACTCAGTAGTTTTATTTTACGATGTTTGCAAATGTGGTATTTTCCCTTTAATGTTTTTTTCTTAGTCGGGTACTTGATTCCCGTACTACCCATAAATGCATACCCCTATGTGCATCTTGGCCCTGTGCTTCAAGGCATGCATGGGCACTTACCATGGGAAACGCAGCTTGCTCCCTGGTGTAGGGCCATGGCCAGTGGTTGGCCATCACGATGCTCTGGGAATGAGGAGCGTTCTTGAGTGGGCTCTGCTCCAGTGAAATCCTACCGTCCACAATCTCATCTATCTCCTCACGGATGTCTGCAAAACAAATACCATGGGAAGAAAATGTTACAATCATTGAATATAAATTGCTACGCAATGGTAAAGCTGGTTCATGCATGGTGCAAAGGTGAGAGCGAAAGCTTGGTGATGACACCACAAATAATGGCTAAGAATTTGTACACTTTGAAAATTCTGTCAAATTTTGCTGCCAAACTTGCTACACATTCACATTTGGATGTAAGTATTTGCAAGCTTGTAAAAATAAAACAATTTTTTTAAATGAGAATTACCCAAATTCCACAAGCACATAATTTACTAAACTTTCCTGAATCTTTAAGTCTTCTGTGCAGGAAATCAATGGAATTAAAAAAGCTTAGGTTTTGAACAACGTGTTTATGATTTTTGAAGCTTTATGTTCTTGGAACAGTGAAAAATGTATTGTAAGTGACACTCTCGGTCTTTAAGAATGTTTAAAGACAAAATAAGGAGAAAATAGTGTGCAGTTAATTAAATATCTGGTTTAAAACCGGTTAGGCAAAAAAAAAAAGTCTCCGGTTTCTGGTATGGAGCTTGCCCAAAAAGCGGTGCGGCAACGCGGCTTTTTTTTTTTTACCTTATTTTTTTGCTTCAAATGTCAGCTGATGACTGCAAATGGTGCCCGACTAAACTTAGTGCAAATATATGGGAGTCCAGAGAGGCCACATAAAGCTTATTCTCGATCGTAACTCCTTCTAAAAACACGTTAAAATTGTGCAGCAGCAGGATTCCAGTCAAACCAGTGAGTTTGGCGGTTTTGAGACATCATCTTTCATTGAAAAAAAAACTTTTTCATTTTGCCGACGCGCATGGCTACGGCGACGCGCGCGCATACCAGAAACCGGAGATTTGGTTTTTTGGCCTTAGCGGCCTGGTCGCTGAGAATTGAGAGGGCCAGTATCGACGACAAGGCCCCTACCCTGCTCCACCACACTGTTATTCCCATTCAAAGTCCCCTTTTTTGTCAGAAACTAACAACAAAAACTAAAAAATTGACAAAACGTCTGATGATGTTTCGTTCAACAATTTTAATCCATGTTCACCCCACTTCCATGGTGAGTGTTGCGCACATGGTTCACTCAATGTCTTATTTTCCTTATTATGGATATCATTTCAGTGGTTCTCAAGCTGCCAGTTGTAGAAGGCGTGTGGCATGTACTGCATGCACGTAAACTAGGTAAACTGTCTCAGCTATTTTTGTATAAACATTTAATGGTGGATTGACTTACATAGCATGGCATCGCAGAACCTATCCAGCTCAGCTTTATCTTCACTCTCTGTTGGCTCAACCATGAGGGTATTGGTTACCGGCCAAGACATGGTTGGCGCATGGAACCCTGGGATGTCAAGAAATAATGGCAAGAAATAAACAGGTCAACCATGAGGGTGTTGGTTACCGGCCAAGACATGGTTGGCACATGGAACCCTGGGATTTCAAGAAATAATGGCAAGAAATAAACAGGTCAACCATGAGGGTGTTGGTTACCAGACAAGACATGGTTGGCACATGGAACCCTGGGATAAGGCATAATGGCAAGGAAACACAGTGTACAGGCATACATGAGGATGTTGGTAACCGGCGTATACAAGTGAGTACCAACACCAGACGCACTTCTTCTGGTGTTGTTTGAATACTTGGGCAAGGGGTAACCAACTTTCAGAGGCAAAATTTGGATTTTAGATACAAAAAGTTTTTAGGAAACATGTAGTAATTTGACTGGATTTTTAACCCCAAAAAAAACTGTAAGTAATTAACTAAAACCTTCTGGTGGGGCACAACCTTTTATAGTAATTAATCGTATATCACTCAACAACAGATCCGAGATTTTTTGTAACTAAAGACAAACACAGCTTTGATGATACATCACACCACAATTAGGATGTGATCCACAACGGGCTTCCAGGGCTATTGCTCAGTCTCAGCATGCACGTTCCCACATAGATGTAACTGGCAAAGGACTAAAGAATAGTTCGGTTGTTGCTTAATTTATGCATGTACGTGTCAAATGGCCCATGTTAATAGACTTACCAAAGTCCTGCAACCTCTTGGCAATATCAGCTGCTTCCACTCCACACATCTGCTTGAATTCCCGCGTGTCCACGATGAACTCGTGTGCGATAAAACCTGAGCACAAAGGTCAAAGGATATTGGATAAATAAAAATAAAAATCCACATGTAATGTATCAGAACACTTTCTACCATTTATTTTTTACCATCAGCAAATTTTTATTCTTTTTAACTCTTTCAGTGCCAAACTCGTACATGTACGAGGTATATTTGTTAGTACAAAAGCGCCAACCTCGTACATGTACGAGGTAATGTTCGTAAATGTTCGTACTTACAATTGCCAAACCTCGTACATGTACGAGGTAGAGTAAATATGTTATCAAAAGGGGGTGCTCTCGCTCTTTCTAAATGGTACCATTTTCATGCATGTACGACCTGTATTTATTTTTTCATTCGAGTTCTTGCGAGAGGGCGCAGCACTAAATCTCGTATTTTCTGCAAAAAGTGCGGAATTCCCCTGTGTTCAGGCCAGTGTTTCAGGGTGTATCACTATGTTTATGACTACTTTTGACTTTCCAATATATCAAGGATATACCAGAGAGCAACAACAGCAAATTTAGTGAGTAAACCTTATTTACTTTTTTTTTTACGGAATTTCGAACAATTAACAAAAACGCTCGAAGTTGGGCACTTAAGGGTTAAACTTTTCAAATTTTGCGGACACTGAAAGAGTTAACTTTCTAAGGTCAACATTTACTTTTAAAATTGTTACAAGCTGTTTAATTTTCAGTGTGTAACTTTAAATAGTCATGAAGCTAATTAAGGCCCCGCCTGCATTCATATCTGAGATGAGGTCCGGTATCAAATCATTAATTTTATCGAGAAGAAGCTCTGCATTTGTCCCGGACATGTTTAGAGGTAATTTTTATTAGCAACTGCTTGACTCCCCAATACTGAAACGTCCTGCGGGAAGACTGCGGGGAAGTTGCTCAGAATCCTGCAACTTGCAAGCGACACAATGTCCGGATATGAGTTGAGCGAGCACTAAGCCATACTTGGTCCTTACTGGTAAGATCACTTCGTGTAAGTTTTTTATTTGTAGAGGATATGCTTTGAAGAACGGTGTCACTGAAACTCAGTGTTGTAGTTAAGTCCATCAGAAGTCTGGTCACAAGTGAGTTCACAAGTCCATTCACATCCGGTCACAATTAAGTAACAGTGGATGAACAATAACGGAAAGGAATGCCTTTGCAATCTTTCATTGGAATAGCTTATGACTTGACTTGGGACAAGATGACTAGTGGTTGACTAGTGATTGACATGTGGGACTTGTGAGGGCTTGTGATTGACTTGTGATGGACTTGTGTGAGGACTTGTGATGGACTTGTGGGGACTTGTGACGGACTTGTGATGGACTTGTGGGGACTTGTAAGGGCTTGTCGAGTCATTTATCTGAAATGACTCGAGACTTGTGAGTAGGACTCAAGTCTTGTGATGGACTTGTGACGGACTTGTGACTGACTTGTGGGGACTTGTGAGGGCTTGTGTGAGGACTTGTAACAGACTTGTGACGGACTTGTGATGGACTTGTGATGGACTTGTGATGGACATGTGATGGACATGTAATGGACATATGATGGACTTGTGGTGGACTTGTGATGGACTTGTGATGGACATGTGATGGACTTGTGATGGACTTGTGACGGACTTATGATGGACTCGACCACACCACTGCTAAAACTGGGCCTTACCCTTGTGCCCCTTGTACAGGATTTTGTATGGCCCCTCTAGTCTTTTCATCATGTAGTTGGCGTTTAAGATGGCCACTTCTGATGCCACTCGCAGACCTTGCAGCCCCATCATCTGTGAGGAAAATGTGAGATCTTGATATACAAGTTGAAAAACGGACCTTTTAATTTTCAGGACCTGCCAATTCGAATTTATTTTATCCGCTGTGAATCAAAACGATCCTGAGGAGACTGTTGTGACCACGAGCAGGCAGTTTTGTTCTGATGGCCAAGTTGTAATGGCTCGAGCCAATATCTCGACTTGAGTCCTACTCGAGTTGCATTATTCAGCTTGACTCGATTCATTTCAGGCTAATGACTCAACTAAAGTAAATGGGATGCTAGCAAATGACTCAACTAGACTTGAGTCATACAAATAGTGATTGAGTCACGGGCTAATCAACACACACATCTTTGAAACATGGGAAATAAACACGGTGACTATGGTGCTAACCAGCTACCAACTTCATGTCAAATGTGAGTAGTTGTCTTGCACTTGCAGCATACACTCAAATATATGTGGTGCCACAGACTCCTTCCTCATACTATCCATATTTTTTTCGTGCCTCCCCCCTTGGGCCATCGATATATGAGAGTCTATCAACTGATTTCTTCCCTTTCCCCCACCAGCTTTTCGAATTTGGTGGAGGGCAGGTGTCTGGGGAACAAACCAAATCTGACGCCCCACCAGACAACCGCCCCCTTTGACAAATTTCTAGACCTGCTGGTGCTGGTGGACTCTACTCACCTCAACTCAACTCAACCTTGTAAACATAATGACTCGGCTTGAATCACTGCCTTAAAATGACTCAAATTGATGTGAGTTACTGCCTTTTCATAGAATGACTCAACTCGACTTGAGCCAAAAATTGTGTCTCATCACAACACTGCCTGATGATAGGTTCGTAGAATATCTTCGCAATAACCAGACCAAGACAATGACAGTCTACCAACCTTGAGGTAGGCCCAGGAGATGGGTAGGATGGAAGTTGAGCCCCAGGGTGCTGCGCTGATGGGGCCCAGGGGTGCTGCACCGGGCTCTATGGTGCTCTGAGGAGGGGTGACTGGATTGGTGGGAAAGAATGGCGCCAGGTGCTTCTTCCTGTGGAAATTAAGGAAACGTGTCACATAAAAACATTGGGATCTATTCTTTGAAGATAGAATTCACTTGCCAACACTTAATGCATGTTTACCTAAGTGATCTAGAGGGCTCTTTTCAAGCGGATGTATCATGTAAATGTATGCAAATTTTTAAAACACAGCAATTTATGAAGGGCCTAAAATGCTGTACAAAGCAGTCATGATATTGAGCCCTGTATTCTGTGCTTTGTGAGTTACATGTAGTGGAACATTTGTGCTCTGGTTTTAAACATACAATGGTGAATCCAGCATCAGATCAGAGCAAATGAAACTTGGCCAAGACACATAGGCTAATTGGACGGCTCATGACAAAACAAAGCACTTCATCAGGCTAACAAACAATAATTGTACTTCACTCATTGGTCGTAAATTAAAAGATACAGCTTATATTGTTGATGGAGCTGATCCCCCATCTTCTTTTGGTTTGCTACAATTTCTCCTCAAATTTCTGTTGTTTTTTCCCCACGATTGTTTCCGTACCAGAATTCTCCACAAGTTTTCTTCTCAACGGTTCACAGCATGAACTTGAAACTTTGAACCAACATCAACCCCGATCCTGATTGGTGTATATTACTGTGATGTCATGATGATGTCATCAAGTACGAAGTTAGATTTTGTGATCTGATAGACCATACCTGTGGAACAATTTTGATCTCTGAAGGTAAAGTCTTACTGCAGGAGTGCAGCACTGAACATAATCTCATTACTAGCCCATTGGCTGGCCCTGGGGACAAGGGTGTCTCTGCGTGGCACTCCATGATATTCACGCCGAACCGTAGATGCTAAAATGCTTAACCCAAACACGAAGACACTCTTTCTGTATTCTGGTCCCAAAAACAACCCCCGAAATATATTTTTAGAGCAATTTAGCATTAGGTGTGTGATTACGACTGTCCGGAGTGCGAGCGTGTGAATTGACTCTGAGATGTGTGACACATGCTGGATGCGTGAGACTTGGTAGGTCTGCATATCTACAACTGAACTACACAATGTCAAATAAAATAGTTCCACGCCCCGTCAACCGGCGTTCGTCTCGAAACCAAATGCTATACATCCGATTAAGTTTGATTTCAAAAATAAGATGAACAGAAAGATCAAGAGGCAAAACCTCATATCATGAATGAGTTCTTATAAACTTCAAGCAAGCACAACAGATGGCGCTTTTTTTTACCACTTTCAAAAGTTCCAGGGGAGGACACACTGCGAGTAAAGTACGCATAACTATTTTATTCCGAGTGTGCACAAACCCCTAGCAACTTCACACGAGCATCAGGCACCAACAGTAATGCGTTTAAACGTCTGTTCCAGTGGTCTCCCCCAACTCTCTCTTTGAGGGGAAAATACTTGTGCATAAATCACTTGAATACCATTTTATTATTTCAGAGCAGCTTGATTTCACCAAAGGCATCACTATTAAACCTTTTGGGAAGCTACTCACACTCCTATGGGTCCCATTCCGGGGCCGCCCCCGCCGTGCGGAATGCAGAACGTCTTGTGAAGGTTGAGATGCGAGACATCGCCGCCGTAGTCCCCGGGCCGACAGATGCCCACCTGCGCGTTCATGTTGGCGCCGTCCACGTAGACCTGCCCGCCGCTGTCGTGGACCAGCTGGCACATGTCCCGGATGCCTTCCTCAAAGATGCCGTTGGTGGAGGGGTAGGTGATCATGGTGGCTGCTAGGTCGTCCTTGTGCGCTTCCACCTGATAAAGGTTAGAAGGGAAACCAACAGGGAATAAAGAAAAATCAAGTTACTGGGATACAATTTTTTTTTTAATGAAATCCACAAACCACAGGGCATTCAAGGTGACACCATGAACAAGGTGAAAAAAGGAAGAAAGAGGACACCACTCTCTCTCTCTTGAGTCATCCAATGCCTTGAGGCGTTGGTGGCGTATTCACGAAGTCCGTTCGCCAGCGTGCTCTGTCCCTCATTGCCGACAGTAGCTCGTTTCCCTCGAGCCCAGTGTCCTTCTCCAGGAGCATACAGTTTAGCGTAGCCATTTTGTACAGATGGCCAGGTCTGGAGAGGCCTTTCTTCGGTCGAGGTTTGGAGCAGGCTCGTCCCGATGAATTTGGAACCGGCACGACATGGGATGCAGTAGGCGCGTCTTCTGGACGCTCGAAGGGCAGAGAATCAAGGGCTTTGACCTTGGTGCTGTATGTGGACTTCATGATACTTTTCTTATAGCTAAATAAGTATGCGGTGCGCCAGGCCTGTATACGACTATTTAACCCATAGTTGGGAAATATCTTGGTGAGGTCAGTTTAAAACAGGGCCACCACGAGAAGGTCCCAAGCAACCAGAGGACACCACAATAATAATAATAATAATAATAATAATAACAGGTTCTTATACAGCGCTTTTAACTAAGATCAAAGCGCTTTACATCATTATTACCCCTGATCATTGGGCCAATTAAACATTCCAAATACCATCTCAGCTCCCTGGAGAGTATACAGCTCGAAGCTGGCATTTCGGCGCAAGGCAGCTACAATCAATCAAAATAACCATCTCTGCCCTCACAGGTACCCATTTACTCCTGGGTGGAGAGAAGCAATGAGTGACAAAGTGCCTTGCCCAAGGGCACATGCACCATCACCACAGACTGGACTCAAACCCACAACCTGCAGAATTACCCCCAGACCACAAGTTCAATGCCCCAGACCACGAGGCCACGGCACTCCACAATCTATATCTTGTATGTTGCAATGTTTTCCTTTGGGGAGCTACCAATTTTTACACTTGGTTTCCCAATTAGTGAAACAACTTTTTAAAGCGCTGTATACTCATCGTTGTGCCAGTGAAGGGCAAAACACAATATTAAACGAGAAAGGAAGAACTATGATAAACTATATTAAAGAAGTAGAAAAGCAGAAATCTGGTAAGGAGTTCAACACATTGATACATTACAATGAAAGAATCTTGGGGAAAACTTTAGCGCACCAGCTGAGGGAACACAAAGGGTCCAAAAATGAAAGAAAATTGAAAAAAAAAAAATTCTGAACCAAGTAAAACTTTTTTTTTGACAACTCAGGACACACTTGACTTCTCCCCTTTACTTTCAGATAATATATATTTGTTGGTCCTGAAACCTCACCTGTCTTTTCAGGTCTTCAAAATCTATGCTGCCATTGGCTAGAACCTTGATGGGTTTGACTGTCATGCCAGCGAGACTAGCACTCGCTGGGTTAGTTCCGTGGGCCGACATTGGAATCAAACAGACCTAAAGAGAAGAAGAAAAGAAAAACAACAACAAAACGTAGTAAATCAAATAGACTGATTGACTAAAGCCAAAGTTTCTTTGTTAAAAAGGAAAAGTTCAATGATGACAGTTTGGTGAAGACTTTGAATGCAGCTGTTACTAAAATGGGAGGCTAAGGCCAAAAAAAAAAAGTCTCCGGTTTCTGGTATGCGCGCGCGTCGCCGTAGCCATGCGCGTCGGCAAAAAGAAAATTTTTTTTTTCTTTTTTCAATGAAAGATGATGTCTCAAAACCGCCAAACTCACTGGTTTGACTGGAATCCTGCTGCTGCACAATTTTAACGTGTTTTTAGATGGGGTTATGATCGAGAATAAGCTTTATGTGGCCTCTCTGGACTCCCATATATTTGCACTAAGTTTAGTCGGGCACCATTTGCAGTCATCAGCCGACATTTGAAGCAAAAAAGTCAGGTAAAAAAAAAAAAAAAGCCGCGTCGCCGCACCACTTTTTGGACAAGCTCCATACCAGAAACCGGAGACTTTTTTTTTGGCCTAATGAACTTTCCCACTTTCCAGCTCTAGAAGAATGGAGCAAACTTCACAATCATATACATATCAGCACCTGGCACGTGTAGTGGCTTTTGAAGAGCATCCCATAATAAAGAAGACAGTACTCAATGTTCAGCTCGGTATCATAGGGTTGAATACTGGTAGCTCATAGTTGGTGCAACATCAGTAAGACGTTCCAGAAATTGTCTTGGCTCCAATCTCACTTCAGTCAATTTTTGGGCAAAACAAAACACACCAACCCCCCCCCCCCCCATTTTTCTTACATATTCTACAGGGTGACCAGAACCTTAAAATGGTGATTGTGTTTAAAATTCTGTAATTTGAAAAGTACATGAGTGATTTGACTGATTCTTGTACTAGAAGAAAGCTTATGAATTGGGCTGTCATATCCGCGATTTTGACAATGCTACATGCAGAACTTCTTTTAAACAATGGTCCCAACATTTGAGTTTCGTTTTTTTTACTCACCCTGTATGCCTCAATGTGAGGCAAAATCAAAAATATTTTTGTTTCATGACATTAAAAAGAATACAATTGGAAGATGGGCAAGTCTTTGTAACTTTTTTTAAAGACATTTTTTAGCTTGGAGTGATGATTCATTATTTTTCTTCTTTCCAATGACAAGGTAATAAGAAACACAGTTGGTTTTTACTTGATGGTTAACATACCTTTCTATGTCCCTCTCCTTTGCTGGCCAGGTAGGCCATGATAACCATCAGGCCTGTATATTCCCCCTGGGCACCACTATGAGGTGGAGAAAGGGGGGGGGGAGGGGAGAACAAAGACATGTTATCGATGAAGGACACATTGAGAATATAAACTGATGTCAATGCTTTCAAATGACTTTTCATTTTAAGTGGGGTATGAAAGAGTAGCATTGGAATTGAGGATCATATATTACAAAACGGATACTTTAGAACTTGTGAATTTGGATCAGCTTTTTTTTTGGACTGCAGGTAACTTGATGGCCCACTCTCTTATGGACAGAATTTTGTGATGTTCCACTTTAAGTTGCATTCAGCCCATGCCTGCACACCAAGTATATACATGTATAGTACATATTGGCTCACTGCGGTGTCACTCAATTATTTGCATCAGAACCGGGTACCTGAGTACCCGACCGCTGATGTCAGGAACCAGTTCCAGATTATGGGAGCGGGTACCTGTAACCAACTTTACAAATTAATTGGCTACTTCTCAGTACAATGAAAAAGAAAAGTTTTAAATGTCGGTTGTGGGGAATTTTCTATAAAAACCAGGTTACATTGAAAATCAAAACAGATTTCATGTTTATGTGCATTTTAACGTGCAACAGATGACACTCGCGAAAGCTGCAGTTTTACACCGTGAACATACAAAGCCCTTCAGACAACTTCCAGGATTTGAATTTTGTAGTTGGGTTTCTTGTACGGGTACCGGGTACCCGTGTTTTACTTCAATAGGGTATCCGGTTCCCGTCCGTAAATACACGCCACTACCTTAATTGCCCCTCCGCAAAAACATTTTACATTTAGCCAACATAGGTTGCTTCTTTTTTTCTCCATTTTTTTTAACATTCTTTATAATGATGATTCAAGTTTTGGAAATTGCTTTTTTCTCATTTTCTGGGTTATTTTTGGTGGTTTCTGTTGGTGGAAAAGTAAAAGCCTTTACCTGTTTGGTTGGAAGCAGATGTTATCGTAACCCGTAATTTCGCAGAGATCGTGTTCCAGCTCTTCTAGAAGCACCTTGTAACCCTCGGCCTGATTCAGGGGTATAAACGGATGAAGGCTGCAGAACTTGGGCCATGACAAAGGCTGAAAAATGAACGCCAAGGGATACATATTATAGAGTCATGTCAAACGTGCACTGCTTTGAATCTCGATTTCAAGATCACAGAATCCAAAAAGAGAAATGAAGAAAATATTGATACAATTCCGTAAAATCCAAGTCTCTGCGTACCGGTACGGCCGAGCACATGGTGTACAAGGTCGTTACAGTGGGAATACCTTTGTAGCTTTGTCTGTAATTGTTTTCTACTCAATAGAATGTCACATATTAGTGATGTAATCACTCATGTATCACGAAATTTCATCTTATAATAGTGATGTATCACATTCACTTTTTCAGACACTTTAAAGGTACATTGTATAGTCCATCATTTGTGATTTGTGATTTTGTTGTCTTGAAGCAACAAAAGTGCTCAAAATCTAAAGAAGGGTACTTAACAACTAACTTGATGAAGTTTCAGCTCAGCTTCAACTGTATATTTTGAGAAAAACAACATTCTTGGATCTCGATTTCAAATTAAAAGTTGCTGAATCGTGTTTTGAATTGGGCCTGAATTCAGCGTCCGAGACACGTTCTCACTAGCCGATTGCAGCTACGCAATGTCGCGCACCGATCCGATGAATTATAGCAACCACGCGCGTGTGCGCGTCGTGTCAACGCTTGCGCGCGCTTCGCCGAATAAAAAAAAAAGGAACTACCGGGTACTAACGGAAATTTCAAACGGTGCTTCTTAAGACGCACCGTTGGAAAGGCCTTCTTTTGTTGATTTCTTCAAAATGACAGCTTGCCAGAAAGAATAATTCCACATGGAGTTTTGTCCCCTTACTATCTTTCAACCAAGTTTGTTTTTCTACAATAATTACGCCAGTTACTTTTTGGATAGCTGCAAATGATGGACTCTGGCTTTAATGAGCAGCTCATTACGTCAAAATTTACGGAATTGCTCATATAAGCGAAATTCCCCACACAGTTTTGTGATAAAAAATAGGACTGTAGAATCGATTTTAAATTTACATCTCCCTGACGCGAAAAACAATAAAATAAAAGAACGTATGAAAAATTATTTCAGTACATAGTATGCTGCTATATGGCTCTCTGCACAAGTGCCCCTCAACATTAAGAAAAGGAGAGTTGGGGGAGACCACTGGGCCTGGAAGTCCATTCACTCCAACGCCCGACGCGCATGCCAAGTCGTTCGTACTTCGAAGTCCATTCATTCCAACGCCCGACGCGCATGCCAAGTCGTTCGTACTTCTCGCTATACGTGCACGAGACAGTACGCACACCTGGTGTGTCCCGTACTCCAAGAGGTCTCTCGTACTGTAAGTGATTAAATAGCGCCCTCTTATATTTGCGCACAGAGCCCAATTTGGATGCTAATCAGCCAGGCAAGCTTGCCAGTTGAACAGTTAGGATGTCTGCGCTAGTAAGCAGGAGGTTGTTGGTTCAAGTCCTACCCAAGTGAGCCTGTCCTCGAGTTCCATCGCCTGATTCCCTGGGTTCCCCCCAGAATATTCTTCCTGGGTTTTCCTCCCACCTCTAAAACTGTAATTTCTTCTCATTGTCTCCTCTCTACGGGTTCTCTTCAGGCTTGTGAGCTACAGTGCCTACGGTCCGTTTGAGGAAGTGGTTTCATAACCAGAAATAATTAATAATAATTATTTAAATAATAAGTCTACGAAGAGCAAGATTTAGAAACAAACTTTACCATCATCTGCGTGGTGCTGTTGAGTTTCATTGTACAGGAGCCTAGGGGAATCATAGAGTGGGCCAGAGACAGGTCCTTGTTCTCTAGGATCTTCATGAAGCGCACGATGCTGGTCTCTGAGTGGTACCTGGACGCAAGGTACAAGACCGTATCAATATTTTTCAATCATAAACAGCGACGATTACTACCTGTTTCCAGGTATTCTTGTTGAAATAAGCCAGTTTAGTCTTCCAACTGCACATGTGCATATCATGATGCGATCATTATACTCACTTCGGAATAACAACCCATGACGTATAGGCATGCAAACAATTAGTGCACTGAAAGTTCTTGCTCTTCAATAAAAACAATTTTCCGAACAAATTTGGACTGCACCATGTTTGACAGTATGTTTGTTTCACTAACTTTTGTGCGAACAACCTGTACATTCCATTTTCTTTCAGATTACATGATATGCAGATTGCTGATTCGGTTTCTATTGCCTCATAGCCTTGTGTACATTAATCTACTAGACTTGTGACCTGGCATCATGAATGAATCAATGGCCTCTGAGATTTCTGAGAAACTTCTGAGATTTCATAAGCTGTAGGTGGATTGGCAACAGTAATTTCTCAGTAACACATCAAAATCTACAAAGAGTCCCCAAAAGTTTTCTACATATATGCGCGTGCACTATCTTCAAGAAATTTTGGAAGTTGAAATTCCAGTAGCATTCAGCACTGACAAATCCTGGCGATAACTGCTCTTTGCCTGAAGTCAGTTTAGTGCAGTGGTACTTTCGTCCCCTTCAAAATCTATGACCCAGGTTAGAATCCCCAGCCAACATTTGGACATCAGATTTGCAGTCCCTACCTGATTCCATGGGTTTTTCCTTGAATTTTTTTGCCAGTCATTTTCCTCCCACCTCTAAAACTGAATATTTCTACATATCCTCTCCTTCCATTCTTCCCCACCCTACTAGGCTACAGTGCGTTTGTACTTTTGTATTCTTGAGTGTCATTACCACGCAGAATTACATGTAAACTAACAAATTTCAACAATTTCCCACGAGATTTTGCCGGGTGGTACTTACGTGTTGAAGACAGGATGTTGGAGGTAGGGAGTTGTGCGAGAGTGCCGGGTCTCCGTTATGGAGCCAGGGGGCTTATCCCCTGGGAAGGAGTCCGCTATATCTGCCTGCAACCAAATGCAACCAATATTAAAGTTTAGAGTACAGTGGACATCTGTGAATGAATCTAACAAAATTAGTCTCCAAGAAATCAAAATGGTCCAAATGTCACAATGAAACATGTACAGCATGTCTAAAAAAAATGCAACTTTTGCGAGCGTCATAAACGTGAAACTTTTTTTTTTTCCCCTGGAGCCCGGTGTTTATTTTGAAAATTCTCCACAAATGACATTCAAAACTTTTCTTTTCCATTGTCTGAGAAGTTACTAAGTAATTTGTAAAGTTGGTTACGGGTACCCAATCCCATAATCTGGAACTGATTCCTGACATCAGCGGTCGGGTACTCGGGTACCTGGTTCCGATGCACAACCCCAGTACACAGACGGTATAGACAGACAGATATTATCAAACAGGTATTTATGTCTTTAGGAAACAAGCGGCTAAAAACTTACAGCAGTTGTTTTGCATCCAAAGATTTCCAACAAGTCATTGAGGTCTTTCTCTTCGACTGTCTCGTCCATTGACACCCCAACCTTAAAAAGAAAACATCACAATTCAAGTATAAAATAAAATAAATTGTTATGCTTGTATATTGTGCTTTCTATCATATTGAACAATCTCAAAGTGCTTTGCAATTAATCCCCTGCTTGTCAGGCCACGAGACCATGCGGCAGCCGATATTAGTGTACATTCGGTCCTCTACCCTCCCAGGTACCCATTCATACTCTTGGATGGAGAGAGGCAATTGTAGTTAAGGGCATTACACCATGTTCCTGGCAGGGTTCAAACCACTGATCTCTATATAAAGACTGGATAGCGGATATGCATACAACATTCACACAGTAGACTTTGCATATTGACCAATTCGCCCCCGGTCTCACGAAGATGGCCGCGTATAATACGAACGTTCTACGCGTAAATACGCGCGCGTTGTATCAACAGTTTACGCGCATTTTGGTCACGTACACATATTATGATGTTCTAAAAGGGACACATTTCCGTAGTGATTATTATTTCAAAAATGCCGAAAAAGTGATTTGCGGCATTTTAAAAAGTTACCACGACGTTAGAAAAATTGTAGTAAACCTTGGTCAGTGGTGGTGGTCAAAATATAAGTCAAGTGAACCGCGATGTTACAAAAGAAATCATGCTGTCTATAAAAACGGCAACTTGTCCTTGTAGATCACCAGCCGGTCTCACCAATATGGCGTCAAATTCATTCATTGTGCGGCTCTTTATAAGCTATCCAGTCTTTACATAGAGATCAGTGGTTCGAACCCACGCACTATCGTACATGAGTCAAACATCGTTACCACTGCACCTTGGCATTCAACATTTGAAATTGCTCTCATATCCATACTTGTACAAATTCTGAAAAATATGATACTCAAAAAATTGATGATTCAAAACATAACCTATAGAGTGTATAACTGTGCTCCTTATCTTTCGCGCAACAGAATTGTGCATGTTGGCTAATAGACTTCTATTTTGTGGTGAATTACGTCGAATAATATTATAAAACATTGACTGGCGGTTATAAACTTTTCTAAAGCTTTTCTACAGCTTTTCTACATTCTTTTTATTGAACATTTCAAAATAATTTGCTGCAATAAAGGAAGACTATTCAAATATATTTCAAAATCTTTAAATATTTGTACAAATTCTGTAAATCATCTACTCCAAAATTGAAAAAAAAAAATCAGACAATTCCTAAAACTTTCTAAAAATATATAGTTTAGGTCCACCTGTCTAAATCCTAAATTAAACAAATGAACAACTGACAAATGATACCTTTAAGGCACTGATGCTGTTAAAGCTACAATATACAGGTATATAAAGAATTGTGCCTTTATGGAAGATTTCCAATTTGTGTATTACAAAGGAAAGCTCACCGTTCCATCTTCATAAAGCCTAAAGTTGATCATTTTTTCAGCTGCCCTCTGAATGACTTCGTTCCTGTCCCCTGCACATCGAATCTTGAGGGTATCAAAGAAGAACTCCCCCGTTTCAATGGTATGGTCCGTTCTTTTGATCCCTGTATACAAGTTGACAAAACCAAGAAAAATATAACGCTTCTGCAAACTGATTGGCTTAACCTCAAATATACTAATCAATAAAGTTATGGGGCCTAATGTTTCGATCCTCGCAGGATCTTTCTCAAAAGTTTTTACTAAAACATCCTGCTGGGACTGATTAAAAAGTTTAAAATTAACCAAATGCTTCCATGTATATGCAGGTATTCAAAGTTTTGTTCGGTTGACATATCAGTACAGGTATTAACATTGTATTACATTTTTATGAATTCATAAAACCATAGAGAGCTCGGGCAGTTTCAGGTGCTACAGACAGTGCCAGGCAGGGCGGTTTGGGGCGGTACAGAATACAAATGAGTTGAGGATGTGCAAATTTGTACGCTTTTACAAACTTGATTGACAAAGGATTTGTAAACTGTTTTCTTTACTCTAAAGATTTAATATGTACATGCTTTTATTTGAAGGGGTAATTTGCCTATTTATGGGCTACAAAATGTCGGCAGAATTTTTCAAACCATGTTTAGAATTTCTTTTTTTTGTAATCACAGAATTTAAACACAATTAACGACTGTTACCTTCTGCTAATATGTGTGTTGCATTGTGGACACGGGTTGCTATGTGTTTTAATTTTTCCGGCCCATGATATACAGCATACATCGCTGACATGTTAGCGAGCAAAGCCTAAAATGAAGAAAAAAAAAGAGAATGAAAATGATAAAGTTACTTGTGAATCTACTAAATATAACAGGCACATGTTAATTCAGTATAAGTTTCTGAGGAAATCTGTTAACTATTTTGGAAAAAAGTGCCTAAAAACTGCTTGTTAATATTGGCTTCTGTGACCAAGCCCTTAGAATGTCATATACTTGTTATAATAAGTGATTTGACTCCAAACAAGGTCATAGGACTTGACATTATACACCGGTGCTTTGACAAAACATTAAATTACTGGGAAACTGACACAATGGCCTTGGATGTATTTATTTAGATGGGGTGATGTAAATTTCAATATTTGGTCAACCCCTTCTGTACCAACATAATAAACTTAACAATGAATGCTTTAATAGTGGGACTTGAACCCCGGACCTCCTGATTACTAGTGCAGGTTTCTTATCATCTGAACATCTTTTTATTACATATGTGCAAGGAAAGCCTTTAGACTTGTTGAAATTGAAATTTAGAAATTGTTTAGGGTACGATAACAAGGAAACAATCTGGTACATTACCTGTGCAGTGCATATGTTACTTGTTGCTTTGTCCCTCCTGATGTGCTGCTCTCGGGTCTGTAGCGCTAGCCTGTAAGCTGGTTTATTTTGCACATCCCTGTTATGGAACACAGAAAAAGGATTGGAGTGGTAAACATTCCAGGCAATGTGGACAAATCAGAAACAGCACTGAGAGTTTGGAGTTGGTATCGGAGCCGCTTTCCCTCTTCACTGCCTTTCCATCAAAGCTAATCTTGGGTGATTTTAAAAAGTATTACTATACCTCATAAATATTCATCAGGCAACCGCGGCATTTCATTGGTCCATTCCAGCAACTCAACCATGTGAAAGTTTTTACTATCACCTCACGTCTTCGTACGCGCGCGTGACGCGCAAAAACCAGGGAGGTACTATCACACACCTGGGTTGCAACAGTTAGATTTGTTCCAGTACTGTGTTATCTCTTTACCAATGATGCATGTGCTTTACGTGCATACTGTGGAGAACACCAGTGAGGACAGTTGCATGTGCCAGTCTATTATGGCGTACATCAAAATGGTGACCGGTGGTACTTGCTTTGCAATTTTAATCGAGGAGGAAGTGGGTGAAATTTTACACAATAAAAATAAGTGTTGTGCGTGAATGTTAAAGTTATTAAATGACACAAAATTAACTTTCTATTCTGTCTGTCTCCTTAGGTTAAATTAAAATAATGTTTCACTTTATCCAAATACTGCACGATCAAAAACACGGTGGAATGGACAAATGAAAACTGCAGCTGCCTGATAAATATTTATGAGGTACAGTAAAACAAATACAAAATATTTTGCGGGGAAATAGTGAAAAAAAATGACCCCTCGGTGAGATGGTCCCAATCATCCAACACCTCGGGTCATTAGTTTTTATTTCCCGACAAACCAAGTTGTATTTGTATACTACAAACCATCCCAACTAAGCTCACGGGCATTTCCATGGCAACTCATGTTACATTTAGAGAGGGTCTTCCGTGAACTCTGTGCTGTTAATCTATAAAGTGAAAGAAATTCCCGGTAGGATGGATTTTTCTCACAGAAAATCCCTTGAAGTTAAGTGACTATTAAACTATCAAAAAAAGGCCAACAAAATTCACTTCTGTTGGATTGGCAATAAATTCATTTTATGTTACATCACTCCTATGCAAATTCCATCTTATGAATAATAAAATTATTACATGTATTGGTAACTCACTTTGCAAGAAAAGGGCAAAAATTGAAATGCCCTGCATTTGAAACATATTTGTTTGTGCCCTTACATCGTTGGGGGTGCAAGTCATACCGTACATACTATCATTTCAAATATTAACAAATCATCTTTAGCATGAAATCTCTGGAGGGATATATTTCGGTAAAACTCGCATTACAGTAATGTTACGGTAACTCATGCTACAGTAGCTCACATTACAGTTTTCTGCCCATCTTTGGTACAAGTTGTAAGACATATAAGAAACTTATAATCAAACAAAAAATAATCTTTTCAAATGAATCATATAGCTTTTTTCTTTGCCTTAAAAACAAAATCTCACAATAACACTTGCAGGGTTCGACTCTTAACTAGCCCACTGGCATTTTCACAAGCCACATGTTTTTCTCTCTTATAGAGTTATAAACAACAATGTGCATACATGTAAGGGCACATGGCAAATAGAATTTACTCGGTGCGACTCGAGCCGCCGCGGCGCAGTGCGGTGCTTATTTCCGGGCTGGGTATTTTCTCTCTACCCCCGGCGCTGCGCAGCGCTCAGACCAAACATCAGCTCATTAACTTTCGCTATTGTGCTTGTCCCACTGTTATGTTAATGAGTGAGGTCAGTGAAGAATATGTATATAGAGCCTGAAAGTTGACCCCTGGTGATGCGTTTCAGGGCCCCTCGAAAAGGAAAGTTTTTGAAATTAGTTTTGGTATATTGATTTCTTTAAAAAAATTACCCTCGGAATTTTATGGAAACTGAACAATAGCATGACGTGAAAGAGAAAAATTGTGCCAAAAATCGACCTCTCACTTCCAAAAACTTCCGTGTGGACTCGTGAAACTCGATCACCCATTCAAGCATGACAATTTATTAAATAATTTTGTGGCGGACAATGTTTTTGAACAAACTTGAAGGATTTATTTTCATTTATAAACAAATCTAAAGTGACCGTTGATAAGAACTGTATAAAACGTGATCCAAACGAGCCTGAATAAATCTACAATCCATCAGATGTAGGTAGATTAATCTTCGTGTTGTTATCATTTTCTTCTCACGCAGGTACACGATGTGAAAACAGAATCAAGAACAAGGAGACCTAGGTATGAAAATAGGTCGTAAGTAAAATTCGTTTTGACCTATTTCCAACTGATTTCTCATATATTCTGAGGCACTTGTGTCAGTGTTTTTAATAAACAGATCTTATAATTTAACCCTTTATAAAACAGTTGATAAAATTATACACAAATTGATACAGGTTTGACTTCTGAATTCAATAATTTTTTTTTTCCAATCCTTTCATCTTTGCCCTGTCCCAATATTTTTTGACTCGCCAGCTGGGCTACTTAAGGACTATAGTTTGACTAGCCCGCCGCTGTTTTGACTAGAATTTGGCTAGCGGGCTACCGCTAATTCCAAACAATGCACTTGCATTCGGCATGTAAAAACAAGGTACGCGAATAACTACAACTGTACCTAGAATAATAAATTAGAAAAAAGCACCAGTTTGTTTTGACAAAAATCAAATGAAAAGTCTTGGTGAAAGTCAAATGAAAAGTCTTGGTGTCCCATTTAATTTGATACCACATTTGAGGTCGTGATGTTTGCAGTTTTGAAGATTTCATAAATTGTCAATTTTTCAGCCATGTCCACTTTCTCATGGAATGGTCATGGAAAACGCATACTTTCATGCGGGTATCCATGATGCAACGTGGGTCCTAAGCGTACACAATCTTGCGGAAACTCATGACTTACATTGTAAACTCTCTATATTTGTCAAATCTTTACCTTGTGACCCCTACCAGCCTTCCCGGAATCTGCCGCTTCAGCTTGTCCCTGACGGCGAAGAATGCAGCGTGGGGTCCGCCGTAGCCCAGGGGAACACCAAATCGTTGGGAGTTGCCTACCGCGATGTCCACTCCGATGTCTCCGGGGGATTTGATGAGGGTCAGGGCTAACAGGTCTGTTGCACACACTGCCAATGCCTGTATTTTTAGGTAAATGAAATACATTTCTTACAGCTCTTTAGTGAGTCAAGGCTGGTTCGTATGGTACTCGGCGCAAAAGGGCTAGTTCGTACTCGTTGCTAAAGCATACACGAATGCAAATTAACCTATGTAACTCCCCAACATGATTTACTAGGAACCATACCCATTGTGGCAAATTCCAAAATCATATGGGAAACTGCACACACATATTTTTGACTTTGATTCTGGAGGTGTGCCAACCCAATGTAAAAGACTGTCAGTTTAGGGGTACAGTATATTCTGGGGAGTCAGGTTGGCGTAGCGGTACTTTGCTCGCCTTCCACCGCTGTGACTCGGGTTTCGAATCCCGCCTGGGCCAATACGTGGATTGGGTTTTCAGTCCCTGCCTGATTCCGTGGGTTTCCCCCAGAATGTTCTTCTGGGCTTTTCCTCCCACCTCTAAAACTGTAACTTCTTCTCATTGTCTTCTCTCCACAGGTTTCTTCAGGCTTGCGAGCTACAGTGCCTAGGGCGCTTTTGAGGAATCCTTGGTTTCATTACCAGAAATGATTAATAATAATAATAATAATAATAATTCTGACAGATTCCAACAAAACATGCCATTGGGGTTTGATGGTTTTGAGTTCTGTTAGGGTTAATGACGTCACGGCAAGCACACGCATTTGTGCTGAGACTTTGCAAAAATTTAACATATATTCAACTTGGAGAATTTTGCCACAAATGCGTCGTGATATCAATATGCTTTGCATTCGGATTTGTGTAAAGTATGAAGTGGCCTCAACCCATTAGTCTGAGTACCGCCCCCAAACCTCCCAGCCTATTATTCCCTTTACCCAGAGTTGTAACGAGTCACTGAATTTTCAAGGAAGTTACTTGAGTTGAGTCCATATAGGTCAAGAAGGTCGAGTCAAGTCGTTACAACTACAAGTCAATGTAAAGCAGCCTGCAATAGCCAAAGATCCCAGTTTTGCAACCACATCAACACTGACACCCAGATCATTGGATCCAACAATGGCCCATTCAACATACATAAATAAAGGGCTCCTTGAACTGTAACTTCTCTAAATGTCATCTATCCATCACTTGTACACAGTGCCCTTCGCTGTTTACACTGATAAGCCAGTCACTACAGCAACGGATTTGACATCAGAAACAGGTATGATAGAAGCCTGAGCGTTCTAATCTGCCGTTCACCTCAGGTTGCAGACCAGTAAATAAACTTGCCATAGACCTCAGTGATAGTTACGCCCACTTCCAAAAATTACCCAAAAAAAATACTCACAACTCTCCAAGGTGTTTGAGACTGACATCAAATTAAAGCGTATATCATCATCTTTCATTTTCTGTTAATTTTTGGGGGGTTAACCAATGACTTTTGGGAGAAAATTCCATCTAAAGATGATCACCCCTAAAAGTAGTCCTGAAGCCCATCGCCATTTTTAAAAAGGATGCGTACGCTCCATTGCAAAATAGAGCAATTTTAAGGCCCAATTTCATCTGAATTTCACAGAAATATGAGCTCGCAGTCCTGTTCACGGCTTTCCCCCATTCTTTTTTTTTTTTTACAAACCCTCAAGTTCAATAGCAAAAAAGAATTAAGGGCACGTCAATCGTGATTTGGCTGGCATAGGCAGTTTTGGGCCTATTTACTGGCCGGCACCCTTCACCACTTCAAAGTATAGCTGCAAACAAGGAGCATTCAAGGCCAGACATGAAAGAAGCTGCTGAACAAAGGATCCTGAACTTGCTGGCTTTTTATCACAGTACATGTGGGGGGTATCATATCGTTTGTCAACCCCCCTCCCCCACTTTTTCCCCCCTGAATAAACATTGTAGCCTATACATTTGATTCTATAGCTCAGAATAGCTGATTCAATGACTCGAAAATGATGATCTTTTGCTCAACAAATTGGTTAAAGTGGTCAGAAATTGTCTCAGATCGCACCACAGAGCATCTAGATTCCAAAAGTTTTCAGGGCCCTTAAGCAGGCCCCAAACCCCACACCGTTACGGCTTCACACTCACATTAGTTCTGATCAAACTATGTCCCCCCCCCCCACTTTTGAGTAGCGATTGACGCCTTGAGTACAAGAATTAACTCTATGAGTCACCACGCGCCTGTGTTTGAAATCTTCCTCCAGACTGTTTTTAAAGGGGCACTAGGTCCTGAAATCCCCGAAAATGTTATGTTTTGGATTGTTTACTTAGCCTATTTCAAACATCTGGTTGAAAGGAAACCAACCTTTTGTCTTACCGTTCCCGAGAAAAGATGAAAAAAAAACCCCGCTTGTTTACATCGGACATGACGGAGTACGAATACGTTTTTCGTGTCGTTCTCATGTACGCTATACACGTTGTGTGTTTTAGAGGCGGTTTAAAACTACCCACATGACGGGCTCTCAACCAATAGGAATTGGTAAACTGTCTCAGGTACATGTATTTATGAATATCTTTGTAAGGTACATGTACATGTAGGAATATCTTTTTAAGGTACATTCTGTGTGAAGTAGGTCGGTTTAGAGCCCATTGAGTACATTTGTCCTCGAGTTTCTTTTCAAAAGAGTCAATTTAGAAATATTTCTATTGGAGGCACAATCCCTGCCTATGCCTTTGTCTATGTGATCTGCAACATGAACCATGAACCATTCATCATGTTTGTCTGTCAGTTCAAAACTCACTGCGTGGGGTGATTTTGTTAAATAGCTTGAAACGTAGTATTGTAAGAAACATAATACAGCACTCTGTTGTGGATTGCATTGTCCTGCATAACACTGACTCGACTGAAACTGAGTTTGAAAAAAAAACAGGCTAAAGCTAAAAAACCCTATTTTTTTTGGGAAAAATACACAATATATTCAGTACCCCTATTAGATGTATATTGTGTCTGATATTTTCTAGCCAAGGAATATCTTCTATTCTTTTTTACTCCTTAAATCCAATAACAAAGGTATTCCCAGGCATTTTAACACTTGTATCACACAGAGTCTCTGTAATGATACTTTAATTTCATCCTCAAACACCGTCGAGCTCATTTCTCAATTTCAATTCCAAAAATGCACCAATGGTTTTCATTTAAGGTTCAGTATAATTCAAATTTGTAGTAATCTGATTCGTCTTAATTCTAGGTAAATTGTGTCTCATGTGGTGACCGGCAAATTTGTTGTTTTTGTTATTCAATTTGCCGCTCTTGTCCTTCCATTTCGTTTCTGGTAATCGGAAATGTTACAGTTTTTAGGAAATGTTTCCAATCTTTTGGACTTAATACTTTGAAGGGTTTGTCATATTCTGGTATTTGTGAAATTTGTTTTTTCTACACTCGGCGTGAGCAAGCTTATGTGGCTTATCAGGGAGCTACTGCAGTATAGTCTTTTATTTAGTTGGCCCAATGTTAACAAGGGATTTTCATCATTTCTTGATCGTTTCTTTGAATGTCTTCTCCAGGGCTCCTTTTGGTAATGCATTTCTTCTGTTATCACGACGGTAGCGCTTTGACCCGAGAGTGTTAGCAACAGCAAGATAATTGTTCTCCTTCGAAGGTATCTACCATACGGTTTCTGTCCGAGTATGATACCTTATCGTCTCGGCTCTCTGAACTCCAGCATTGACAGCCATCTTTTCAAGGATGGAGTCTCAAAGATGAGTAACAAGAAAAAGCAGAAATACCCAGAAATGTATAGCCCTTCAATGGGCTAGGAATGCAAAAATGCACTGTCTGAATTTAAATGACCAAAGCATTAAAATGAGTGACATAAAATGAATTTGCTTTTTCAATGCAACGTTGATCGCCAATCATGAGACACATTTACCCAAATTAGGGTGACTTAGAAAGCTACAAAATTGAATTAAACTGAACCTGAAATGAAATCCATCGGTGGCTTTTTGAAATTGAAATTGAGAATTGAGCTCCACAATGTTCGGGGAATTTGTGTGATATAAACTGTGTTAAAATAACTGGGGAAACCTATACATAAAAAAGATGCTCTGAAGGGAATTCAGTGTTATCATCTTCAGGTAGAGAATACAGATTCCGTGTAAAGTAGGTAAGTTTAGAGAAGTTTACATATGGTTGTCAAAGAGTTTCTTTTCAATACAGTTACTTAACCCCTTAAGGACGGGGTGTAATGGGGACATTCCTCCACACTTACACCGCGTTCCCACTTGAATTTGGAAAAGGTGGATCAAGATCCGGCATTTTGGTGTGATCGTTATCTTACCGCAACGAAACCGCAAGTCGCGTTTCCACTTATGCTTGATCCACCTTTTCAAATGGAAATGTTGAGTCCGAAAGGTCACCGAGTTCGGAATTAGGCGCGCTCTGTGGAGAGTGCCAGTAGTGTTGCATGCTAGGCCAGGATGGGTCAGTTTTTTAACAGCGCTATGAATTCACCGACAAAAATTACGCGAATTCACTGACATAAATCACGGATCTGTACGTACGTAGAGGAGCCGTACGTAAATTAACTGGTGAAATCGAACAGCGCCGCTCATTGTGTCACATCTCGGCAGAAACCAATGCATCGATAAGGGATTCCCTGTTTCTGAAGCTTCTCATTGGTTAACAATGGTCACATGATGTGTACTATGACATCATTTTCCAATTTTCTATAATCAATACTACAGATTTGTCACCTCCAGACGCACCGCGTTATCGGCACTATTCTCATTGCGTATTCGTAAGCTTTTCCATGATTCTGTGCCAAATTGAAGTGTTTTGGTGAGTGCGGACTCAGAGTCATTTATGGATGGAAAAATAAGTAAAATTTCACGAATAAAAAAGGTTTAGAAATGGAAGAATACGCAACGAAAATTGTAAAAGGCCTAGTGTAGTTTCAGGATATACCACGTGCATGCGCGGTGCGGTGCTAGCCCGTAGTTCAGCGGTTGTTTATTGTGCATGTTGTGTATGTTGGAAATTTTCACATGAGCTACACGCCTGAAAACGTGTTTCTTCGTTCTTAAGACCGCAACATTTTCGCACCACTCGTGCACCGTGCGGATGTTGACAGGTCAAATTGCCGGATCAGATCCACCTTTTGCGTTCCCATCTGATCGTGATCCGCCAATTGCCGGATCTGATCCACCAATTGGGGGATCTGTATCCTGGTCCAGAGGTGGATCAGAAAAGGTGGATCTGATCCTGATCCATCTTATAACGGTTAGCGTTCCCACTACACATAATTGCTGGATCTGATCCACCAATTGGGGGATCTGATCCGGCAATTTGGCAAAAGGTGGATCAGATCCCCCAATTGGTGGATCAAGTGGGAACTGGGTCATAGAGCAAGTGGCCCGCATGACTGCACAGCCTTTGTGTGGTAGCGGGACTGCACAAAAGCAGCAGCTGTGTAACTACCCACTAGCTGTGTGCCACAGCCTACCACAGCTGGCAACTGCATTCCAATGAGGATTAGCGCATGGGGTTAAGAAATACTTTTACACCGCGTTCCCACTTGAATTGGAAAAAGGTGGATCAAGATCCAGCATTTTGGTGTGATCGTTATCTTACCGCAACGAAACCGCAAGTCGCGTTTCCACTTATGCTTGATCCACCTTTTCGTACGGAAATGTTGGGTCCGAAAGGTCACTGAGTTCGGAATTACGCGCGCTCTGTGGGAGTGCCATTGTTGCATGGTTGCATGCTAGGCCAGGATGGGTCAGTTTTCAAATAGCACTATCAGAATTCACCGACAAAAATTACGCGAATTCACCTACATAAATCACGGATCCGTAGAGGATCCGTGCGTGCATAAATTAACAGGTGAAATCCAACAAAGCCGCTCATTGTGTGACATCACGGCAGAAACCAATGCATCGATAAGGGATTCCCTGGTTCTGAAGCTTCTCATTGGTTAGAAACGGTCACAAGATGTACTACGACATCAATTTCCAATTTTCTATAATCAATACTTCAGATTTGTCACCTCCGTACGTACCGCGTTATCAGCACTATTCTCATCGCATACTCGTAAGCTTTTCCATGATTATGTGCCAAAGTGAAGTCTTTTGGTGAGTGCGGACTCAGAGTCATTTATGGATGGAAAAATAAGTAAAATTTCAGGAATAAAAAAGGTTTAGTAATGGACGAACACGCAACAAAAATAAGGCCTATAGTGTGTAGTTTAGGATACCACGTGCGCTTTTGCATGCGCGGTGCTAGCCCGTAGTTCAGCGGTTGTTTATTGTGCATGTTGTATACGCTGGAAATGTTCACATGAGCTACACGCCTGAAAACGTGTTTCTTCGTTCATGGGACCGCAACATTTTCGCGCCACTCGTGCACCGGGCGGATGTTAACAGGTCAAATTGCCGGATCAGATCCACCTTTTGCGTTCCCATCTGATCGTGATCCGGCAATTGCCGGATCTGATCCACCAATTGGGGGATCTGTATCCTGGTCCAGAGGTGGATCAGAAAAGGTGGATCTGATCCTGATCCACCTTATAACGGTTAGCGTTCCCACTACACACAATTGCCGGATCTGATCCACCAATTGGGGGATCTGATCGGCAATTTGGCAAAAGGTGGATCAGATCCCCCAATTGGTGGATCAAGTGGGAACGGGGTCTTATTGGAGGCATAATTTGAGGCATAATCCCTTTGGATAAATGTCTGCGTCTGCAACATGAGCTGTAAATCATGTTTGTCTGTCAGCTCACAACTCACTGCGTGGGGTGATTTTGTTAAATAGCTTGAAACGTAGTATTGTTGGGAACATAATACCGTACTCTGTTGTGGATTGCATTGATGTCTTGCTTACTCAATTGTATCTGAGTCTAAAAAAGGCTAAAGTAAAAAAAAAAAAAAGTGCACAAGATATTCAGCAGGGCCGTAGCCAGCCTGGTGGAAAGCCACACGTCTACTTTTCCCCCACGACTGACATTCGAGGCCCCCCCCCATTCAGTACTCTGATTAGATGTTTCTGTACATATATCTGATATTTTCTAGCCAAGGAATGTCTTCTATTTTATTCCTTAAATCCGTAACTTTCAAATGGTGTTTTTTTTGGGGTGGATTCATAGATTTTGGGTTGATTCCCACAGTTAAATTCTGAATCAGCATGATGCACATTGCTTATTTTTTTAATTCTACTGTATTCAGCAAGGTGCCTATGTAGAAAAGAAAACTTGGACAAATTTTTGGTATTTTTCAAAGACAGATAGCCGTTGTTTAAATATCACTCTTCATTGTCTGCAAACATTTTCTTTGTTTTTGCAAAAGTGCAAAAGCTGCTGGTGACAAAGAGTTCTCCATCGCAAGTCCCAAAGAATGGAACAGAATCTCATACCATACCCGAGACTCACCATCAATTCAGACTTATAAAAAAGCTCTCAAAACTCATGTGTTTTACAAATCCCCATAGTAATTTGTACACTTCCAGGTGACTGATCTCCTTGTTTATTTTTTTCATTTCCTTTGTGCGGCGCTTTGATCTTGAGACTTGTACATTAAACGCGCTATTTAAGTACACACCTGTATCATTAACAGATGACAGAAGAGTGTGTGAATTTGGTTGATTGAGTAGATGGAATTCATTATTATGATGGCACTCTCGACATACTCAATCCGTATTTGCCGTACATTTATTTAAGAAAACTCCCTGGGCGAACTATCTGCAGGGAAAGTACCGGGAGTAAGAGAATTCAAAAGACAACAAAAATTTAACGAACGTTAAAAACAAACAAACAAGGAAACAAACATTAGAAGGAAATTACCCCATGGCTGTGAGCTGCCTCGACTAAGTCATGGTAGTCATCGATGTTTCCGTCCGTATCTGGATACTGGAATAAAACTCCAGCTATATCACCGCGGCTGAAATCGGCTTGATCACGGTCCACTATCTCAACCTCTATGCCTAGTGGTCTACACAAAATACGAGATTGAAAGAATGATCAGGGCAGCGGATTACTGTGGGGGTTTCATCTGTAGGGGAGCGTAGGGGCATCATTTTGTAGGTACGGGGGGGGGGGGGGGGGAAAACGTAGGGCAATCGAAAGGTTTTTAATAATAAAAAGGTAAATTTGGCTTTAAGTCCTCAAATTTAGATGTGTGGTGGGCGGGCATGGGGGGGGGGGGACAGCTTGCCCCAATGCTCCCCCTCTCATGTACATTTAGGCTACAGTATCAAAGAGTAAAAAAAAAGAGTAAAGTCTGTGACGAGCCAATGTGGCTCATCAGGCCAGCATTTATCTCCAGTTTTAGTAGCACATAAAATGACAGAGAATATTTCTATTCCCCCTGGATGGGATGTTAGTGCATCGCAGGTTGCTCCCCAGCTACCGGTAATGCCGTTATCCATTTATACTCCTGGTTGGAGAGAGGCAAGTGGGAGTGAAGTGGCTTGCCCAAGGACACAACACATGGCCAGCAGCTGGATTCAAACCCCTGACCCTCTGTTCGTGAGTCACGAATCCTAACCACTAGGCCATGCACACTCCGCCGTACAGCATCAAGGGTGCTCTTAAATTACATGTACAGTATAACTACGTCACAAGACTTGGTCAATCTGCAAGACCCTCGATCCAAGACTCTGTATTATTTAAGAAACCTGAAACACACAGTACCTGGCTCTTGTCTGGACAATGGCTACGGTCTGAGGGTGGCATTTCCTGTCGACGAAAAATTTCATTCTTTTTGTGTGCCTGCGGAATGAAATAAAAGAGAGATCTGTGAGAAGCATGTGAACTGCAGCAGAACCAGTAAAATGTGTTCCTCTTCAGGAGTCCTCCTAAATGTGAATGGAGCAGACTGATCTTCACGATGATCAGACATATTGATTTGTTAAAGAGGTTGTGGAATGTTCGAAGACATTTCCGTCATTTTTCGGGTATATGTAGCCTAAGGTGTGATGAAATAAAAACGACTATTGTTTCTGTCATAAAATGAGTACAAAAGGTACTTTTGAGAGCTGTTTTTCAAGTCCTGTCATGCCTGTTTCGACCCAAACGTGCAATTTGTGTAAAAGTCGTCGTTGCGGGCAGCAAACAAAACACAGTAAATCTTGACGTAATAAACAGGACTCCCGATGTAGAGTAGCATAAACGAGTCCTGTTTATTACGTCACGATTTACTGTGTTTTGTTTGCTGCCCGCAACGACGACTTTTACACAAATTGCACATTTGGGTCTAAACAGGACCTGAAAAACAGCTCTCAAAAGTACCCTTTGTACTCATTTCATGACAGAAACAATAGTCGTTTTTATTTCATCACATCTTAGGCTACATATACCCAAAAATTGACGGAAATGTCTTCGAGCATTCCACAACCTCTTTAAACTCTGTGAGTTTTTCTCTGACCTCCCTCTTTACAACCCAAAAGAAAAACTCACACGGTGTTACCTCCACGGTGTGCATTTCCAAATGCAGAGCTTAGCCCTTTCGCAATCTACACCGTATTGATTTAGAGAAGCGTATTGTCAAGCCAACTTTCTTTGTAATCATTTGAAAACAAACTTGAGGTGTAATGAGATACAAACACAACATGTTTTAGTTTTGGGAAGCAATGCAAGGGTACATGTTAAATTGGTGTTGGCGGATTTGAACTACCCCTCTGTTTTACCTCAGGAGTTAGTCAAAATCAGTCTATACACCGAAATAATTTCTGTCAAACGATGGTCAAAACTTCATCACAAATCTTCCAGAACTTGGCTCCCTGGTGTACGTTATTATGATGCATGCAGCTATTGGTAACCAGTGATGCAACCGTGCCCCTGGCTCTGGTTTCTAATTAGAGTACATTGTATGTGCATATGGGCTCCATGCGCCAATGAAAGAGGGCCCCTTTTACCTAGCATTACGACATCCCATGGGCGGGACATTTCGCTGGTTGACGCGCACCGTTCCTTGTGACGCACGTACACCAGGGGATTCAGTTCAATGTACTATGTACACGCAGTGCTAGTGGTGGCCGTGCGTCGCGGCAAAATTGCAGTCAGGCAAGATAGCTCGGTTGGTCACCCCCAACTGTTCTTTCTTTGCTGGTGAGGGGGTACTTGTGAACGGAGCAGATAGTCCACCCATCCTGCGTTCGAGTGAAGTTAGTCGTACTAAAGTTCACCATAATCCTCACTCCAACTGGCTCTATACTATACTTTATAGCATAAATATAATAATAATGTGGTGCTTATATAGCGCTTTATACCAAAGGTCTCAAAGCGCTTCTCAATCATTACCCCTGTTCATCAGGCCATAAAACCAGTTTTCGCAGCAGCTCAAGATCAGCGCATTCTAGTCTCTACCTTCAAAGGCACCCATTTAAACTCCTGGGTGGAGAGAGGCAATTGTAGTAAAGTGTCTTGCCCAAGAACACAGGCACCATGTTCCCCATCAGGGTTTTAACCCGCGTACCATGGCACCTGAGTCGAACACCGTAACCATGGACTACAGAGCTCCACAGCCCTCCAGCAACATGCCAGCTGCTGATTCTTTGTCCTGGTTGGCTAAAATACTGTGATGAGTTCCACAAACTATAATATGTACCTGCCGCACAGGGTCATAGCTTCGGCTGCAGCCGTCCCCTCATCCAGAAGAGATGAGTTGGCGATATCTAGCCCTGTCATGTCTGCCACCATGGTCTGATAGTTCAAAAGGTTCTGGAGCCTTCCCTGGGCAATCTCCGGTTGGTATGGGGTATACTGGGTTGTCCTGAAAACCATATCCAGAAAAAAAACCCAGTTAACTTATTAATATATATTCATAAATACCTCAGACAGTTTAGCCATTCCTATTGGTCGAGAGCCCGTCACGTGGCCGGTCTTAAACGGATGATAAAGACATGGCTAGCTGGTCTTAAACACTTTTCCAGTGTCACATAAAATGTGGACTCCTAAAAAATCCAGTGCCTCTTACCGTTTCATTGGTTGAGCGTTCACAATCCTCACGTAGGCATGCGCAACACTACCAGTGAGTCAGAATTTTATAGTTCTAAATTCAAAACGCAACGCCCCAGGTGCGTTCTGCGCGACATCGCGCAGAACGTGCTACGCGCGCGTCAATCTCCATAAAAGGGTTGTTTACATATTACTCGCCAGCTGAACACTCCATTATTTTGCTAGAGGGATGTTTCAAAAAGCTGGAGTGAACTTGTTGATCAAAATCGGGATTTTTTTTAACGAATTCCTTGATTTTTTTTTACCGAAAAGGTATTTATGAATGGGAATAAATATGTGCTCGGTCGGTATTAATCACTCTGTTTAAGACTGCTTAGAGTCTGGGTGCTGATAATTACCCTCGCCTCCGGCTCGGGTAATTATCAGCACCCAGACTCTAAGCAGTCTTAAACAGAGTGATTAAAACCTCTCGAGCACACATTTATTCCCTGAATAATCAGTGTCAATGGCGAACCATAAATGACCCTCCCCCCACCCAAGGTGGTGGCTCCCTGAAAACCAATAAATTAAAATCCTAGAATGCAAGCAACTCGATCCTCCAAGCACCCCGAAGCATTGAACTATGTCTATCCCCACCCCATGCAGTTATCACTTGGCTTGCAAGTTCTCAGTAAACATTGTTGAATAACAGTTTTTTTTTAATGTTAATTTCACCTATCATCTTTGGTTCAGCTGGATAGGCAGAGTATGCAGAAATGATGTATTTTTTTGGACAGTATAATCAAGCCAAGGAGTGGCATCATCGGGGTACAATTTTCAGAGTTTTATTTTGTAAGGAGGCACTCTTTGGGTTTTTAACATGAAAAACCTTATATTTGCCCATTCCAATTTCTGATCTAAGGGGCAGGTGCACTACCCCCCCCCCCCCTTCGGGGGGCCGGGGGGGGGGGGGGGGGGGGGGACTACTATGCACTAGAGCCGAGTGGGTGGGGGCAGCAGTACCCCTTTCCACTGGACCAAGACTGTCTTTGTTGAAATGATCCAGGGTATTACGCTAAGTTTGCAGACTCTGAATCTATAGACCATGTCCATCACGCGATGTCATGCCTGTTGGCTGGCATTTACAAGCAACACAGCTCAGTACCCAATCATCCTTAACATGTTTTTGTCCCCTATGGTAGACAGTGCTTTCATAACAATGTTCCCACATTCCAAGTGATAAATAACAGTGTGTTTTTTGGGTGGCTTTTTCCAGTGACAGGTGATATGTGATGCACGTTTTAAAGCTTTAGTCCATCATTTGTAATTAGTGCATTTTGTTCGTTTGAAGCAACAAAAGTGTTCAAAATCTAATGAAGGATACTGAGCAACTAACCTGATGAAGTTTCAGCTAAGCTTCAGCTGTACATTCCGAGAAAAGCAGCATTCTATGATCTCAATTTCAAATCAAAAGTTACTGAATCATGTTTTGAATTGTTTTGAATTGCAGCTATACGCGGCGTCGCGCACTGATCCGGCGAATTATAACAACCGCGCGCGCGTGTGCGTCGTTCCAATGCTTGTGCGCGCTGCGCCGAATAACAAAACGAACTACTAATTTAAATTTTCCTACGGTGCTTCTTAAGAATCACCGTTGGAAATGCCTTCTTTCGTTGATTTCTTCAAAATGACAGCTTCCCAGAAAGAATAATTTCACAGGGAGTTTAGTTCCCTTACTATCTTTCAACCAAGTTTGTTTTTCAACAGTAATTACGCCAGTTACTTTTCGGATGGCTGCAAATGATGGACTATAGCTTAAGCACGTTTTAAACAAGTGTGACATGTACAAACATGTATGGTGTACATTATTTGTAAATAGTACTGTGTGAACTCCTTATGAATTTTCATTTTTTGGGCGGCCATAAATACATCATTCAAATTCTCTCACCAGCCAGGATTTTCCAAGATGTTTCGTTGAATCGTTGTGGGTACCCAGCAATTGTAGTATCCCATGCCGATGTAACTACGCCATAACTGGTTCTGACCGGCTATCTCTTGCAGTCTACTGATGATTTCTGGCTCACCTATGGGACAAAAAAACATTAAAATCGCAGATTGAAGAAAAGAAATCATGACGTTAATAATGTTCAAGGGGAATTTTTTTTTTTTGGGGGGGGAGGGGGTTTAGTAATAGGCTTCTCCCATGTTAATACAAATGAATCCTTCTTGCCTGTCAACCACACAATGGGCATTAATTGACCAATAAGATATGGTAGCTATTTCTACACATTTCTCCATAGTCACCACCAGGCTAACGAAGAGGTCAGTCTTTTTTAACCGTTTGACCATGGATGGATATGCACCAGTCTAGTCTTAGGCCTCAAATTGATATCACTTGTCTTCCCTCTTAGGTACAAAATATACAAGAAAAGTCTCCTTTAACCCTAATCACCCCAACTCCATCAAAATCCATTCACCATTTTGGTGGATTTTGGGGGACTTGGTCCAGAAGGCCTGGCGTGACTATAATATTGATGGAGTATGATGAACTTGGGCCTAATGGCCTGAAGCAGTACTAGGGGTATCACAGACAGGGCGCTGGAGTGCTCTGAAACATGCAAAACTAAATCAGGCCCACTTTACTCACAGTTTAGCCAGCAAATTTCTCTAAAAATTCCACTTGGCAAAAGAAAAGGTTCTCAGTATTTCACTACCCAAGTTTGCAGGCTCAATTCAATTTTAAAAAGAGACTTTTCTTCAACATTTTGCACATGAGAGGGAAGTCAAGTGATTTCAAAATGGGGCTAAACACTTAAGACTGGTACATGTCCAACCATGGTCCAACCATTTGAAAAGACTGACCTCTTCATTCAGTGTCAATAGTCTGGTGGCTCGACTATGGAGAAATGTGAAGTAAATTGAGACTAGTTCCCGCTTCATGCCACATGTTTCTTAAATTCTTTTGGCATAGTTGATTGATGCAGTACTGAAGAGGTGTTGGACTGGTTGTTTTAGGTGCCAGTCTATTTTCTTGTTTTGTATGTTTTCAATACCTTAAGTTTTGGGACTGTCATACACAGTATTGAGAGTCCCAAATTTTCGGGCTAGGGGTATCCGATTGATTTTGCCTAGCTTCCTGTACTGCTATTGTGATAAAAGCCATGTTTAGCAAGTCCATGAATGTCAACCAGTGCGTCTGTGGTGGATTCCAGTATGTCATGTACAGTTTTGTATTGGAAACACAGTGATTGATGGATGTTGATAGACTTGGTCCAGTTCCTAGTAAAAGACGCTTGGGAGTTAGGGTTAAAAGTTGAATCAAGACTTCAAACTTGGTCGGCGAAATACTGAGGACCTTGTCTTTGCCACTTGAAATCTTTGGAGACTTATGTTAGCCTAAGAGTGAGTTAAGTTGGCCAGAGGCACTGGAGATATTTATTATCTTGAAAAAGAGCCCCCGGCCCCATGAAAAAAAAAAAAAAAAAAATTCAAATCAAAACTCACACATTGGCTTGTCAAGATCTAAAGGCTTCTGGATTCTGATGCTGGATGGCACTGTCTGCTCAATTAGACCTTCCAAACTCTGCAAACAGAATGGGATAATCGATACACACAATGTATTAAATGGACTTAAACCTTATGCAACTCCATGGATTATTAAAGTTGTTTTCCCTATGCTATTTTTGAGTTTCATCCGGGAAAAAAGATTCCTTTTCTTAACTTTTTTTCCAGCGATACAAAAGTAAGTCACTTCTGAATGAGGCATCGACCGAAAAAAATCAGCCCATGTTTGAATTATTACTGTTGGACAATAATTCCATTCTTGTGGGTAATGGTTAGGCTGGTCTCGCCCAACAATCGGTATCCGGTACCAGTTCTCGGAAAATGGATCTGTTTTTAAGCCCCAAACAAAAATCTCTTGTCAACACTAGGGTTGGGACCAGTTGAAACCAGTTGAAGAAACCACAGCGGCACCAAAATGAACCCGTGCCCCAGACGCAGTCGTCGAGTGTGTTAAACAGAGCTACATTGTACTGAAGCATTCGGGTTGGACTGGAACTGGTAGTTATGAATGCGACTGATAATGATATCGGCTTACGTTAAAATCGCAATGCATGATTTTACAATACCATAACGACAGCAGTTGGAAATAGCGTAACAGCTGCAGTACTCCAGTAGCACTGTAGTAGCAGTATGGACTTAACGATAGCCACTATGCAACATGTTTACCTGAATCTGTAGGCTAGCTAATTTGGAGATGAGAAAAGCACAGGAAAAAAGAGACTGCCTTTTGTTTATCGCAGTGGCTATCGTTACGGCAGCCGTAACGCATTTCCCATTTTCTATCGTTATGGTACTGCAACTGCGCAAGCGCGATGACATGGCCGATCGAACCAAGAAGCTGGCCCTTCCTGCGTCGCGGGGGCCGGGGATCTGTGCGCCCGGCCGGGGCATACACCACAGGTGGCCATGCAATACGTACACGTACATGTATGTACAGTACACATATACCTCCCTGGCCACATATACCTCCCTGGCCACATATACCTCCCTGTATGTAAGAAGCTCCCACACGGTGAAATCAGCCCAAAAAAGGGTCCCTAACAAAGTCGTCAGCGACGCCTTGAAATACTACGAGGTCGACTTCGCGTGCGTGCATGGCGGCAGAAGAGCTTTATTTAAACAATTCATTTTTTTGTCTTGATTATACCTTATCGTTTCGGTTTGCGGTAACACCATGTGGTAATAACTACTGCTTAGAAGCTATTAGTTCTGAAAAGAACTTGTCCTGCTTATTATCAACTTTGCTAAGTAGTTTTTTTGTTCTGTTAAGAACAGTCCTGCTGTAAGTTCTAAACGAACTTGTCTTTGGTCTCAACGTTTCAACTAGCCTGCTCTAGTCATCGTCAGGAGACTATTGATTATACCTTGCCGTGTTATCTCAATGTCCCAAGATACCAGGACAAGTGACTAGTAAATATCATTTGGTTAAATATTTTGATGTCAACATTATGATAATTATTTTAGGACTGTTTTCTAAACTTACCTTGCCATGCCGTTTCATGCCCGAGATGCTGTACAGACGAATAATACCTAATTTATTTTCATTTGTGTTTATTTTAACTACCTCAACTCTCTAGGGTATGTGCAAACTTTGATTAAATTTAATGGATCGAGGACTGTGAGGGCTAATTAATGATTTTTTGGAGTTATTTTCGGTGTTGTTTACAAACCAATATTCTACATTTAACAATATTGTTTAGAGCTCTTGCTTTCGTGGATAGTCCGAGTCAATTTGTTAAAAAGAATATGCATTACATGTGAAACTAGAATTGGAAAGAGTACCATATCCGGCCATCACTTAGACCTCGTGCACAAAGTCAATGGGCCATGACAGAAAAAGTCAAGGTATTCCCCCCCCCCCAAAAAAAAAACCCATGAGAAAGTCAACAAATATTGGGAAGAGGGTTTGGCACAATTGCAGAATACCCCGCCACTCAATCTATCCACCTCGTAGCCGGCTACGGAGTCACGGTTGATTGCCCTCAATAAACCTTCTCAGGGTGTATGTACTATGCGTCATGCTTCACTGCACTCCCACTCCGTATCCGCGTAGCCGCCAACAGGGTAGTTGGTTTGGACTTAGAATTTTTTCATCAACTCCCATTCCTTTTGTGTTGCTTCGTTCTCAAATAATGGAACCCGATTCAGTATCCGTGTCACGCCCCAACTATCGCATCGGTCCCAACTATAGTTGGGACTGTCCCAACTATAGTGCGGCAGTTGGGTCGGCCCAACTATAGTTAGGACTGGAGTTGCGCCGGATGCTTCATGCTTGATAGATCTTGTTGGATTAAATTTTCCGCGGCGCTGGCACCGTGTATTCGTCGTGCATGCACGCCGCAAGGCTGGCCGGTCACGTGGTACTGCCTAGTTGGATGAGTTGTCCAGCTGCTGGGTTTTATTGTCCAGCAACATTTTGCAAAATTCAAAGATTGCCATGGCCGGCCAACTATAGATGGGCCCCACCCATAGCTAATGTCAAAGGTCCCAAGTAAAGTCGGACAGTATGTAACAGAGCTGTAGGGAATGTTCTATAGTCGTCGTACAACAATGTAAACTATAGTTGGGACACCGCAAAATAAAAAGATCGGAGTGGCCCAACTATAGATGGGCCAGCCCAACAGTGGAACTTACAGTTGGGACCATCCCAACTATAGTTGGGACAGGCCCAACTATAGTTGGGCCAGCCCAACTGTGGAACTACAGTTGGGACAGGCCCAACTATAGTTGGGACAGGCCCAACTATAGTTGGGACCGATGCGATAGTTGGGGCGTGACATCCGCGTAGCTGGCAATGGACTTGAATTGTTTATTATCCAGTGATTCCAACCGTGTAGCCAGAGATTTTAGGGGTGTATTTCCGAATGGTGGGGTATTCTGCAATTACTCCGAGGGTTTATAAGTCTACATAAAAAATGACTTTTTGGTTCTTTGGGCAATTATTTTTCTAGAATTTCAACGTTGTAAGATCTTGGATTTTTTTCAACACTGCCATCGACAAAATAGAAATCATCATGCCAGCCGGCTGCATCGCCTACTCCTAGAACTATGAGGCTACGTGGAGCCTCATAGTTCTAGGAGTATGCATCGCCAGCTTCGTGGTTCGATCGGCCATGTCATCTCGCTTGCACAGTGCCGTAACTATAGAAAATGGGAAATGGTTACGGCCGGCCGGAAGCGTCAGCTTCGTGGTTCGATCTGACATGTCATTGCGCTTGCGCAATTGCAGTGCCGTAACGACAGAAAATGGGAAATGCGTTACGGCTGCCGTAACGATAGCCACTGCGTTTGTTTATACGTACCTCGGCTCCGATAAAAGAGAGCATCTCACTAATGTCCGATTCATTTGGCCCGATATGGCGATCGGGAAAATAATCATGTCTCTTGTAAACTCTGTCGAGTTTCCGCGACTCGTTCTCTGTTGACTGGGCACGGTATTGTTGAGAGCAACACACTCCAATTTGTTGTACCCATTTTGTTTGGTGTGTATTCGTAGAACCCGGTATACAGGTCGAGGGTAAAACAGTCTTCGACACAACACTGGAGCTGGAGAACTGCTTCGCGAGTGTCGTCCTCTTCTCCGCAAAAGCGCGGACTTGGCTGAGCCGCCCGAATCGATACATGTTTCAGAGTCTAAAATCTCACGGCCTGCTCCGTCAGTTTGTGAATGTCGAACTGCAGTTCTGCTTTGCCTCTGATGATGATGGAACAACTGAACAAATGAACATGAAGTTCCGTTTCAAATCACTAGCTTTTGATAAAAGAAATGTCTATAGACGACGTTCAAGGTTATACTCAGTCACGGTTAGCAGTAGCAGCTAACTAGCGCGAAGCGGTTATGGTAAAAACACATCATGGCGTGCATGTGACGCATGTTGTTTTCGCTCGGCCTCGATCATCCAAAATGCCATCTGATTGGAAAAGTACTAGGTCACATTCAACCTTGGACTCAGATAATATCTGCGAACACCGGAATGAGATTGTCAGCCCTGAGAATGAACAAAATACACAAACGTCATCAACTGGTAGCCGGCTATAATAATGCGTTGAGTCTCGATTTGAAACCAGTTTTTATTAGGTAAACATTACGTCACGACACACCCCCATTCGATAACCAATCAAAAACCGTTATATTTTGATGTCTCATTTAGTTGTCGTCGCCGCTTGACGGCGCACTGCCGAAAACTAGTAGTTTGCGGTTTGAAACTACTCCATTTTTCTTAATAAACTGTTCAGAGCACGTGGTTAAACTTGGCTGATCAAATTTACAATTTCGTCACTGAATAAATGACTGCGCCCCATTCGCCGCGCCAAATCACCACCCCGAAGGACTGGCAATAATCCATCCATTTCTGAAAATACCCTTTAAACAATAATTATTAATATTAGAGAAAAAGAGTGAAGATGACTATTTTATATTCTATTTTAATCCCCTTGTGAAAATAATGTGAATAAATCGGTAATAAAAAAGCGCCTCTGCCCTATACCCTCCGCCGCGTTTACTTGCAACACAGTGCCTGGCCCGAGTCGGCCGGTGCCCGCTTTGACATTTTTTTGTGGGTCCACCCTTGGCCTTGCGTGACGCAAGATGCTGGCGCCCTCTGCCCCCCACCTCAAATAATGGCTACGCCACTGTGCATGTGAACATGATTGTTGGAGTTGGAAAGTGTTTTTTCATCCATATTGACCTGTTCCAAACCTGATTTAAAATAAACAGTTCTACAAGTTCCAACATATCACAACGAACTGCTCAGTAAAAAAAAATCGCTTACAAAGTACATAGGCGCAGCGGGGGTGGGGGGGGGGGGGGGGGGGGGCTGGTAAGGGTGCTTTTTACCCCCAAATATTTGAAAAGACTGCCCTTTTCCATTCAAATGCCCATTTTCCCCAGCACTTAATTACTCCCCTCCCCCCCCCCCCAAAAGAAAAATTTGTAAAGAGTGCATTTCTTTAAGTGCCTATTTCCTGAACTATAGTGCCTTTTTTGGCCATCGGCCGTTACGGGTGCTTTTTATACCGTTAGTGGGCATAATCGTCGGTTTTTGGACAGATGGTACCATGCAGCCCAGGCCCCCCCCCCCCCCCCCCCCCCCCGTTTACATCCTCTTTATATTTTTGTTATGGGGAGCAAAATGTGTCGTATATAAAAATCCATTCTTCGATAAGCAATTAAATCCACAGAACATAAGTAAGTCGAACTGAAAAACGAAAGGTGAACAATTTTTTTCAAGAGTAGTAGTTTCAGGAGTAGATTGCAAGACTGGTAATCCTTCCAGGAAAATAACAAGTTTAAATGTCACACTATATCAAACCATAATTATTAATTAACGAAATATTTGCAACGTTTACAGACAAAAACATCCAAAACGAAAGATAACTTTTGTCCAATGGACTTATAATGGCCGTACGTGTTTGGAGGATTAGCCAGCCAGATCTCGAATAAAGCCTGAAAAATGATCCTCTAAAAAATCTCCTCTACGCGTCCACGTGAAACAAAAATCTGTCTTCCATGAACATAAATATATCACCTTATCTTTTTTTGTATAGCCGTTTAAAATATTTTGGCAGAACATACTAGAAATAATTTAAGATGAATACCGGTCTAATTTTGGAAGAACATACATGCACAATGACTTGCAAAATACCCCTCCTCATAAGAAGTGCAAGCGCCGAGTGACGTAGCAATTTTTGATTGCATCACTCATTCATAGAATCATATAAATACGCTATGCGCACGCACGCGTGCTACGTAGTACATATCCGATCCAACACCGGCCGGCTTGTCGCACACATCGTAAACATTTGCCATATGCTGAAAAAAACATCAATTTCCTGCCAAAGTCTTCAACTAATTCAGAGCATACAAGTAGATCGGACTTAAGTAATACAATCTCATCAACGTTACACGCCAGCCATGATGAACGGACTTGATTCTAACGGGGAAAATTCGACTGGGACGAAGACCACGTTCCCCGGGTTTGCCACGGCCGCGATCCACGCCGGCCAGGACCCGGAGCAATGGGCCTCGCACGCCGTCACCCCGCTGATTTGTATGTCGACGACATTCAAGCAGTCTGCACCAGGAGAATTGAAAGCGGTAGGTTTATGGTTCATCATGCATATGATGGAGCAATGAAGCCTTGCTCCGTGGTTTCATGTGGTTGTGTTTTATTGTACCTTTTTTTTAAGTTAATTGTCTTAATTTTAGTTAATTATCACTCTTTCATTTATAAATCAGTGTTACTTTTTGAACTGTTTTAATGATCATTCCTGTTGAACAATTAATCCTCCTGTTTGTTCAATTTGTGCTCAATAACCCAATCCAACTGTCCATAGTATTGGTTACCTGCTAAATCCAACAGAGTCCAACTTGGCATTATTTACCAGCACCCAACAGAATCGACTATGCATTTTTTCAGTTGCCTGTTGAATCCAACAGAATCCAACCATATTCCCTTTAAGTTTTTGTTACCTGCTGAATCCAACATACATGTATGTATTCAACAGGATACACAAGGTCTTTACTGGTCATTCCAACAGGATCTAACGGAAATGTAAAACAGTTGGATCATGTATTGAGCAGGGTGAGGGTTGTCAAGGGACGGGCTTCCGCTTACCTACTAAAGGAAAAACTCCTCTTCACTTCATTTCTCATCTTCCAAATATATCCCCTCTTTCTACCTTAGCTCTTCACAAGAACCTCAATTTTCTAATGCTTCTACAATGTTAAGCATTTTATAAACTTGTACAAGAATTTGCCCTCCTGGTTTTGGCACATTGTTATTAGGGCCTGTGAGGCCTGCTGGGACTCGAACCCCCCCCCCCCCAATTTCAACTTACTTTCAATTGACATTTTGCTTCATTATCAACCACCAAGCCTGCTGGAATGGGCATCCATACTTTTGAATCACGTTAAAAAAAGACACCCAGGTTACCGTACCTCAATCTAAGAAATTCAACGTTACAGTATGAAAAAGTTAGCTGGAGTGGGACTTGAATGTTTTTACTCGGGGAACACCATACCAACACTCTACCAAGCAAGCTGTCTTGATCGTTGTCTCCCACTTTTTCAATATCGTGGCTTCTGGGTAGCATCCCAAGAACAAAAAAACATTGGCAATTAACACGTATAGACTGGAAAGCTCAATTGAAATTGAAAATAAAAAAATGCTGGTAGTGGTACAACGTTTCTTGTACATTCAAATCCTGTTTGATTTTAACCTGGTAAGTTTCCCACTGTGGTGCTTAGCATGACCATTTTCAGCAAACACAGGCTATATACATTTTACATTTACTTTCAAATGTAGCTTACGAAATAAGTTGCAAGAGAAGTAGGCCTAATTTATGTACGTATCTTGCAGTGACTTGAATCAAGGATGGGAAAGTCATCCCCTATTTTTTTTTCTTTCCATTCTAATGGGTTCATTCAATCTTTGTGAAAAGAAGTGTCCAGGGGACCAAATCATATACAAAGGGCTAGACAAGGCCAGGTTTTCACAATAGCTATTAGACATGTAGATTTCACTTGTAAGTGTGATAGGACTATACGGTACTTGTTTAAATACGCTTATTGCTTAGCGTGGGACAAGGCTTTGCTGGATTATCATTGGCTGCATCCAATGTAGGCCTTTATGTACTTGGCTACAGCTGGTACATGTAGTAACACAGGAATGCGTCCATGTAAATGGATCACCATGTACTCAGCCTACTGGTACATTTAGCCACAGGTGTTTCAGACAAAAATGAGTAAGCCTACAGTACATGCACAGTATTCATAGTGACAGTGCGGAGCGACAAAGGCCATCATCATAATGTAACCTTGGCTGGCCCTGGGGATGAGGATGTCTCTTTTGCTTGATGATGTTGTTGGGGGTTGTTTTTGCCACCACAACCAGAAACATGTTTGATTGAACTACCACTGTCATTCATATGCAGTTCTACCACACCTTGCGGCGCTATACGATCTTTGCGCAGAACCGAAGATACCAAAACGCTTTTACCCAGACACGAAAAACAACACCAAAATTGTTTTTAGAAAAATTCAGTGTGAGGCAGGTGATTGCGATTGTCCGGCATGTGATTGTGTGAATTGACTACGAGGCATGTGACATAGTCGGAGGCATGACACTTGGTTGGTCTGATGCATCTAACCTAGAGTGATACTGCACTGCACGTAAAACAGTCTCTGCAACTTATTTTTCGTTGATCTTTCCAACTTTTTTTTAATCCATCGTGCACATTTTCAACACTGTAGTGTAGGCCTGTCACGCCCCAACTATCGCATCGGTCCCAACTATAGTTGGGCCTGTCCTAACTATAGTTGGGCCTGTCCCAACTGTAGTTCCACAGTTGGGCTGGCCCAACTATAGTTGGGCCTGTCCCAACTATAGTTGGGACGGTCCCAACTGTAAGTTCCACTGTTGGGCTGGCCCATCTATAGTTGGGGCACTCCGATCTTTTTATTTTGCGGTGTCCCAACTATAGTTTACATTGATGTACAACTGTAAAACGTTCCCTACAGCTCTGATACACGTCTGACTTTACTGGGGACCACTGAAATTAGTTATTGATGGGGCGAATCTATAGTTGGGCCACTCCAATCTTTTTATTTTGCGGTCCCAACTATAGTGTACATTGTTGTAAGAAACATTCCCTACAACTCTAATACACATCTGACTTTACTTGGGACCAATGAAATTATCTATGGGTGGGGACCATCTGTAGTTGGGCCACCGCAATATTTTTATTTGGCGGTCCCAACTATAGTTTACATAATTGATGTACGACGACTATAAAACATTCCCTACAGCTCTGTCCGACTTTACTTGGGACCTTTGACATTAGCTATGGGTGGGGCCCATCTATAGTTGGCCGGCCATGGCAATCTTTGAATTTTGCAAAATGTTGCTGGACAATCAACCCAGCAGCTGGACAACTCATCCAACTAGGCAGTACCACGTGACCGGCCAGCCTTGCGGCATGCATGCACGACGAATACACGGTGCCAGCGCCGCGGAACATTTAATCCAACAAGATCTATCAAGCATAAAGCATCCGGCGCAACTCCAGTCGTAACTATAGTTGGGCCGACCCAACTGCCGCACTATAGTTGGGACAGTCCCAACTATAGTTGGGACCGATGCGATAGTTGGGGCGTGACAGGCCTACCCCATAAATTTGTAATGCTAATAATAACTACATATATACAAACACTGGGATGCAGAGTTTTGCAACGCTTGTATTTGAATGAATTTTTCTAACTAGGCCTTCTAACACCATGTTTAAAGCTATATATTTGTCAAGCTTTACACACAGACTGAGACAAGCAGATGTTATATAAGTTGGCTGTGCTATTGCCAAGTGTGGCCTTTATTATTACAAGTATAAATGGTCAGTGTAGTGGTCTTGCAATGTTGCAGTGTCAGCAAGCTGACGTGGACAGTGGTCTGTTACTTAATGTGTAGACAAGTGACATTAGCTGGGGTTACACGTTGCAACAGCAGCACATCAACACAGGCCTATCCCTTCCTTATAATATTTTCCCTTTCTGCCATGTCTATGGTTCGACACTGTGAACATAAATGCATGTACCTCAATTATGAATGCATGACCTGTACAAGACGAGATACTGGCAACATGGGGGTGCCTACCCGGTACTTCAGCTGTGTTTGTGCAGCCACTTGAAAATAGGCATTGTGTGGGTGTTGTGCGGGTGTTGTGCAGTGTTCCTGTTTCTTATTGGCTGAAGCATAATGGGACACTTCCAAAATGGAACATGGGGGTGATCATACAAACACTACATTGAATGTCCAGAATGCTTGTTACGAAATGTGCACGTACACACGTTTATTGACTTGTATGTGTGTGCCCATCCCATGTGTACAAGTGTACAAACCAAACTGTCATTTGTTATTTAAATTTTGATTTTTGCACATCAAAAGATAACCTTGGTGTCAGGCACAGTCCTGAAAAACCTTTGACTGGAAATTGAATATATAGCTTCACTGGGGTGCCAGTACATGTACTTGTCCATAGATACTGTATAAAAGTGATAAAGTATTCTGCAAAATTGATCATATTCATAAAAAAACACATAAATTAGAAATCCCACATTTACCATGTTAACACTTATTTGTAACATTCATGCGTTCATGTACTCGAGCAATCCAAACCAACATCTACTGCTTAAATACATGCAGCTTCAGATTCTCAAAAGGTTATAAAATCTAATCTACATGGCTATAGCTGCTATAGTATTAGTAGCGGAAACAAATTACTAGCAACAAACAACGGGGGGGGGGGGGGATAATTTTAGTAGACCAATAACAGAGTACGAATAAATATAAAGGACCTTTTTATTTCTAAATGTTTAAAGTTAAGCGATGAACAAGAACATTCCGGTTCATGTTTCAACAAAAGAAAATATTTAGATAAACGATAGGCAATAAACGATAAAGTCAGATGTTCATCTTTTTGGGAAGCAGACTACAAATTGATGTTTGACATTGTAAATCAGGAATAATGTGAAAACTATGAACCATTATAGAGCACTGGTCATAGAAAAAAAATTGGATTCTAGATGCTAGCCTGTGGTGCGATCTGAGGCAATTTCTGACCACTTTAACCAAATTGTTTTTTAGGAAAAAATGGTGGTGTACACGGTGACTGCTCTATGTTCCGACACCCCTATGTTCCGACAACCTAGATTGTGTTACTCCCGGTTAGGGTTAGGGTTAGGGTTAGGAATAGGAATATGTGCAGTCGGAACATAGGGGTGTCGGAACATAGAGGTGTAACCGTGTACACAGTGCCTGCCTTCTTTGCGACAAAAAAAAGAAAATTGGTTTCGTTGGGATGGCCCCCGTTGGCCTTCCCCTTGCTCCCCCCCCCCAGATCCGCCTTTGATGGCATAGTGTCTTGTTACTGGTACATAAACTTGAACTACATGTATGTATTTTTGACTGGAGATCCAAATTTGACTTAACTGGGTTTTGTCTCAGATTTACTCAGACTACTCCCTACCACTGATCCCTGACACAATTTCCAGTTCTAGAAAAAGAAAAATAGAATTCATACTGGGATCTTTATGAACTTTTCTCTGGCAGGGATTTGAATACAGTCGAGGTGGCAACCCTACCAGAAAAGCCCTGGAAGAGTGCATCGCAGCAATAGATGGTGGCAAATATGGTAAGTCAAAAAACTACACATGTACAATGTACACACACATTCTGATGAAGTTAAAAAAAAAAAAATTCACAAGTTTCTGACTACATCAATTCTTTACCTATCTTACATACGGTACATTCCAAGGACTTGGTCATGGGAAATCCATAAACATGAAAATGTCTTACATTTGAGAAAAAACATTTAATACCTCTGTTTGTTTACTACTGCAGCAGCAGTGTTTTGCCTGTCTGTTGTGTGTAAGCATGGAATTTTGAGCCAGGCTGTCAATAAAAGACTGGCTCTGCACAAAATGTGTGAGACAATCCTCAGTGTGATCTGGCCCCATGCTGAGAAATTTTCATAGAGCACCTAGTGCATACATGTTTGAAGAATGATTTGGGAAAAAAAAGAATATCGTTTTTAAGTAGACTGATGACTCACAAGGAATGGCGGGTCCAGAACGGATGTTACTGGCGGGGGGTGGATAGAAGGGGGCAGAAGGGCTCTCTGAAGTGAAAAATGACCTTATTTGGAACATCTTGGTCAACGCGGGGGGAGGGGGGGGGGCACCCCCTCTCAGTGATTCCTGTGAAATGTACTCTTCTTTTTTGGCCTCAGATCAGCTGATTTCATCCTCCCATGCGTGCCATTAAAAAATAGAAAAACACTGTACAAATAAGTCTTGGAAAGATTTGAATTTCCTCTTTTGTTGTGACTTCCCAGTTGCATGCCTGTGTACATGTATACATATGCTTTGTATCTTTCTAGCTGACTCATGGACTGACTCCCTGACTGCCACTTGCGATTCAGGCAATGCTTTGACATGTACCGTACATTTATAGGATTAACTCGTAACATTAATTCAGGAATGGGCTAAATACGGCCTATGGGCTCCGTTCGCTGACAAAAGATGGCACATTGTTTACCGCTTTTGAGAAACCCTTGGACGGGACACCACGTGTGCATACTGTACTGGTTCGCGCGTGAAGTACATAACCAGAATTTTATATAATTTTATATATTTAACCAGAATGTGCACAAAGCTAAGCCGTAGTGTCTTTGCGCGTGAGCGTCAGTTGTCGTCGGCATGCGAATACGTTCGAATTTAACTTGCGATGGTCTAGCCAGACTTATCCCCGCTCCCAATAATTTAGGATCATTCGAAATATAGTTACGCAGTTGATGGTCTGGGAACCAGTCTATATGTAGGGCTCCCCCAACTCTCCTTTTCTGGCCATTGATGGGGTACTTGTGCACGGAGCCCATTGTTCCGAACAGATGCATGAAAAGACTTCCAGTGAATAGCTATTTCAAATCAATTGAATAGAATTTTGTGGGATCTGGAAACCAGCTCTACATTCCTTGTCTTGGTTGTTCTCTCCTCACAAACTAGGGTTGGCGTTCGGTTCTGGTCTTGCGGCGACGACCGCCATCTGCCAGATGCTTAAGACTGGTGACAGTCTGGTGTGCATGGACGACCTGTACGGTGGCACCAACCGATTCTTCAACCGCATTCTGATCAATGGCGGGGTGAAAATCAAAATGGTGGATGCTTGCAATATGGCATTGGTAGAGGCTGCAATTGATTCTAGCACAAAGGTACAAATTTTTATTTATTTATTTATTTATTTCATGTTAGTTTACCAGGGTAGCCCCCCATCAGTTGTCAATGAACTGTTCTCCCTAGGGGCCCAGGATTGCATAAAAACATGATATAATAACAACAAAAATTACAAATAACACAAATCCACTATGATTATGAATGAATGCACAATTGTAAAATAACAACTGATGGAAACAAACTGTATTCATTTGTAACAAAATCAAGGTATAAAGGAATTTTTTTGAGTAAAAAATGCCTGTCATTGCTGACTTGTAATTCGTTTGATTTTCGCCTCTCTTTATGCACCTTAAACTAAAATGGACAGCCTAAACGACCTCAACAGACAAATGATTCTATACCAGCAGATTATGTGTTACCTTGGGAATAGCAGTCCCAGAATTTTATCAAGAAAGTAAGTACCGGTAGTAGTAAAGTCTGAAACAAGCCAATATGGCCCATCAAGCTGGGGTTTATCCCAAGTTTGCGTGACTGAGAATGAAATGACTGAGAATATGTCTGTTTTCCCCTGGATGGGATGCCAGTCCATCGCAAGTTACTCACCAGCTAATGCCAGTACCCATTTAAATACTCCTTGGTGGAGGGAGGCAAGTAGGGGTGACATTTATGGCACGATATGGGACAGAGGGAACCCCCCTCTTTTGTGTTGGTCATTGTGTTTATACCAGAATCTCAGGAATTCTTTTGAGATATCGAGGGGGGATGTGTGAGGTAACAATAGTCTAGGGTTTGCAAAGGGTATAGGGAGATGGGGGGGGGGGTACCCCTCCGTCCCATATTGTGCTGGGTATAAGGGGTGAAGTGGCTTGCCCAAGGACAAACATATGGTCAGCGGGTGGATTCGAACCCCTGACCCTCTGATCACGAGTCACAAACCCTTACTACTACATGTAGACCACATGCAGTCCCCCCAAGAAACCTTCCACGAAAATGAGAGGATTGTTTTCCACTCATTTTTATGCCATTGCAAGATTGTGGAGACTGTATTTCTCCTGCTCCCTTTCCCTGTAGATGATCTGGATCGAGACACCAACCAATCCAACCCTGAAGCTGGTCGACATCGAGGCAATTTGCAATGTAGCACATCGTCATGACATCATCGTGGTGGTGGACAACACCTTTGCTTCGTCTTACTTCCAGGTAAAACTTTTTGGAATTGTTTCAGGCTCTCTACAGGGTGAGTAAAAAAACAAAAACCACCAAATGGCACCCCCCTTTTTTGTTAAGAAGTTCTGCATGTAATGCTTTCCAGATCTAGGATGTGAAAGCCCGATTAATAAGCTTTCTTTCAGTACAAGAATCATTCAAATCACTCATGTACAATATGTACGTTTTGAGTTACGGAGTTTTGAACACTGTAGTTTTAAAATTTTAAGGCATGTGATATTTCAGTAAAATGAAACCATGTCGAAATATGAAAACGATATCAGAATAATCCCTTAAGACTCTGGGTAGCCAAGTAGAAGGCAGGGCAAGACTATAAACCCTTGACATTGTAAATCATATTGTTTTAACTTTGGAAGCTGAAGCTATTTAAAGAAAGGTTACGATAACTGCATGATCATGGTTATGAGAGTGCTCAGATGTGTTTTTTTGATATGTAAATTGTTTTTGCTTGCTGAAATATCGCTTACTTTTTTTAAAAGACCAGACAGAGTTCAATATTTAATGTTAATTACCTCCGAAACAATTTGGTTTGCGTGTTATTGATTTCTGAAAACAATTATTCATGAAACCTGATAATCTGTCATCCTGTGCAGCAGCAGGAGTTGATTGTTCCAATAAAACCTATATTTGCGTAATCGTTTTGTAAACTTTTATTATCGGAGCATGCTATTGCATCAGCTCAGCTTTGCGTACTGTGTTTTTTTAGTGGACCAAATTTGGTGGGAATTTGTCTGATTTTGTGAAAAGGATAACATCCTGCCATTGGTTAATGAATAACCATTCCACTGGCCAGTGGAATGGTACGATTGAGTGTGGTCATTATGGCAACTGTAATTTTTTATCAGTAGTCCAGCTTTGTTTTGAGAAGGTGCACTTTTGAAAACATATGGTAGAATACTACTGACGCATGGAAACAATAGTTTCTTGGGGAGGGGGGGTTTCAGAATGCAGCTTTGATGAGCATAAGCAAAATGCATGAAATTTATTTTCAATAATTTAGAACACAGTATTTCCTAATGTGAGGATCAAGTATCTAATAAATAATGCGAAAAAATGTTTGTTTTTGTTTTCTTACTTGAAGACAAAAGACAACAAGACACAAGAATGGTGTTAGTATATAGTCTCCCAAAACCCTTCTCTTTAATTTTTTTTTATAATAAAAAAAAATTATGACCACAAAACAATGTACATTTTAAAATTGATGTATGGTGATATCTGAAAGGTTTTGTAGATCAGTTTACATACATTGACTGGATCATACCTTGTACCTTTTAAAAAGTACTTCTGATTAAGTATAGGGAGTAAAAGTACTTCTAGACAAGTATAGGGAGCAGAATTTGATCATTGATCAATCTGTGTTCATGTTACTATTGTGCAGCGCCCCCTAGATTTTGGAGCGGACATCGTGCTTCACTCTGCGACCAAGTATGCCAACGGACACAGTGATGTCGTCATGGGGCTCATCAGCATGAAACGCGACGATCTGAGGGACAGGTTGCACTTCTTACAGTACGGTGAGTGCAGTTGATCCGCAACCAATAGATTATTTTGGACTTGGCCATAAGCCTTGCCCGTTCTGCACCATACTGTTCCAGCCATGCATGCCATGTTTTAGTGCATGAATGTCAGACAACCATTTGGTTGTGTAGTCACAGCTGTGATAAGTCAAAACATTATGGGATAGGGCTCAAAGGCATGTAGTATCATTTTAAATGCAAACACTCAATAATGAAACTGCCAAAATATGAAATATCCGACTTGACTGTAAGTAAATAATCGTATGAAACATCGTGTGAAATTGTTGAGCATATGGTATGCTGTCATTCGCAAGAAAAGAGGAATTTTGTATCAGTACTAACGATGGTTAGGGCCTAACCATCACTGACAACAAACAGTTTTCTTCAATACTACATACGTTAAGTGGCTGTGAGGCAGCTGTTGGCTTATGCTAGGAAACGTTCGGTATATGTATGTACATGTATTACTTTTCCCACGACTGAGACAGCACTCAGACACTCCCTGTGACTTACGCACAACAGATTCCGTGAGCTGCACTTTGAAGGTTGAAAACTGAACAATGGTTTTTTTGGGTGTTTTTCCAGCACCAATGGACACAAAACATTGAACAGCTCGGTGGAACGCTGTCTGCTATGAATTGATCGCCCATAAATCGGTCCATTTCATGAAATTACAACAATCTTACATTTTGTAAATGATCCTACCGGTACATGTACATGCTTATTGATTGGTCTGTTACATGTGCTTCTATCCCTAACTTTTGCACACTACAGCGTGTCCCAAAAAAAATGTCCCTCTCATAGACCACAAAATAATTACTAAAATCAAGTTTTATACTCAATTAAGTTTACAGATTTAGAAAGCCCACTTTATTTTGTAGTTCCTGTGAAAATTTCAAAGGTCTCGCTTCATTGGTTTTGAATACACAGGCTTTCATGTAACAGCAGTGCTTTCTGGCCCATTCCAAGTTTGATAAAAAGAAATGCACACTACAGACATACCTTATTCCATGCTTCACTTTAAATTCAACAACTCTGTTCTTGTTTTTGTTATTGAGTAACTAAAGTCAAGTTCATTTACTTTTTAAAATGAAAACGAATCAAAGTTCAGTTCCACTGGTCATGTTTGCTTTCACAGGGTGTGTTCCACTTATGGTTTGTCCTTCAATGTCCAGCTTGTAAACCTTTATTGTCCCGCTGCACGTCCTTCCACCTGCAAACTTGGAATGGGCTGAAAAGCACTGCTGTTACATAATAGACTGTGTATTCAAAACCAATGAAGCGAGACCAATGAAATTTTCACAAAAGTTACAAAATTAAATGGGCTTTCTAAATCTGAACACTAAATTGAGAATAATACTTGATTTTGGAATTAATTAAGCAGTCTATCAGAGGGACATTTTTTTGGGGACACGCTGTACAATGTACATTTACTCACATGTAAACAGAGACATAACAACATGTAGAGGTGTTAACCGTTAAAAATTATCCTGCATCCTTCACAGTCAGCAAAACAGTTTAGTAGAGGCATGTCAGATGGTGTACAGTCCAGTCCTGAACCACATCATATAGTGTTGTTTGATGACAGCTATAGAGGCCTTAAAATACTAAAATAAAAAAGAAAATTAAAGGCAGTAGAGATGTTGATCATGTTGGAGTGCTGTGGCCTCTTGGTTAAGGGCACTGGATTCGTGGTCTGTGGGTAAAGCTGCGGGTTGTGGGTTGGAGTCCAGCCGGGGTCATGGTGGGTGTGCCCTTGAGCAAGGCACTTTGTCACTCATTGCTTCTCTCCACCCAGGAGTAAATGGGTACCTGTGAGGGCAGAGATGGTTATTGTTGATTGAATAAGCTTGCTTGCGCCTAACAGGCAGCATTCAGCTGTATACTCCCCAGGGAGCTGAGATGGTATTTGGAATGTTTAATTGGCCCAGTGATCAGGGGTAATAATAATACTGTACCGGTATGCGCTGTGATTTAGTTTACTAATAAGAGCGTTCTTAAATGCCGATTATTATTATTATTATTATTATTATTATGTTGGGTTTATATTTTCTTTCATAGCTTCTGGAGGCATCCCGTCCCCCTTCGACTGTTTCCTGGTGAACCGTGGCCTCAAGACGTTGCATGTGCGCATGCGGCAGCACGAGAAGAATGCGTTTGCTGTCGCCACGGCACTGGAGGCCAACCCACGGGTAACAAGGGTCACTTACCCAGGTGAGTTAAATTGTACTACAGCAATAGTGAATCATGATGAATCAGCAAATTTGATGAAGTGTTTTCTGTTGCAGTACTCAGAGTGATTTGTCTATCAGGACAGTTTTCTTCGTCAATCGTAGTACATCAAAAATTACATTGCAAAAAGTACTGACTCTGCATGATTTACAATTATTAGGGCAAAAATTCAATACAATGCCTAGTCGAGTCAGTCTCAAGTCCTGTCACAAGTCAAGTCACAAGTCAATTCACATGTAGCAGAAGATAAACAATACCAAAGAAACGCCTTTGTCACATTGCACATGAATAGCTCGTGACTTGACTTAAAGCTACAGTCCATCATTTGTAATTTGTGCATTTTGTTCGTTTGAAGCAACAAAAGAGTTCAAAATGTAATGAAGGATACTGAGCAACTAACCTGATGAAGTTTCAGCTAAGCTTCAGCTGTACATTCCGAGAAAAACAGCATTCTAAGATCTCAATTTCAAATCAAAAGTTACTGAATCATGTTTTGAATTGTTTTGAATTGCAGCTATACGCGACGTCGCGCACTGATCCGACGAATTATAACAACCACGCGCGCGTGTGCGTCGTTCCAATACTTGTGCGCGCTGCGCTGAATAACAAAACAAACTACTAATTTAAATTTTCCTACGGTGCTTCTTAAGAATCACCATTGGAAATGCCTTCTTTCGTTGATTACTTCAAAATGACAGCTTCCCAGAAAGAAAAATTTCACAGGGAGTTTAGTTCCCTTACTATCTTTCAACCAAGTTTGTTTTTCAACAATAATTACGCCAGTTACTTTTCGGATGGCTGCAAATGATGGACTATAGCTTTAGGACTGGAGGACTTGCGATGGACTTGACTATTAACCCTGTGACTGACTTGCGATTGGCTTGTGTGAATTAGACCGCACTACAACTCTGAAAGCCATGTCAAATATCAGATAAAATATGATTTTCAGAGCCCCTTTTTTTCTGTACTTGCCTCTCCAACAAAAATATGAACAAAATCTGCAGGTCTGAAGTCCCATCCCCAGCACGAGCTTGCCAAGAAGCAGATGAGAGGCTTTAGTGGAATGGTGACGTTCAGGATCAAGGGGGAACTGGCTCAGGCTCAGGACTTCTTCAAATACATCAAGGTCTTCACCCTGGCCGAGAGTCTTGGAGGGTTCGAAAGCCTGGCTGAGCTGCCGTAAGTTAATCAAGAGCAAGGGTTGGAAGAATTTTGGCTAATATCCCCTCCCCACCCGCCCAAGTTAATGATGCCATTGACCCTTGCCCATGTTCAAGTACTGACCTTTGGTCATGGAATAAACAAACTTCGTTCAGTGAGAACTCAGAGAAATAAGGGGTTACCCGTGGCATTAATATGGCGATGGGTACAGCTGAGCTCTTTTGTAAATTACATTGATTGCATAGATGTCAAGCTGGGAGTCTGACAGAGCGAGCCGCAAAGAACATCATAATGTAACCTTGGCTGGCTTTACCTTTTAAGCATTGAGCACAGCACATTGAGCTAACATAAGAGGAAAAACTACCTGAAAAGTTAATGATGAAACAATTGATATTTCCGTGTGTGCCTAACGCTGTGCATATTCACGCCATGAAATAGTACTTCAAAAAGTAATGCATGTATACTGCTGAAAACATTCGAAAAGTACCAACCTGTTTTGCATGTTTGACTATTTTCAGGGCGATAATGACACATGCATCTGTACCACCAGAACAGCGTAAGGAACTTGGCATTGATGATACACTGATTCGACTCTCCGTGGGTATCGAAGACGCGGAAGACCTGGTCAATGATCTGACCCAAGCTCTGGAGAAGGCTGTAAGTTCAATCTAGTCTCATGTCATGAATATATTTTAAGTTGCGTTTCCCGTGCTCTTCAAAAATTTGAATTTTTTTCCTCCTATTAAACAAATTTTCAAGTTGTATGTTTTATTCCAATATTTGGACGTCTGTAACCCTCTGAATTTGGTTTTTTGGTTTGGGCACAAACAGATATGCTTTGTGAATGCACTGGCTCCCGGTCTGTACATTTGCGATACTGATTTGGGGCAGGAACCAGCCTATCCTGTGAGAATGGAATTTCTGTCTGAAAGCCAGTAGTTCAAAATTGTTAAATTATAAATCAATTGCTAGAGAATTAGCAGTTCGAAAAGGAATCTATTTTTTTGCGGTTAAAACTTGAAAATAGCACGGGGAACCCAAACTTAAACAGCCATACATTGTGGTTAGTGTACACTCACGAGTTATTTCATCATTGTGAAAACAAACTTGTGATCGTGACAAATTTCAAGGTAGCACTTGTTTATGGCTGTGGTTTGGGACATGGCTTTTTACACGCAGGGCAGCATCTTGGCATGAAGAAACGCACACAAAAACATAAAGAAACGCACAAGCAAAATGCCACAGTTGCATCAAAGTTGTCTTTAGGCCTCTTGGGTAGCTGTAGTTTCTGCATACAAACAACGGAACAACTCATCACTTCAATCCAGCTAAGCAGGGGCTAGCCCCATAAATGTGGCCTATTTACTGGACTGCCTCCGTAAACATAGGCCACACATCCACATGTACAAAAACGTGTCGCATTTGCCAAATTTAGATTTTCACATTTAGGCTTAGTTTGTAGGTTTTTTTTGCTTTAGAAGCATACTCACCCTCTTTATAGGCTAATCAGAAAGTGCTGCCTTTTTCAGATGTATATTTTTCGTGAAATTTCCAGATTCATTTTTACACGTTTGCGTATCAAAATTTCAACATGAAATTTCACAAAAATTAGACATCTGAAAAAGGCAGCACTTTCTGACTAACCTATAAAGGGGGTGAGTATGCTTCTAAAGCAAAAAAATCCTACAAACTAAGCCAAAATGTGAAAATCAAAATTTGGCAAATGCGACATGTTTTTGTACATGTGGATGTGTGGCCTATGTTTACAGAGGCAGTCCAGTAAATAGGCCACATTTATGGGCTAAGCAGGGGCTAGTGTGTGGCCTTGTGCATTGAATTTGCGGCCTGTGGGTAATTCTGCAGGTTGTGTGTTTGAATCCAGCCGGGGGTTATGGTGCGTGTGCCCTTGGGCAAGGCACTTTGTCACTCATTGCTTCTCCCTACCGGGAGTAATTGGGTAGCTGTGAGGGCAGAGATAGTAATTGTGTTTGATTGTAGCTGCCTTGCGCCAAAATGGCTGCATTGAGCTGTATACTCCCCAGGGAGCTGAGATGGTATTTGAATGTTTCATCTGCCCAATGATCAGGGGTAATAATAATGTAAAGCGCTTTGATCTTAGTTAAAAGCGGTATATAAGGCAAAAAAAAAAAAGTCTCCGGTTTCTGGTATGGAGCTTGCCCAAAAAGTGATGCGGCGACGTGGCTTTTTTTTTTTTTACCTGACTTTTTTGCTTCAAATGTGTGCTGATGACTGCAAATGGTGTCCGACTAAACTTAGTGCAAATATATGGGAGTCCCGAGAGACCACATAAAGCTTATTCTCGACCATAACCCAATCTAAAAACACGTTAAAATTGTGCAGCAGCAGTATTCCAGTCAAACCAGTGATTTGGCGGTTTTGGGACATCATCTTTCATTAAAAAAAAACTTTTTCATTTTGCCGACGCGCATGGCTACGGCGACGCGCGCGCATACCAGAAACCGGAGACTTTTTTTTTTGGCCTAAGAACCTGTTATTATTATTATTACTTATTTGACCATCTGCTTAAAGACATCTTTTTGGTCGTTGATGTTTTCTTAAAACTACATTTCGCTCTCTCTTTGCAGGTTCCTGCATCTATGCTGTAAAATGGGGACATCCAGCAGTGACGACTTTGAGAATCAGCATTTGCCAACATGGCGCTTTGCATCAGTGTAACATGTTTTTAAATTGTCAATAAGTATGACGACACATTTTCTGTAATTATTGCAGTGGATTTTACAGACATCGGAATGACCAAGTACATAAAACAATTGCAAAATATTTTTTTAACCCTACATGTGGTTTACACTAAGAGGATAAATGTGAATTTTCCATTGCAAATTTATTGAATTCTGTCCGTTCTTAATAGGGGGCTGGGTATTATCTAAAGGTAATGAACATACACCATTTACAAACATTCAAAAATGAAACTGTCAAAATATTTTGAAATATCCTACTTGATTGTAAGTGAATAATAGGATCAAGCATTCTGTGAAATCGTTGCCCCTAGAATGCTGTCTTTTATTTTTAGTAAAGAGAAAGTAACCATAATTTCCTTGTGATTGTTGGGACAAACCATCAGCTTTTCAACATAAATCTAAGCTTTGTGTTGAAAAATGGAGATGTGTTCTCACAGGTTTCTCAAAAAGTATATCTTCCGAGCTGAAATTTCAACAGGTTAGTTTTTTAATTACCTGCTTGAGATTTATTGTTTTGTTGTTTCTTAAAATGGGCAAACACACATTTTTCCTTTCGCAAGTGGTATCCATTTCCTTTGAATACTTAGGGAAAAAATTCAGTCAAATACTTTTCAGGCTATTAATTCGGGCGATTCACAATGCAGTGTGCCACCAAGAGTTGGCAACAAAGAGTTAATTTTTCCCAGTGCATTGTGGGAGATGGTCGACAAATTCGCAGCGCGGGACATTTGAAATTGTTAGTTTTTACGCCCAGAAAGTTCGTAAGCGTATGATTCGAGTATATCTGTTTGCCCTTTTGTTTTCGTTTTATCGATATGGAGTTTTCTGTAAGGCGGCAGAACGCTTTGCCCCAATCTATAACAAATTAGCTCAAGTTTTCTACTGACACTCGTCCAAATGGGCCATGTTTTGTCGACCGTAAACTTGAAAAATGAACTCTCCATGGCAAACTCTTGGTGGCGCACTGCATTGTGAATCGCCCGAATTGGAAACTATCCCACAAGATTTTTGTTGTGAAATTTTAAATACATGTTGCCATTGACAGTCTGAGGCAAGACGGAAAAGTAAACGGGAAAGCATGCACCAAACGAGTGGGGGGGGGGAACAATAGGTAGTACATTTGTTGGAATATTGCAGCTGAAATTTCGATCAAGAATTTGGATTACCTTAAAAAAAAAAAAAAAAACCTTACGACAGCTGTTTTAAGTTTAATTTTGAATTTTTTGGTGTCAGAATTTTGACACTTCTGTATTGACGGGTCTTCTCTCCTGTAAAATATTATGGGTTGTTAGATATATGTACTAATCCCTTTTTCCCCCTTTATCTATCGTTATTTATAATACTGTAATACTTATTTGACTGGAATAGTAAAGGTATAAGGTTAGCGTAGAACAATTTGATTTCTTCCATTAGGTTTAAAGTATTTTCTTTTCATTTTGAAACTATTCGTGTATTAGATTGTTATGTTACAAATTGCGGACTATCCAGGCTTTAACAATTCCATTAATTGTGATTGCAACCTTTTTCAGAAAAAAAAATCATTTCGTTAACTACAAAATGTGTGAGTTTAAGGATTTGTTTTAGAAACCACATTGTGCATTGGTACTGTGTGTAGTGGCGGGAAATTGTTCAGCCTTGGCGGAGGTGTGCGCTCTCTGAGTGCTTTCTAGTTTGAAAAGAAAAATTCTCAAATGAGCAATGGATTTACTGTTTGTTGGCCGTAAAAACAATAGTGAATATTGTGATATTTTCTCAGGATAATTATAGCGTAGGTTATGTTGTGTACTATTCACAAATACCTCAGGCAGTTTAACAATTCCTATTGGTCAAGAGCCCGTCACGTGGGTGGTTTTAAACCACCGGTAAAGTACCGCTGCATTCTGCACCACATTGCGCAGTACGCACAGCACGCACAGCACGCGCAGCGCGCGCCAATTTCCATGTAAGGAGATTTTTAGCACTAAGCGCGAGGCGCGTACCATAGCTATAGCCAGAGAGGTGTTTTACAAATTATGAAGTAAAAGTGTTGAACAAAGTCGTTTGAAATGTATAATTTGTGACTTATTCATTTGTCCGGTATTAAACAAGTACGTTTGATGGCGGATTCGGCTTGGGCCATTAGCGGCGACCAGGCCCCTCCCTAGCCCGTTTTAAACGTATTTGTTTAAAACCGGCATAGCGCATATTTATTTGGTGGATGGTCTTCTAGGGTAGGCATGTACCAGGGTAATAATCATACATGTATCCTTGTACATGCATTTTAAGATTACCAAAGCAGCTTACAGGGGAAACAAAATATCAAACAACTGTTTTATTCTGATATTATTCACTTTGAATAAATATGCACTTTGTATATAAGAAGTAATTATATGCAGTTCGTATATACAGCCACTGAATTTTTAAAGTTGCGATGCAATAACTAGTGAACTGTTGCAGTGTGCTTAAAACGTAAATTATTTCACACATATTTGTAATAGTCGCAATACTTTGCACAATATCTATAGCGCTAAAATTTTGAATAATGTGACTTTTTCATGGAGTTAATGATAAGCACTATTTTTTTCCTGTGCAAAACTTCAATTTAAAATGCTGAATAATCAACTTAATGTTGATAACTTATATTCTATTTATGCTGTATTTCATGTGTTCATTCTTGTTAAATGGGTACTGAATAATATATTTTTTTCTCAAATGGTACAGTGTATACTTGATATAGGCCTACATGTTAATTGGAGTGATCTGAACATAATCACAATTAATACAACTTTTGAGTGGAATTTCTCGGAATGTATGTGTGATAGCAGTGTTGAATAATACCTTAAAAAGGCCTTCGCTACCTTTAGTAGAAGACACCTGCCTTCTGCTATAGCATTGCGGCAACCCCCCCCCCCCCCCCCCAATTATCATGGAAGCTATTTTAAATTTTCGGAAGTGAGAGGTCAATTTCGGGCACGATATTTCTCTTTCACGTCCGGCGATTTTTCAGTTTCCATAAATTGAGATGACAGTATAAATTTTAACAAAGCTCTTTTCGAGGATGATTTTCTTAAGAAATTAATGTACCAAAATAATTGCACATTTTTGAATTTTCGCACGAAAATTTTCTTATTCAAGGCGTTTTTCACGCTTTTCTGATTTTTTTTTTGAATCCAAGTCTTTCTTTTGTCCTTATGAAAACCTAAAGAGAATCGTTATCGTTTATAATTCAGTACCGTTACAGCGAGAAATGTGCACCGAGGAATACATCCAAAAGTCACCCATTGACTGCACACCGTCATGTCTCGTCTTCAACTGCCAACACTGATTGATTTTAAATGAAAAACAACACATTTTGCTGCATCAACACTCCATACCAGGCCAAAATAAAGAAGAACTTAACCCTTACAGTCCTGAATCCTCCAATTTTAATATGATTGTGCACACCCCCTAGGGAGTTAGGGCTAAAGCAACTTCCCCGTGTTTTTCCTTTCACCACAAAGTGTGGTACAATCTGGTAACAAGATTTCGCATATATAATCATTTGCATTTATCCCTAAAGTAACATACCGAATTAGTAAAAAAAGGCTTACTTGGACTAAAGATTCTATTTGTACTAAACACCCGGCTTACTGGCATTTCGAAGAAATCAAGAAATGTAGGTGATTTCCAATGATCAGTTAGTTGACTGATTTTTTTTGAAATACAGATAGAGAGCGGCAGTGGACAAAATCGTCATTTGTGATCGAAAGGCTGTGCATGGTTTTTCACTGTTTTCTCGAAAAGTATAATATCCAATGAGCTGAAACTTCGACAATTTAGGTTTTCGAACATTCCAAATGTTTGGATTTGGATTTTGAGTGGTGTTATTATTGGAAACGCGAACAAAATGCATGAAATGATCTTTAGGCCAAAAAAAAAAAAGTCTCCGGTTTCTGGTATGCGCGCGCGTCGCCGTAGCCATGCGCGTCGGCAAAATGAAAAAGGTTTTTTTTCAATGAAAGATGATGTCTCAAAACCGCCAAACTCACTGGTTTGACTGGAATCATGCTGCTGCACAATTTTAACGTGTTTTTAGAGTGGGTTATGGTCGAGAATAAGCTTTATGTGGCCTCTCTGGACTCCTATATATTTGCACTAAGTTTAGTCGGGCACCAGTTGCAGTCATCAGCCGACATTTGAAGCAAACAAATCAGGTAAAAAAAAAAAAAAAAGCCGCGTCGCCACACCACTTTTTGGGCAAGCTCCATACCAGAAACCGGAGACTTGTTTTTGGCCTTAGAAGACAGACGAAGGACGCTCACAGGGGGAACGGAATGATAGAAACGCGTTAAAGGGAATGAAACGAACTCCAGTGATGTGCACTGAATGAGACACAATAGCATGAATCTGGCAAAGGGACAGAGACAATGAGCATACAGGATGGAATAATACTTTATTTATTCAGATTAATTGGTAAAAACACCTGTCTCCCAAAAATACAACTATCCAATTAAAAGTAGTATACCAAATTTGATTAAAAACCGTCCAACAGAGTAAAAATACATTAACAACAATAATTCCCTTAATTACAATAATTCCCTGAATAATATGAAAAATCTGTGCCACAATTACATGTAGTCGTGTATATTATAATTATTTTGAGTTGCATTATAACAGTGTGTTAATTATCTCAAATTTCTGAAAGATTAACGAAATACAAAGTCAATTGCAAGACTGAGCAGAAAAATATATACTAGAAAAACTGCATAGTTATATTTCTACAGAAATTCTATTGATAGAGGATAGTCGTTGTGTTTTCCAAGCTTTTGATAGCATTTTTGAATACAACCGTTGAATGTCAATGAATCGAAAAATAAAAGTTTTGAATTTATGGGACGGAGCAGCGTTTTGTGCATTTTCACTTTGACGTAGGCCATGATGACATTTCATGCCAGATTGACTTATTCCTTAAACTTGAGCACCCTTCGTATTTCTTAGACCTCATGGGTAGACTTTATGAGTATAGCGGCCGTCTTATAGGGCATCATTTGTTACTTTAATTCAGTAACAATGAGTGCTTAAAAGGTTTATTTCTGGTATGTCACAGCAAGACAAAATGTATTGCCTTGATGACTGCTACCTATAAGGTCCATATACGCCTTTTTTGAAATATTGTGGGCAAGAGAGAGCGCCTTTTTTCAGTGGATGACCTCTCTTGTATATTCACCCGCAAATGTATTATATTATGTTATTCATTTTTTAAAAACTATTTCATTGAAAATAAAACATCGTGGGATTAAAATTTTTTTACCAAAACAAACTTAAATAAAATAAAAAGTAATTGACAACCTCGGGGGGGGGGGGGGGGGGGGGGGCTCAAGCCCCCGAGCGCCCCACCTCCCCCCGGATGTGCCACAGCTAGTACTGGTTTTGTCTGTTGTACAATATTCTCCAGTGACTGTATTATTAATAATAGCAGCTCAATTTCAGTGAGGACGCATATGCAGACACTAAAACCACCACCTATCAATCATTAATAACAAAACTCTTTTTAATATACATTTGCGCAAGCAGTGCATTGAGAATTTCAAAATGTCAAACTAGTTTAAAAAAAAAACTAAAACTATTTTCTAAACTCAAATGAGCATTTAGATGCAACACTCAAAAGTTGTAATTCTTTTCACTCACTATAATACTTATTAATTTTAATTATTTTTAATTGCAATTCAAACTGAAAGGTTCAGTACTCAAATACAGTGCAAAAGAAACCGACTAAAATACGTTGCACTACGTGCTCTATGTAAATTAAAGCTAATGAAAATGGATGTAATGTAATTACAAAAAAAATAGCTCTTCCCTAAGTATTTTGGTAAACTAACTATGGTCACTTTGTAAGTGACCCTCAGAGAGTTATGATATCCCAGTAAAATGAGGTTCTCAATCAGCAAATCCCAAAGTTAAAGGGTATATGAAATGTGTAATTTTGGTTTTTATATGCGAATTTCCGTATTTGTTTTTTCTGTTTTATTCAAAGATACAATCAACAATTAAATAACAATAATCTATGTACATGTATAGTTAATCATCTGCTCTATAGGTACTACTGAATTACACACAACAAAAATTCTAACAAAACAGTTTACTCGACATGACGAAGCTGGAGTTCCTGCTCAAAAAGGATGATAAGGTTGGAATGCTGGCCAAATTTAAAACGACTCACTGTTTGTTTACCTATATTAATTAAAGTATTTAGAAACCGATAACTATTGTATGTTTCCCTGACCCCGAAAAGAATATTTTCCACGGACAGACTGATCGATTTGCCATACTTAGATGCAGCAATCTTTTCGATTTCGTTCCAAAGGGGTTTTACCATTTTACACAACCCAAAAAGTGTTCAATGTAATCAATACTATCATGACAAAATGTACAATTTTCTGAATCACTCTTCTTCCTTTTGCAAAGCCAGACTTGCTTGGGGTAACACTTATGAATGATTTTCCAATTGATTGAAAAGGGCTTACTATCTGGACAGCAATAGTTGAGCCTCTTCCATATTACATCCCAAACAAAATTTATGAGTGGGGAATTTGTTTTTCCAAAATGTCTCTGCTATGGGGGAAGTGAATTTTGTGTCAGTAAATTTCTTCCTGATGCGCTTCATATTCATCTTAATTAGCTCATTTCGAACATCAATATTAATGTTACCAATCGTTTCTTTGGAAAGTTGTTTCCATTCCACGAGAAGGGAATTAATGACAATATAATATTCCAGTAAGTAGTTACCCTTGTTGCCAATGATTTGCCTAATCTGATCAGCGGTCATGAAATTACCGTGGTTGTCTTAAAGATGATCAACGTAAATGACACCAGCTGAGATCCAGTTTTTCAGAAAAATCGGTTTACCCTTGAATTTGACTGCATGGTTGTTCCAAATTCTTTGCTTCGCAACTTCAGTAATGTCTGCAGCCTCTGCCCGTGGGCTGACTGCAACCAAGACAAAATGATGTTCTTATAGAAGGGCGCAAGGTTATTCAGATCAGAACAGCAGAGCAAATCTTTGGCACTACAGTTACTGTGAAATACAGAGAGATCTGGACCAAGTTTATCAAATTCAAACAAAGCACAATTCTTCCACGGAAAGATATCATCATTGGCCAGTTTTTTTTAACCATTTCAAATGCAATTGTTAATGTGTTAACATTTGTTAATGTGTGATGTTATTTCAGGCAGAAACCTCATGATGTTATATTTCAGCAACAAAATTTGCCAGAATGTTGGATATTTTGCAGTAATTTGTAGTTTTTGTTTTCCTTGGTGATTCCTTGTTGTGTCGTACATGGCAGTAGGCCAATCAGCAAACTTTTCTCACAAATGTTTTCGCCAAATACATTTTTGGGTTCACAATTCGAACGGAGAACCCCCTATCTGAACAGTGCCTTCCTGAAATGACATCATAACAACAGCGCCCTCAGTTGTCCGAAAAAGCAGTTTCAAGAAGTGCACTTCCTCTAATTTAAAGATGTAAGACATAATTGTATGCGATTTAGAACACATTTTGACCGATGAGAATCATATTTACATCTTGTCATGTGGCATTGACGGAGAAAACGGCTTAATTAGGTAAAATTCATGACCAATTCTGTAAATTCACTTTGGTGTAAAAATAAAATACAAGTTAAAGTCCATTGGATGGTTATGTGAAATGGCAGAACACTAAAAAAACCCTCAAAACTCTAAACAGAGAAAATCGTTAATATATTTGTAGTTAAGTTTCAGAATTTTCACACAGTTGTGGTCATTTGTAAATATAAAAAGATTTGTCTTTTTCCTTTATATGTCGTTTCAGAAGATCTTAAAACGACACATTACGTATGACATTGAGAACATTATCAAAAATCCAACCACGAGCCTTTAGACGTTGGTGGCAACAAACACACCGGTCCTTAAGCGCGCATGCTCAACATGACGCAAACAATGGAAAAAGGACCAGTGTGTTTGCTGCCACCAACGTCTCAAAAGTTTTCAATTAGAAGCTGTTACTTAATATGATGGCACCACACATATCGCACAGGTGGCACGCGCGCGCTCAATGCTCCTTTGATCAATAGGATTACGTTTTCACGCGTGCGCCGCAAATGAAGGACAAGCGCGTACTCGTGGCATTACCTTATTTGGTAAGTTATTTTTTTACTGACAAGGCATAGGCCCAGTCGTCGTCTGCTGTTCCTTGTCCGCATCACTTATATATCCCACATCGTGTCGTGCGTCTTGCAAAATCTCATGCACCAACAAGATATCTTTATGACTGACGGTGGGGCATTCTTTCAAACCTTTGGACGACACAAAAACATCGAAAAAGTCACTTTCTAAAATAATGCTGGGTAAGTTGTCATATTAATGTCAACAATACAGTCGAACATGAGACACGTCTATTCGGTTTCTTTTTGAAGTTTTCCAACAAGCATCCGAAAAAAGTCCCCCAAAATGGATAGTTGTTTTTAGATACAATCCATCTATCATCCGTTTGTTTCGTTGGTCTACATCTCATATAAAGTAATTTACGTATAAACGTAAATGCAAAACTTTCAAACACTGTTTTCCCTTGGTAGAAACATTTACCGTTATTCTAATCTGTTATCAACGTATTGTTAAAATGTCCAATCACTGCTTTTCCCATTTCTATAAGTTACCGTGTTTTGTTATATCTTATAAAAGCTTAATTTGCCACGAATACCTATAGCTCACCTTTCATAATACACTGACGCACTGCCTCTGCTTCGTACTGAAACCCAGCAGTGTTTGGATAATTAAACCCTTCTTTGCTACTAGGAAGAGGAAATTCCATCACTTCACGTTTCTCCTCAATGTCCATGGCTCTATCACTTCTCTGAATGAAGGTGGTCACTTCCATCTTCAATGGACACCAAAACAAAGGCGGAATCTGTGATAAAGTTCAGATAGACGAGATTTTTATGACGTATTACTGAGGATTTGTGACGCCAAACTCAGTAACAACAGGCAGCGCATGCAGTGAGAGCACTGTTATGGGCTGAATGATCTAAATTCCATCGATAGTTCGAAGGCAACAACACATTTAGTGATTTTCCTGCATTTATAACTCTCTTACTCCAAAAAAATCCTTTACAAACTCGAAGCTTCCAAACACGCATGCTTCTACATTTCCTTCTACTTTTCCTCTACTTTTCCTTTGTCTTTCTATTAGAACAAACATACTGCAGACTCTGAGCTGCGCTTGCAAAGGGAAGCCCAACATTTTAAATAAGGGAATAAAATAAACACTCTGTTTTATACCAGTTTGAGTCTGGATACTGATAATTACCCGTGCCGACGGCGAGGGTAATTATCAGCATCCAGGGTCCAACCGGTCTTAAAGGGGCATTACGGCCTGAAATCCCCGAAAATATCATGTTTTGGATTGTTTACTTATGCTTTTTCAAACATCTGGTTGAAAGGAAACCAACATTATGTCTTACCGTTCCCTAGAACCCCCCCCCCCGATTGTTTACATCGGACACGGACGGAGTACGCATACGTTTTTGCCTGCCGTTTTCATTCAATGCACGATACACGGTATGTGTACACATAAGTTACCAATTAAGGACAGCCAGGTATTTGGGGGTCGCAAAAGTGGACCCCGATTCGTTCTCGCACGAATAACACAAAAAGAACACAAAACGCCCAGTTTTTAAAGGATGGTTGTGTGGATGTTTATATCCGATTTTTACATTTTCTTTTAGATTAACATCCGGTCAGAGCGCGTTTTGTAGCCCAATTGGGCGTATTCCAGGCCGTAGTGTCCCTTTAAACATAGTGTTTAATACCCACCAAAGCACATATTAATTCCCGTTCATAAATACCTTCGGTCAAAAAATCAAAACTTTTCGATCCAAGAATCAAAACAAGGCAACAATTTAAAATTTCCACGATTTTTGTTACAAAATGTAACTTCAAGTTTTCCGAAAAATCCCTCTAGCTATATAATAGTGTCCAGGGGCCAATTTCACGGCGCTGCTAAGCACAAACATTTGCTTAGCACAAAAAAGTCTGGCTTATAAAAGCAGGTTACCAGCCAAAAATCCATGTGATGTATATTGCTCGTGATTAGCATTCAGCTGTTGTTTGCTTAGCATGAAAATCACTGGAAGTTTTGGCTGGTAACCTGCTTTTATAAGCCAGACTTTGTTTGTGCTAAGCACATTTTTGTGCTTAGCAGCGCCCTGCAGCTCGCAAGTAAGTCGTTAACAACCCCTGTTCTGAATTTGGCCTTATGCTCCGCCCACTTCGCACCTGGACGACAACACGTGCATCTACCCAACGCCATCCGATTCGTCAACTCATTTCAGTTTAAACCACGTCCAGTGCACAAAACATTGGAACAATGAGAACCGGAAGTATTTAGCATACAAAGTGGCGTGTTTAGCCAATGGCGCTAATCAGTGGTGCGTGCGCGTGATCCAGCATCGCGTAACAAGTTGCTCTGTGATTGGTCCAAACGTCATGGGGCGGGGTTTCATTATAAGCCACAACTTGCCTTGATATATCCCTTGGTGCCTCGGATTTCCATCTCATTTGAAAGATACACTCCTGCGCTACTCGTCAGCGTTGCTATGGCGTTGTTAGGGAAGACAATGGTTGTAACAGCAAGCTCGTCCACGCCTATGGAAACAAATCGGGATTCTACACAATGCAGACCAAGCGCACCGACGAGTGTTTTCTTTGATGTCCGCACTTAAGTTTATATTTAAATTACGTTCACTTTTGCTTAAGCTTTCGCTAAAATATTAATATCAGATTATGTATGACAGAACAGAAAACAGAAACAAATTTACTCTAAGTATATACGACGCCAACATTCACTAACATGATTTTCTCCAACTTGTGATCAAAATGAAGTCTAAAAAGTAGTAGGGCCCTACACAATTGAAAAAATAGCACTTAAAGGTAACGATGTTATGGAACTAAAATATAGCACCTTTCGAGTTTAGGTCCCCTATCATGATACGAAATGTCAAATTAAATAAGATGGAGACGAACGTATTGATCTGAACGTGAAACTCCAAAAATAAATATATTGATATAAAGATATTGTTGTGACAAAATCAATTCCAGAATAAGCTCACTTTGAAGATTTGCTATGTCTATTATACGTCAGCCTAAAACGTCTAACGAATAGTTATGAACGCGTTTCCATAAGCACGTCTGGACAGTTTCGACTTTGGACAACTCTTTTGATTAGGCTTAGGCCTACCTGATGGTGCAAGACATCCCTTGGTGGACCAAGATATTGGCGTCTGATTGAACAGCATCAGCGTCACGTTAACAAGAAACACACCGAATTCCATCAGTCCGCCTCCTCCGAACTCTGTCAAGAATCATAGATCACTGTGATAGTTGCAAGACAGTTTCCGGTCAACGATGTGATTAATTGTCAAAAGCCTTCCGGTTTCTTACAACGTATGATTTCTGACAACAACTTGTGACGTATAGGACTGTGCAGCCAACACCTTAAACTATTTATAAGACGGAATTTCCGTAGGGGTGATAGTTTTGCCCTTCACCGATCGGTGACGTATAAAAAGTGTATACTCAGTGTGTTATCTCCGAGTGAAAGTTGGAAAAATCACTCGGGTGGAACTCGAACCCACGACCTCCTGCTTTCTAGTGCAGACGTCCTACAACTCGACCTTGCGGAATCGCCTGGCTGGTTCGAATCTAATAGCAGCGGGTACTGTAATTAAATTCCATCTTATAAATACCTTCATTGCGTTAGACGTACCCTACCCGCTGCTACATGTGCATCAGATTCAAAATAGCCAGCCGATTCCGCAAGCTCGGTGGTCAAGTGGTGAGACGTCTGCACTATAGAAAGCAGTAGGTCGTGGGTTCGAGTCCCACTCGAGTGATCTTTAACCAACTTTCACTCGGGAAGTAACACACTGAGTATGCATGTACAGTGTTATAAGTCTGTGAAGGGCAAGACCATTGACTTTAGTTGCCACTTTGTCGTACTGGTACGGGATTAGTGGGTCTCACTTAGCTTCCCAAACGCATACCTTTAAGTTGCACTCTTTCTTCATTCAGGATGGGTACCCCAAACGAAGCATTCACTGACTTCACGTCACCAATGTCTCCACCAACCCACAGCTCTCGCAATTTCGTATACGCCGGAAAGAATCTCGACCACCAACTCTAGGAGGTTTATATTTTAACAGACATTAATTGTCGTCTTTTCATACCTTTGTGTTCGATTAATTCATCCTGAATGTTGGAATACTAAAAGAGCATAGCTGTCTTGATTTCGCCAATATGACCTGCGGCAATGAGCTCAGGGAGTTTTACGTTCACTGGGAAAAATCGATTCTACCAGCCCTATACAGACTAAAAAGTCACATCGTCGCTTTTACTCATTTAAAGTGCTATGACGTAAACAACGTATATCTGTAGGAACCGATAAATCACCCGGTTGCAAAATAATTACATTTTTACAAGTTTAGAGACCATTACTACATCGTGTTTAGACCAAAAATATCAACAGTGAATGAAAAATGCAAGTCTGACTGGTCACAATAGCCCAGGGTTGGCCGAATTAAATCACGTTGATTTAAATCAGTGATTTAAATCGTGATTTCAATCACATGATTTTAAAAAAATCACTGATTTAAATCCCTTTTTTAGTAATCTTATTTTTGCAAAATAAATTGATTGAGGGCCATTTAAATCAACTTTCCACTTAATTACAAAGTGTAAGATGTTAACACATTCAAACACCCCTACTCAATCAATATCGACTCGTGCAGGTTTTGCATCCACCCGAAATCATTGTTTTGATTTAAGTCAAGATCTGAGTTTAAAGTTTTTCTTAGAAGTTAGAATTTTAAATAAGCACACTCACTGTTGCTTTAATAATTCCTTTACAGTTATATTGTGAATCAACTGTGCTGGTGTAGGCTTACCCTAACCTTCTAAATGGTTACGTGTATTAAAGTCCCAATTGATAGTCTTATTCCTAATGTTTCTCCATAACAATTTAGATTGAGAAAAAAATACCTTTTATTAAGGTGAAGGCCTGATTTCTGTTCTCCACCTTGTACGAAGGACCATCAATTATCCACCTTTAATTAAAGTGTCTTCAGTAGTAATGTACCCTGGATCCTATGAGTTAGACTACATGTAGATGAAATAGATTGATTTTTTTTAATGACTGATTCAATACTTTTTTTTCAAAAGCATTTATCAATTTTTTGAGATTGCGGTTGATGGGTATATAGGAACCTATACAATTCTTAGTGATGGGTGTAAGTGTGCATGGGGAGATTTAGACAAATTTTAAGACTAATCAATAATCAAAAATAAAATAAAAATAAAAATATCTGAATTAAATAAAAAAGAAAATCAAATTTAAATCAAATAAATCCGATTTGATTATTTTTTATTTAAAAAAAAATAAAAAAAATCGCCAACCCTGCAATTACCCATGCACCAATACTTACCTCCATGAAGAAGAGGTTTTTCTCCTTGGCAAGATCCAGAATCTCCTGGACTTCTCTCTTGCTCAGCGCCAGGGGTGTCTCACAAATGACATTCTTACCGTGTCCAAGAAAAAGCTTGCACAAAGGAAGGTGAACGTGGATCCATGAGCCAATGTGTACGATGTCTACAAAAGAACAAAATGTGCCACCCAATACATGAGAAGCATGTTAACAAAATCAATGTATTATACAGGCCTGTATTATACAGGCCTGTATTTTTGTTGAACAAAATGCACAGTGTTAATAGCAACAATAATTTTACACCAGTGTTGAGAAACTAGAGAAAGTGTATTCCACAAATGCAGAAGTTGTTTACAACAATCGAAGGTACATAAATATTAGCTCCAGTAACCACTTACCAACATTGACATCCTTCGCCAGAGCCTCATATCCCTCATAAGCCGTTGCAATCTTGTGTTTCTCGGCGAACCTCTTCGCACTAGCTTCGGACCGAGCAGCTACGGCAACCACCTCGTGGTCCTCGGCAGGCAGAAGGCTGAGCGCCAACACGAAATCATTGCTGATTCTACCGGTCGAGCAAATACCCCACCGTAGCTTCATCGTGAACAGATCGTGACAGAACCTTGTACTGGTATATCAGAATCTAAGTTAACCTAATAATAATTGAGCCTATACAGTAAATGAGGTTGTTTTGTGTAATGGCAACTGAAACGCTAAGTTCTAATTCAACGAAGGCGTGGATCTGACCCTAGATATAGTGGTGTATTGAGGGGGAGCTAGCTCCTGCATAACACCAGGAGTTACAAGGTCAGTATGCACGGGCATTTATACATAATTGTAACTTGATATCATGAACTTTGGCCGCTCGCACGGCGCCGTTTGTATGTGATAACGTTGACCTAGCTTCGCCTGACCTCAATTCAATTCAATTCAATTCAATTCAATTCAATTCAATTCAATTCAATTCAATTCAATTCAATTCAATTCAATTCAATTCCATAATCCATTCAATTCGAGATTATTTCCACACAGCAAATGGGAATGAAATGATAATTATACAAAGATATAGTCAGCGGTAGAATTACAAGAAAGACTTTTGAAAAAGGAGATGCATGCTTATATGGAGGCATATATATTCAAAAGACCTCGACTCGAGGGCCAAGTTCAATGAGCTGCTGTCCTCAGAAATTTGTTTAGCCTAGACACGTGTACGTGTTTAGCAAAAATGTATATCATCAACAAGACTGTCATGCATGTAGTGCTCTTCTCCTGTAATTATAACATATGCGAATTTTCTTAGGTTTTTTCTGCCTATCGGGTCCATCAAAGACTTATACCGGGACACAATTCCGTAGGACAAATTCCTGTATCAAATTCTGTTGACTAAAACGAAAAAGAATCTAAATTGTCTTTTATAGTTAGGTATTGAATTACGATCAGTATAGGCATTTCCCGACTTCCAGAGGATATGGCAGGCAATGTCAAATAGTTTTTGCGATTTTTTTTTTTTTTTTACATTCTTTAAGTTAAAGATGCACTGTTCGTACACTGACAAAGTCGTTCAACTTGTATGATTTATCTGAACGAATTGACTTCCATTTTCAATTAATGTGGGTGTCTGCAAACCTCTTGAAAGGGGGGGGGGAAGATTTTGTTCTGGAATTATTTTAATCTACTTCCAAGTCTATTACCTTCGCCAAGGATCGAGGCTTTACCGGCGTTGGTTTGTTTAATTGTTTGTTGGGGTTGGTTTGTGAACAGGATAAAAAGTTATAGACGGATTTTCATTAAATTTCAAACTACTCATGCTACACATCGTGAAAACTAATTGCACGAAATTTCAATTTAATCCATTTTGTATTTCTTGAGTAGTTCATCGGAAACGAAGTTGTTCTTTTTCTTCACTTGTGCAGCATCCGTATTGATGCGTTGTTGAGACCACTATTTATGTGGCGCGCCCTCTATTATAGTGGTCTCGATTTGGGGCCAACAACTCAAGAAATACACGTTACATTAAAATGAATTTTCGTACACTCATTTGTCATGATGTTTGGCATCATAAGATTTCATTTCATGAAAAAACGTCAATTAATCAAGCTATTATGACCGTAACAATACAGGATTTTATTTGCAACAAATGCAATCCTAATGGAAGTCAACATGGATTTTTACGTTTAAAACACTAGATTGTTACGATCATATTATATTTATAGCTCCACGGTTTCTCACGCCATTCAAACTACTCATGCTACACATCGTGAAAACTAATTGCACGAAATTTCAATTTAATCCATTTTGTATTTCTTGAGTAGTTCATCGGAAACGAGGTTGTTCTTTTTCTTCAAATGTGCAGCATCCGTGTTGATGCGTTGCCGAGACCACTATTTATGTGGCGCGCCCTGTATTATAGTGGTCTCGATCTCCACCACCAAACTCGATTAGGGGCCAATAACTCAAGAAATACACGCAGTGGCGTAGCCACGGGGGGCGTGGGGGGCGATAGCCCCCCCCCTTAATGAAATCTTGTCGCCCCCCCCCCCAGTCGCCCCCCCCCCACTGAGATTTTGAATTTCTAAAAAAATTATCATTGATCTAGATGATGCCCCCCCCCCATGAAATGTTCCAGGACCCCCAGCGCCCCCCACTGAAAAATTCCTGGCTACGCCACTGAATACACGTTATATTAAAATGAATTTTCGTACACTCATTTGTCACGATGTTTGACATCAAAAGATTTCATTTCAAAATAAAAACGTCAAATTATCAAGCTATTATGACAGTAACAATACAGGATTTTAATTGCCACAAATACAATCCTAATGTAAGTCAACATGGATTTTTAACGTTTAAAACACTAGATTGTTACGATCATATTGTATTTATAGTTCCACGGTTTCTCACGCCATTCAAACTACTTATGCTTCACATCGTGAAAACTAATTGCACGAAATTTCAATTTAATCCATTTTGTATTTCTTGAGTAGTTCATCGGAAACGAGGATGTTCTTTTTCTTCACTTGTGCAGCATCCGTGTTGATGCGTTGTTAAGACCACTATTTATTTGGCGCGCCCTCTATTATAGTGATCTCGATCTCCACCACCAAACCCGATTTCGGGCCAACAACTCAAGAAATACACCTTACATTAAAATGAATTTTCGTACACTCATTTGTCATGATGTTTGGCATCAATAGATTTAATTTCATAAAAAAACGTCAATTAATCAAGCTATTATGACCGTAACAATACAGGATTTTATTTGCAACAAATGCAATCCTAATGGAAGTCAACATGGATTTTTAACGTTTAAAACACTAGATTGTTACGATCATATTATATTTATAGCTCCACGGTTTCTCACGCCATTCAAACTACTCATGCTACACATCGTGAAAACTAATTGCACGAAATTTCAATTTAATCCATTTTGTATTTCTTGAGTAGTTCATCGGAAACGAGGATGTTCTTTTTCTTCAATTGTGCAGCATCACATCACATCCAATTGGATGAACTTTCCTGAATGGGATAGACATTTGCGGCGAGTGACTGCTTTAATATACTCAGGGTTTGATGATCTATCCCAACAAAGGAGGGCGCTCTGCATTTCATTTGCATTACCCGTGCCGTAGTTAATTTTGCACGCGCACGCTTATACACATGTCATGCATGTTGTACAGCTTTTCCGTACGGTATTTCGTTTGCTTTATTAATAAGGACCCAGGTAAGTGTTATATTTGCCTTAGGATAGCCTCATAGTCTTGGCCTAGTTACACATTATTTATGAATGCTTTATGTGTTTTTTTTCCTGTTGAAAATGGAAGCTTGAGTCTAGACAATGCTAGACCATGTAGACGCCACTTAGCTTAGCCTTAGGTAGCCCCACTAGTGTGGCCGTCGGTATGCTGCGCTGAACCTAAGGCCACACACCGTGGTCCGCGCACTACTGAGGACGTTTTCATAAAATTTGCAGGGAATTTCTTACATATGGTTGTATTCTACGATGTCCCATCTATCACTTCTGGGATGCTTAGGTGTAATGATGTTCAATTTTCCGATATATTCTTGAATCTTTCTGGAGCCCATATGCACTCGTGAAACGTCCAGTGATGGCAGCCATTTTGAATGTGCCGTAGATCCTGAATAGAGATCAGTGCACGTGGCCCCCAGACGATAAATGCATGGTACAGGAAACAGCCGTCGCATTTGCAACTCGCGCCCTCGCTCAACAAGCAATTTGCATACACGTGACGTCACAGCTTGAGGTCATCTCTTGTCACATTCAAAATGGCTGCCATCACCGGACGTTTCACGAGTGCATATGGGCTCCAGAAAGATTCAAGAATATCTCGGAAAATTGAACATCATTACACCTAAGCATCCCAGAAGTGATAGATGGGACATCGTAGAATACAACCATATGTAAGAAATTCCCTGCAAATTTTATGAAAACGTCCTCAGTAGTGCGCGGACCACGGTGTGTGGCCTTAGGTTCAGCGCAGCAAACCGACGGCCACACTAGTGGGGCTAAGCCTTAGGCTACACTTGTGACTTGTCAAACAGGACAACTCGTACGCTATTCTGTTTCTGTTCCATAAACGTACAAACACCTAGAAGGTTGTCGACGTACGTTGGTCAGGTTCAGGTGTGCAGCTAGTCCGAAACTTAGAGTCCCAAAACTTAAGGTATCCATATCATGCAAAAGTTTGTGCTGCATAATAAAACCAGTGTGAATCAAATTTGCAAGCTTCTTACTCACTACAGTTTCCTCCATAATCCCCGAAACTTCTGCCTCGCAAAGTTGCTGTTGTGAGTTTTGCATCACCAAAAATTCAGCTTTTAATTCTAATTTTGCAGAGAGTTATCGAAATCCAAACGTGAGACATCACGTTGATGTGTACTGCAATGCATTGTGCAAAAAAACTCCCTAGCTAGAACATTTTCATCTTGTAGATAAAGCAGCACCCTCTTGTTGATCTGAGTGAATGCAGAATGTTTCATTTTTTAACAGAGGGCGCTGTGTTCATTTGGCTATCAATTAAAAAACAAGTAAGCTGCAAGGCTCTTCCTACACCTACCCAGAATACATTGGGAATCACACACCCATTTCCAGAGCATGGAGATTGACGTGGATGGGTTTTGAACTGCCAAAAACTTGCCTTAAAATTGGATTTAAGGTCTCAAATTTCGCAGATGACATGCTTGCAACTATAGCATTTTGATGTATGTGTTGTGTGGGCATTAATTAGCCTAACGGTGAGTAAAAAAACGTCAGTAGTAATTTTGCACGTTTTTATGCACTCACGGTCCCAGTCTGGTGTGCAGCAACTAAATTCTTGATTGGGTTTTGGAAGCCAGGTCTTGAATGTTGATGTTGTCCAGTGCCAGTTTGAAAGTCTTAATGTCAGGTGAAGAGCGGATGTTAGGGTGAAGTTGATTCCATTCTAGGATGGTCTTACATTGAGTAACGAAAGCAGTCCTTATTTGTGGTGATGACTCTATATGAGAAAGGTCCGGTCTATCTTGTAGATACCCCCCTTGATGAGTTGACGATGTTCAGATAATCTTCCATATTACTCGGTGTAAGCCCATGGGTTTCTTTGTAGAGTGTGACTAATCGAACTTTGGTCCGTCGATCTTGAAGAGTGTCCCATTTGAGTTTATTCATCATTGCGGTAATCCTTATCTTTAGGACACCTCTATTTTTTATGAGTTCTGTTCATAACTGACTTTTGCAGATGACTGTCCAGTACCAAAGTGACTTTTGCAGGCTAAAGCAGTCTTTTTTCTTCAGATAAATTCATGTTAGTTGTAATTTTGAAAGCACTTTCAAAGAAAATGTGACTTTCCTACCCTTTTTTGCAGTTTGCCATCTTGGTTTTTGAGTCGGTTTCTGTTCGTCATCGTCGTCTTTCTCCCTTAATTTCCCTCTAAAATCAAAGCCCCGCCAGCCTTTTCCCACAAAATTAAACCTGCTGACATTCATGAAGATGTCATACTGTTCAGATATATGACAATAAACATCAGAATGTCACTTTTGAGTATCATTTAGTCAGCTCTTTTGGTGAGTCTTTTAACCTTATATAGTAACGGGGTCCTAAAAGTAAGGATTACCATCATTGTTGAGATGCTTGACTCCCTGCTGTAGTCTTGCATAACAAATCTAGCTGCTCTGTGTTGAATGCTTTCTAATTTCTTTTTATCCGACGCATGATGAGGATCCCAAATGGCGGAACAATATTCTAGCCTTGGTCTGACTAGTGTCTGATACGCAATGGACTTGGTATATTGTACAGATCCATCTGGTGGCAACAGTTGCACGTTAATCAGGACATCATGCCGGACAGTTCAGACGAGGAATGCCCAGAGCTTGTTGCCACGGTAACGGCCAAAATTCCAGTCACAATCATCACAGGTTTTCTAGGGGCGGGGAAGACGACGCTCTTGAATTACATCCTCACCGAGCAGCACGACAAGAAAATAGCGGTTATCTTGAACGAGTTTGGCGAAGGTAGGCTACAGACAAGCCTCGGTTTCACGGCCAGATTTTTGTTATTTTGGGACGTGCAAACAATGGGGGGGGGGGGGGGAAGGGAGGGGGGGGGGGGGAGGGGGAGGGAGAAACAGGGTGTCCTGGAATCCATGGACAGCATCTGACACGGAATGGCCCTGCTCAGATCCCTGTTTATGTACCCTCCTGATGGTTTACACTTTTGCCTACAACTCATTTCATTAGGGTTGTGCGGCGGAACCGGGTACCCAATTCCCCGACTGCTGATTATCTGGAACTGGTTTCAGATTATGGGATTGGGTACTCGTATCCAACTTTACAACTTTAAAGGGAATATACATCATTTGTTTTTGCTGTAATTTTCAGAAATGGATGGAATTGGGGGGTTGGATATACAACGTATATGGCAAATATAGTTACACTGACTTTTTTGAGGTTTTGGGTTCGAAAATGCTATAAAAACCAAGAAAAACAATCATTTTCCTGTAGTCTGGTTCAGAAGAAACAGAGCAGTTTACATACATTGGGGAATTGTAAGGTCAGGGAACCAGTCTAGCTGGCTTGTACCCGTTCATAGGTTTGTAATCGATTGCAAACAAGTGCGATGGTCAATTGGGGCCAGTATTTGAAAAAAAGCCAGTTTTTTCCAACGCTGATCGGCTGATCAGCGTTGGAAATTGATACAAAAATACCACTTTTCTTGAAAATGACAGTATACCAGGTGCCATGATTTTACAGGATGCTTTACACTGTCATTCACTAACAGTCCAGCAAGGTATTTCAAAATGATTTGGTAGTTTTATTTTTTGATGTTTGCAAATGTTGTATTTTCCCTTTAACTGAAATATCAGACAATGAAAAGTAAAGGTTTTGAATGTCATTTGTGAGGAATTTTCAAAATGAAAACCTTAACCGGGCTACATGGAAAAGAAAAACATAAATTTCTTTTCTGATGCTCGCAAAAGTTGTGGTTTTCACCATGTTGAACAACATTTAGAATGGATGGTAGTTTTTATTTAGGCCAAAAAAAGATAGTTCTGCTTCCGATTTATATATGGCATTTGAAAAAAAGGGTAGGTAGGTGGTTTTTTTTTTTTGGAAAGCTGTGTATAATCAACGGTAAAAAGTAAAAATTGATGGTTTTGGATGTTTTTTCCCCTCATTTTTCCCATTAGGGTAGGGGCTGTCAGAATACAATTAGTAGGGAAAACGGAAGCAGAACTTTTGTTTTTTTTTACCCTAGTATCAGTTTATTGGGTTATATTTCTCAAGATTATTGAATTGTTGCAACATAAAGATTGCTTGGTGTTAAAAGCATACATGTGTATATCATTTGCATTTATCCCAAAAATAAACAACAGAATCATTAAAAAGCTTACTTGGATTAGAGATCATACTGGTACTTAACATCCAGTGAGATTATTCCATCTGGCTTGCTGTGATTTAGAAGAAATAAAAAAGAGGAGGTGATTTCCAACGATCAGTCAATTGACTGATTTTTGGAGTAAAGAGTGCTGTTGACAAACTCATGTTTCGTGATCAAAACAGTGTTCATGGTTTTTCACTGTTTTCTCGAAAAGTGTACGATCCACTGAGCTGACAGTTCATCAGGTAAGGCTTTGAACATTCTTCTTTGGATATTAACTCTTTCAGTGCCCGCGAAATTTGAAAAGTTTAACCCTAAAGCGCCCAACTTCGAGCGTTTTTGTTAATTGTTCAAAATTCTGTATAAAAAAAAGTAAATAAGTTTTACTCACTAAATTTGTTGTTGTTACTCTCTGGTATATCCTTGATATATTGGAAAGTCAAAAGTAGTCACAAACATAGTGATACACCCTGAAACACTGGCCTGAACACAGGGAGATTCCGCACTTTTTGCAGAAAATACGAGATTTAGTGCTGCGCCCTCTCGCAAGAACTCGAATGAAAAAATAAATACAGGTCGTACATGCATGAAAATGGTACCATTAGAAAGAGCAAGAGCGCCCCCTTTTGATAACATATTTACTCTACCTCGTACATGTACGAGGTTTGGCAATTTTAAGTACGAACATTTACGAACATTACCTCGTACATGTACGAGGTTGGCGCTATTGGACTAACAAATATACCTCGTACATACGTGTACGAGTTTGGCACTGAAAGAGTTAAGTGTTGTTATTAAAAATAACAAAGTGCATTAAAGAGCAAATGATATAAGTCACAGAGCATGTGATGGTAAGTGTCAGTGATTTCAACACAAGTGTGTGTTGTGCATAATCTCATTCCAGGCAGTGCGGTGGAGAAATCCATGTCCATCGGCCAATCGGGCGAGCTATATGAAGAGTGGTTGGAACTACGTAACGGCTGCCTCTGTTGTTCTGTCAAGTAAGTCCATGGGTGTCACTAGAGGGGGTGTTTCGGGCACACCCCTCCCTTAGAATTGAAATGAAGTCGTTAAACACTGTTGTGTTTTGTCCGATGATGACCTCGCATATTGGGGCCGAAGTTGCACTGAAAGTTCCCGCATATAATTTTACCGCACGCTACAGGTAAACCCTGGACAGTGCTGTATGCAAACAGTACAGTGTCAACGCCAGTGCCAGTGGTATGGCGGACTAAACCCAGCCAGTTTCCGGCTTAATTTCAAGTATACCCCTCCCCCCGCTCCAGCAATGTTCCCCTAAAAATGTATACTGCTGTCTCAGCATTGAATGTTCAGTACATTTAAAGTCAATTATTAGAAGCAACTATTATGCCAAACTGTCTTCAGTTGAAGCCCTACATTTCAGTTCATTTTGTAAAACTTCCAAACTGTGGCATGTGTGCCCACAGTGACATACATGCAACAGCAACAGTGCCCTCAGTTTTCAGAAACTGCGTTGAGCCAATTCCAATGTAAAAACAAGGTGCACTTTGAAAAAAATGTAAACACAAAGAGGTTTTCTTAGTATTAGCAAACACAGCATTGGGATTTTTTCACAGAATGTTTGGTTATACAGGGCGAGTCGAAAGTAGGAAATCCAAATGGCGGCCCCTGTTTTTAAAGAAGTATATAATTTTGTTCACAGATCATTCTAAGTGATATTATCAAGGTAATATTGTATTTGTGTTCAAAATTCCATAACTTGAAAATTACTGACTGATTTGTATGGTTCTTGTACAAAAAGAAAGCTTACTAATAGGGCTTTCACATTCTAGGTCTGGAAAGCGCTACATGGAAAACTTCTGTACAAAATAAGGGGGAGGGGGAGCGCCATTTGGGTTTCCTTTTTTTAATCACCATGTAATTCTCCCTCCAGGGATAATGGCGTCAAGGCAATTGAGAACCTAATGCTGAAACGAGGCAAATTTGACTACATTCTTCTGGAGACAACCGGTCTGGCTGATCCAGGTAGAGGAAGGTTTTTGTTTTTTTTGGTGGGTTTTTTTCCGGGGGGGGGAGGGAAAATCTGGTCGTTTTTTCCCAAGGTTTTAGTCCAGTTTGTTTTAAAATGTGAAGTTGCGATTTGACCTGAGAACCATAGGGTTACAGGGTTGTAACAATGCTGTTTTCACAGTTTCAGAAGCTTCGGTGGGAGGGACAAACTTTGTTTTTAACCACTTCGTGCCGGAGGCCGTGATAACACGCATTGGTCGTTTTTGTGCATAGGCATGGCTGACAGGTTAAGACGTCAAGATTGACTAGACTTGCCTCCGGGTGACATCTAAACATGCTATTCCCTTGTGCCTTTTGTGCACACACACAAAGTCGTTGTGTGGGTTATTGTGCACAGCCTATTGTTGTACAATTTGCTCTCCAGTGCACACCCCGGAGTATTGAAACGTGAGGTTTCGACAAGAAATATCGTACAAAATACTGTTGAAGTCACCCTTGTGAATCACTATTTGTTGCGTTTGTCTGTACAATGTACATCAGAAGTTGGCTGGGAAATTTTGCCTGTTCAAAATTTCAAAATTTTCGGCAAAAATAAACCCGGTGTGAAGTAGTTAACCACGAGTGCCCACTGGATTAAGTTCAAAGAGTTTCTTCAACTTTCCTGTTTGAATGCTGAATATTTATAAAAACCGATTCCTCACCATTTTGAAGTGCAATGCCTCACAGGTTCAACACAAGTAAACCCACTGATTTTTAAATCTTTTTTTATACTTTTTGTTCCACAGGGCCGATTGCTTCCATATTTTGGTTGGACGATGAGTTGGGAAGTGATATATACCTAGATGGTGAGTTCAGGTTTACCCAAACTAGTATTTTGTTCACAAGATAAAACAAAATCCTGATTTTTTCTGAAAATTCACTTTTTTTACCATTTGCTCTTACACTCTCTGAAAATGGAGCCTCTATTTGCACGAGTGCCTTCATCAAGGAGTGGATTCATCAAGAAGTGAATACAGTGTATTACAATGTAGTGCATGTGCTAATTGGTTAATGGTAATTAATATAGAGCATTTGCTTTTACCGTGATTTTCAGAAATAGACGGATTTGCGGGTTGTTACATTGTACATTGACCTGTTTAAAGCTACAGTCCATCATTTGTAATTTGTGCATTTTGTTCGTTTGAAGCAACAAAAGAGTTCAAAATCTAATGAAGGATAATGAGCAACTATCTGATGAAGTTTCAGCTAAGCTTCAGCTGTACATTCCGAGAAAACAGCATTCTAAGATCTCAATTTCAAATCAAAAGTTACTGAATCATGTTTTGAATTGTTTTGAATTGCAGCTTTACGCGACGTCGCGCACTGATCCGACGAATTACAACAACCGCGCGCGCGCGTGCGTTGTTCCAATACTTGTGCGCGCTGCGCTGAATAACAAAACGAACTACTAATTTAAATTTTCCTACGGTGCTTCTTAAGAATCACCGTTGGAAATGCCTTCTTTCGTTGATTACTTCAAAATGACAGCTTCCCAGAAAGAATAATTTCACAGGGAGTTTAGTTTCCTTACTATCTTTCAACCAAGTATGTTTTTCAACAATAATTACGCCAGTTACTTTTCGGATGGCTGCAAATGATGGACTATAGCTTTAAAGTACTGTGTTCATACATGTATACCGGTAGTTGCTGATAAAACCCCCCCCCCCCCCCAAAAAAAAATTGCTGTAAGCTTGTAGTCTGGTTCCCTGAGCCTACCTCAGACGAAACGGAACAATTTCCGTCGGGGAACAGTCAGGTCACGAAACCAAACTACATGTAGCTGGCTTGTATCTATTCAGGGATGTGTATTTAAACTGTTTGCAAAAGAAATTATGGATCATACTAAAATTGGTAAATTGGGGGCTATTTGAGAAAACGTCATGTTTTTTTCCAATGATGGTCAGTCGACCATCGTTGGAAATTGATACAAAAATGCCGTGATTTCACAGGATGTTTGAGACTGTAATAGTCAAATGAGGTATTTCAAAATAATTTGGTAGTGTTGTATTTTGATGTTTGCAAATTTTGTATATTACCTTCAATTTAATGTGCATATCTATGATATTCCTTTCCACTGTTGGAGCATACCGGCTGAAACATTTCAGTACCATACAGGGTAATTTTTTGTGATTGTCTTTTGTTCAATTTTTGTTTGTTTGTGCAGGCATTGTAGTGGTAGTGGATGCCAAGTATGGCCCACAACAGTTAGACGAAGTTAAACCAGATGGGGTCATAAACGAAGCCATTAGGTAAATGGAAATTATTTAAAAACTAATTGTGTTTTGAACTTAACTAGTGATTTTTCTGTGCATGAACATAAGTGGCGTTTTTTTAAAGCAATTTTGAAAGCTCTGTGTGTCAGACTCATTGCATGCATGCACTGGTTTGCGAAGTAAGGGTATTTCTAAAAACTCACCTTCTGGACAAATACCCATTCACTCCTGGCAAGTAGGTTGAAATTGTGATAACGTGTCTTGCTGAAGGACACAAGCCCTGAACTTTCATGTCAAGCTATAAGTCCACTGTTTAAAAGTCCACAGTAGTTGTATTGTAACATTTATTGCCTAGTTTGGTCTGTATTCTGTTTTTTAATTTTTTTATTCAGACAAGTAGCTTTGGCAGATCTTATTCTGCTCAACAAGACTGACTTGGTTGCCAGAGAAGAACTTAGTGACGTTCACAGACAGATCAGGTATGCCTGTTGCTTATCGTTTGGTATGAAGTTGACTGCTGTGATGTGGGACATTCCTTTATGTTACACATTTCTTTATGTTGAGAGTGTTATGCTTCATCGTTGATGCACATCACAGGAGTCAGAAATTAGTTTATGCATGTATCGTGACAGTGAGACCTAAACATTAAACGTTGTGGCATGCTCCCTGAGAAATGAATTAAAAATCATCGTAGTGTGTAAGGTTGCATTTCTTGTGAGCTTTCCTGTTGGACATGAATGCATTTTTCTGGACTTGCAGGGCATGCCCTACACGTCTGACTCACTGCACCACATGCTACGTCACGCGATACTCCTTGGCAGGCCTTGCGCTAACTTTTTTTCCTGGCTAGCCCACTGGGCTAGTTAACTGGATATTTTACTAGCCCGTTTAGAGTTTTACTAGCCCGTATATAAAAAAAAAGAAAACCCCCAAATTTGTTATCATTTGGGTTACTTACGTTTGGCAAAAATCGCCACATTTTGCTTGCTTTTGGACCTCCGAATGTGCGCGGTGAACAAGAAAAAACTTTTTTTCAATCAAAGAGGGCGCTGTTTGCACGCGGCTTTGTGTAGACTTCGTATCAAACGCTTTCAAGGACTCCTGCAACGCCCAGTACAGCTAGCTGTGGCCAGTCAAGGTTAGAAAACTTGATAAACGATGTAAACGAGAATAGTGTGCACGTGCGGTACCACGCCGTACCGTGTGCTATGCTATATACTACAACCCACCAGTACTCTGTTCGTGGCATTCGCGGTCTGGTCTCTTATATCGCCCTATCGCGCGAGTATCATGTTTCAAAAACACAAATAAAAACATCCACAACGACTCAGTTTTTGCGATCGTGTATTTACTATCACCGAAAGCATTATATAGTTTGATCAAAATTTCAACAGGTAGGTTTAATACTGAATTTTTCACTAGCCCACCAGGCAACCAAGGAACCAAGTTTAGGTAGCCCGGAGCATTTTTCGCTAGAATTTGTACGCCAGGCTAGTACTATTTCGAGGCCTGCTTGGTGATGCAAATAGCTTACTAAGCAGTGTTTGAGTGATGTAAATGATGTCATAGTCACTTTCAGGAGCTTGACTGTTCTAGGCAAATGAAATCACGGTGTCAGAGACAAGATACCAGAAGAACCTTTTACCGCTGTGTAAAATTATGAGGGAGAAATTCCTTTATGGCACGGGAGTCCTCTTAGAGAAACAAATTGAAGAAAAGTTTTTGAGGTCAACCTGAGATCTGTGAGATTTTTAGGAATTGGGCATTGATTGGTTGTAGTGATGTAACATTGTGTTGATGTATTGATAATCATACAAGAATGCCATATTGACCAATTGCCAATTGACCCATTGCACAGTGCACCCTCACTAAGGGTAGTGTTTGTTATTGAAAACCAGTGACAGTGTAGAGGCATGTACATGTAGGATCAATGTGTTGATCCTGAAAGTAACCTACCGACTGCAGTTGAGTACATCGCAGGTTCTCACAAGCCCACCACGAGTTTATCACAAGTCAACTCATCACAAGCTATTTGAACTGTGTGACAAAGGCATGCCTGCGTTATTGTGCATCACCTGTTATAAGATGGTACCCGCTGCTATGTACATCAGATTCGAACCAGCCAACCGATCCCGTTAGCTCGGTGGTCGAGTGGTAAGACATCTGCACTAGAAAGCAGGAGGTCGTGGGTTCGAGTCCCACCCGAGTGATTTTTTCCAACTTTTACTCGGGAGGTAACACACTGAGTATACAGTGTTTAAACGTCGGTGGAGGGCAAAAACCTAATTTGATTTACATCACCTGTTACTCGTGATCTGACTTGTGACTGACTTATTATTTTGAGTTGTGATTGATTAGATTGCAATAAGGATAATGATCTTGATTATCTTGATTTGTATTGTATTGTGGTAATCTGCATTCAAGAGGTAGGGTGTTTTGCCTTGGTGGTTTATCGAATGGACTGATGGAAATCAAAAACAATTTTTTGTATATTTTCCAGGTCAATTAACAGTCTTGGAAAATTAGTGGAGACACAGCGAGCGAAGTAAGTGACCCTTCTTAAACATGACTACTTTGTGCTCATTTGGCAAATGGTAATAATATATTATTCCAGTGTTTTATTCTGAAGCTTTTTGTGGCGTACAGCAGACGCCACAAAAATGATGAAGAGCGCAACTTTGGAAAAACCTACTCTCCACAAGAGAAATGATTCTGAGAATAACCTGGGGTGTTGGAGGTAATAGATACAATCTGCACATGTTCAAAAATGAAACTGTCAAAATATCATGAAATATCCTACTTGATTGTAAGTAAATAATAGGATTAAGTATCCCGTGAAATAATTATGCCTGGTGTGCTGTCATTTTCGAGAAAAGAGGAATTTCCATCATTTCCTCCTGATGGTTAGGACAAAACCATTGTGCTTTCAACGGAAACCTATGCTTTGCATCAAGAGAAATGAAGTAGCATTTTCACAGTTTTCTACCCCAAAAAGTATATCTACTGTGCTGAAATTTCAACAGGTTAGTTTTTTTAACTCTTTCAGTGCCAAACTCGTACATGTACGAGGTATATTTGTTAGTACAAAAGCGCCAACCTCGTACATGTACGAGGTAATGTTCGTACTTAAAATTGCCAAACCTCGTACATGTACGAGGTAGAGTAAATATGTTATCAAAAGGGGGCACTCTCGCTCTTTCTAATGGTACCATTTTCATGCATGTACGACCTGTATTTATTTTTTCATTCGAGTTCTTGCGAGAGGGCACAGCATTAAATCTTGTATTTTCTGCAAAAAGTGCGGAATTCCCCTGTGTTCAGGCCAGTGTTTCAGGGTGTATCACTATGTTTGTGACTACTTTGACTTTCCAATATATCAAGGATATACCAGAGAGCAACAACAACAAATTTAGTGAGTAAAACTTATTTACTTTTTTTTTTACAGAATTTCGAACAATTAACAAAAACGCTCGAAGTTGGGCACTTTAGGGTTAAACTTTTCAAATTTCGCGGGCACTGAAAGAGTTAATAACCTGCTTCAGATTTGTTGCATTGCTATTCCTTAATTGTACTGCAATTTCACAAGCAAAATTGCAATTTCGTCAGTGATGCACATGTGTGAAGTTGTCAGAGATTTTTGCTGTAGAAATACATGTAAGGCATATTTCAGATCTGACACTGTGTGTGAGTTTGCCATATTGGAAAGAGTAGCAAATGAATCAGGACTCTGCCCGGCTTGCGCAGTCGTAGCCAATGTTGGCAAACTTCAGCACTGTGCACGTACATGGAACATACAGTATTTTTTACATTTGCAAGTCCGTGAAAGATGAAAGAATATATAGAGTGCATCACTCCACATTATGCATCTGGATCATTCTTTAACTTTGGGATCCACATTTTTCCTGTCCCTGTTTAATCTGATGTCTATGATTTTATATTTCTGAAGCAATTTTTAAAGCAGTTGCCCTCCAAGAGTAATCATGAATAGCAAACTACCTACCCAACAGATAAAAAATGGTTTGAAGTCATTCTTAATGATACTTGCATGGCAAATAGTACCAAGGCAGCATGGATAGAAAAAGTATTCACATTTGGGCCCTAAATTTATGACCCATCTACAAAGTTCTCCCAAGATGAAAAGAAACGATTCTCATCTGTTTTTCCTTTTTTTTTCAAATTCAAATCAAATTTTTGATGCTTGTTTAATTTTATTTGGATAAAGAGTTTTACAATGATTGCATTACACCGGTATTATGTGTCTTTTGTAATTTTATTACAGGATCGATTTAGATATGATTTTAGATCTACATGCTTATGACAACACAGGAGAGAAGAGGTAAGACAGATTCTGAGGAGACATGTTGAGAATATGCAGGGTTTCTGTTCAGTGGGTCACTGAAATTGAAATACGAAAATTGCTTTAGACCCTGTGCATGAACAGTAGATTGCGTTCCTCACCACACATACTGAACTTTGTATCCTTGTGGAGACATTTCTTTGTTCTTGTGTAGTAAAGTTTTCGAGTTTGAAAGTGTAGTTTCAAAATGCTCTTATTTTAACCAGAATTAATTTCCTTGGATGAAATTTGGACTTAATATCCCTTTTCTGAAACTCTTCCATTTGCGACATCAACATACCTTAGAAATTCCTAGTTTTTGAGTAAAGTACATGTATCTATTTTGCGATAACCTTGTGGAGACGTATTCATCTATAGAAATTGCTCTGTGGAGACGTACACAATTTTTTGTTCCCCATTGTGTGCATGTCTCCAGAGGGCACGGTGTATCAGATCACTTCTCTGAGAGCTCTGTGTGAACACACTGATTTCTGGGTGCATGTCGTGAAGTAAACATTTAGTTTTCATCTGAACATGCACAAACCAGTAGCATATATAGCACATGCTGTCTTTGTTTCAAGTGCACAGAGCCCATAATTGATTCTTTATCAATGGTTGATACATGGGAAAGTTTCTTCTTCTTTTTTTTGAATTGCTAATGCCCAAGCAACACAAACGTTTTTGTTCACATTGAATGAGACATTGAATGAAAAAAATCAGCCCACAATTATTTATGGAATAAGCACTGTACGTATTTCTAATCTTTTGCAACCTCACAATAATTCAGTGGGCCTTTTTCTGTGCATTAGCTAGAGGTGCTAAAGAATACCAAAATGAATGCCCCGATTTTTCAGAGGGTTTCACATGCCCCAAATAGAAATAAAAAGGTAGTTTTTCCAAACTCTCCGCTCCGTTCACAAGTACCCCCTCACTGGCAAAGAAAGTACAGTTGAGGATGACCTACCGACGCCATCTTGCCTGACTGAAATTTTGCAGCAACGCGCGGCCGTACCACTGCGTGTAGTACATGTACATGGTACAAATCCCCTGGTGTACGTGCGTCACAAATAAGGAACGGTGCGCGTCAACCAGCGAAATGTCCCGCCCATGGGGCGTCGTTGCTAGGTAAAAGGGCGCCCTCTTTCTTCGGCACACGGAGCCCACAGTTAAAAAATAGTTGGAATAAATTCGCTAGAATAACGCAGCACCTTGTATACCCTTTATAAAGGTGCTACATAATGGGACTCACATTTCTCATAAAACTTCATTTAACTGTCTTTAAAAATAGATATAATTACCAGTGCCTTGAGTACCTAATTGTTGGTAGATACGTGCGCTATATAAGAATCCGGTGTTTTTATTATTTTTACATAAGCCATTAGTTGACTAATGGTCCTCGCCAGAACTTGCTCTAAATGCACGCAGAGCTTCTCCTATCTATGAGACAAAGTGTACTTGTCTTTTACAGCGGACTAGAAATTCTTCAAGAAAGAGGCCTGGAAACGAACATCGTCTTGGACGGTCCGAGTCACCATCTAGACCCCTCAGTCACCACAATCACATTCCGGCTAGAGGGCAGTATGGTGTCCAAAGACCTAGACACATTTATGCAGGTAGGTGTGCTGATGATCATCTGCCTAGTCAGTGTGTAAGCGTGCTGTGAATGATAGAGGGCGCCATGCAGACTAATTGAGAGCCAAGCGTGGATGCTTAGGGGGGTTTTCAAAACCAATGCTTTAATTTCTCTATGCCTTTGGTTTGGGGAGAAATAAGGCCCTTGACTTTGGGGACTCTAGCCTTGGTCAAGTTGTTCATTGATAGTGTCCGTATTGCCCACTAACATAAAAGCTAGCCATGTGCTATGTGCATGTACACTGTATGAAGCGCGAACAGCGACCTCACCCAGCTACCTCATGCGGCTGCATGCAATATGCAAATGAATTGGCGAGGGACGAACGACTTGAACAACGGATCGCATTGGCCTATCTGTTTCTTTATTTAGTCGCTGGATTTCTATCCAGTTAAATTTGGTATGTGGACTCCAAACTTGTTGGAGATTGTACATGTACCTACACTACCCAGTTCTGTATCCATGTGAAAATATGAGCGTACACGAGCAAGTTCTGAATAATAATCTCATCTGTACTCTCTTATGAAGTCGTTGCTGGAAATCCAGCGACAGAAGAAAACAAAAGATAAGCCGTTGTCCCAAGGTGTTCCTTCTTTTCAGTTGATTTGAATATTGTATAGCCATATGAGGTCGCTGTTGGCCCTTCGTACAGTACATAGCGGGCGGCTAGTGTTTATATTGGCGGCCATATACCGCCACGGACACTATCGATGAACGCCTTGACCAAGGCTAGGGGGCCTCTTGCTCAGTATGGGTCCATGGCCAGTTTCAAATAGGGGTGTGCTTGTACGAGAATCGGGTAACGGCTTGAAAAAAAACCACAGGTACCCGAATACAACCCCAAAATTTAAATCTCAGAAGTTGCTGTACAAATTTTTCATAAAGGTCCGCACGATAATACTACCACATTGCTGCGTCAATACAACAAGATACAAGTGTGTGCAGTGAGCTAAATACATGTAGCTTTACAGAGTGAAGTGCATTTTCGCAAGCGTCATCAACGTTAATCTGTTGGGGATGCAGTGTGACACATGAACATGCATACATAAGCACGCTGTATGTCAATTACTAGCATTTTTCCTGTTATAAATTTTAACTTTAGAGTTGAGTGGTTTGGATGTGGGATTGAGAACCCAAACCACAGATTGTTCAGGTTAGATTTTGAACCTTGGTCACAGCATCGGAAGGTGAGGGAAAAACCGCTGTGTTTTTTGTTGCCCCTACTGGTTGCCCCTATTTTTTTCTCCCAAACGACATCCGCATACATGGTTGTTTAGCACCCTCTACGATACTTTTATGATACGCACGCAGGTGTATAATTGTTTGTTTCCCCACGTTTTGGCGAGCAGTGCGACAGCTCAGTCGAAAGAGAGTAGGATTTTGCACCGCGAGGTTGCGGGTTCGAATCTCGGTTTTGCACCCAAATTTTTTTTCTTTTCTAACCTGAGGCTTTGGAAGATTTAAAAAAAAAGGAAATAAAGTCCAACTTTCATAACGTTCAAATTCACTTTTTTTTCATTTCATATTTTCTTCTCATGTTTTTAGAAAAGTAAAGTCCAAAATGCCATAGCGTACACCCATATGCGGATGTCGTTTGGGAGAAAAAAAAATTCGCGACAGGGCCAGCCTACAGGCCTTTTGCACCTCACTGACGCTGGGACTCACTGGCTGACTGACACACTGTTGCTTTTGAATTAGACCGGTTACCTATCTCACTGACTGACTGTCACTTGTGACATACACTGGTCTGGGAGCAGCTTGATGAGGCTTGCCTCTGTCTTGTAGCATCTACGTATGCACCACATGTGCATCAGTCTGGCACCACTTTTTGTTTCATGTACTTTCATGATACAGAAATACTAGCTTGCAGTCCTGTTCATGGCTTCCACCCTTCATTTTTACAAACCCTGAACTTCATGGCTCACAAAATGCTCTAATAGCAAAAACAATTGAGGGCATGCAAATTGTGATTTGGCTAGGCATAGGCAATGCTGGGCCTGTTTGCCTGCAACCTGATGAGGCTTGCCTACGTGTAGTTCTTGTAGTATCTACACCACATGTGCGTCAGTCTCGCGCCGCTTGTTTCATGTACATGTACTTTCATGATGCATGTGAAGGCATCAGTCAAGTTTCCATGCGAAAAGCAACAGTGGTTTTCATAAAATCATCACGTTACCACTATAGCTTATTCTACAATTTTTTTTCAGCCATTCTGAATCAATTGAATAGAGTTTTGTGTGCACTGGGACCAGTTTTACCAGTCTTGGCTTGTGGTTTTTTTACATTTCGAAGGATCTACTCTGGGAAAAGAATATTGTTGACGAGGAGAATCGACCCATGGAAATTCTCAGGATGAAGGTAAGTGATGCTTGGTTTCTCTAAAAACAGGTGCAGCTATTGTGATATGTTGACAGGAGAACAGGGGACCACGCTTATGGAGATACTCAGCACACAAACATGCCATGGGCTTCAATCGGTGGGGGACGGGTGGGGGGGGGGATATCATATTGTTTGTCCCCCCCCCCACTTTTTAATGTGGGGGGGATATCATATCGTTTGCACCCCCCCCCACTTTTTTCTTCCCCCAATGAAAGTTGTAGCCTGCTATAATGATTCTATAGCTCGGAATAGTTGATGCAGTGACTCCAAACTCGAAAATGATGTTTAAAAGATGATCTTTTGCTCATGGCTTTAGTGGTAAAAAATTGCCTCAGATCGCACCACAGAGCGTCTAGAATCAAAAATTTTTAGGGGCCCTTAAATGGGCCCCGAACCCCACGCCGTTAGGGCTTCGCACTCGCATTAGTGCTCAACGAGGTGTGTCTCCCCCCCTCCCCCCCCCCCCGACTTTTGAGAAGCCCTTGCACACAAAAATTGCTAAGCTTGGAAAATGATTAGTTATCCAACGAGTGGGAACAAGGAATAATGTAGTGCTTCTGTGTCCCACATGGCCACAAGGCCGAAACAAAGTTATCTTTAAGCAAACTTGATCAACGTACAGAAACCTTGTGGCGGTTATTCGCGCTTCAGCTGGACTGGCGCTCGCATCTTAGAATAGTGCAATACACGGATTTTGATATGGACCATGCTACTTGGCATGATGTAGCATGGTTTGTTGCCATGGATGCCATGTTGCCAAGATAAATGTGTGTGTGTCTGTTTACTCCCTCTTTATGTTCAGCTATTGCTGCCAAAATCGATCCTTGATGTATTGGGACAGGAATTGCCCTCTAAAACTTCTGCAGCCAATTTCATGAAATGGTGCATAACTTATGCTGGGCATGGGAATTACAACAAATTTGTTGTTCATCTGTGCAATAAACATATGATCTTTTTTACGAAACATAGCGTGGCTGTACAACCTTTAAATAATAGCAGTTTAGACAAGGATAATAACAGCAAATACAACGGCTGTTTGTGTATAATTTCTGTCAAGACACAAAAGGGTCATCATATGATTTGCTGAACTGGCAAGTGCTCTTACTGAAATAAATATTGGACTTTCTTCAATGAAAAGCAGTCAGTGATGAAGTGCATTGAAAATACTGTCCTCTATAGTTGCTCCAAACCCAGCTGATAAACTTTTTTTGGTTATGCGAACATGTGATTCTGTTTTTCTTTTGTTTTTTCTTTCTCTCTTTTTTTGGGGGGGGGGGTATTTGAAAAAGGCTGCCTACAAGTGCTGTAGTTGATGCTGCTATACATTTGAAAAAAAGTATTTCTTTATATGTTTTTCCCCCTGAATTGAGGAAGTTGTCTCATCCAAATTTCTAGCTCTTAATATATTCAGACTAATCGTCACCATACACACAGTGTACATTTGTTTGATTTAACAGACTTGCAAAGCATTGATCAGCAGTTACAGCGCCCTCTGTTGGCTCAACTTAGCCATTCCCTTTGTCTCAAGATCTCTTCCCGTTTCAGACGTAGTACTTTTTTTGTGCCATCTGTCAGTGAATGTTGGATGATTCTTGAAAGCACTAAATTCCACAACTGTGAATAAAGGTAACTGTAGGTGGTTTTGTGGTCTACTCATTTGAGTGTAGATACATGTTTTAGGACATACGAGTATTCAGTTAGTGCTGTGCATCGGAAACCGGGTCACCTATGGGATCGGGTACCCGTAACCAACTTTACAAATGACTTAGTTAGGCCTACTCAGGTTTTGAAGTTTTTTGTGGTGAATTTTCAAAATGAAAACCAGGCATATATGGGAAAACAAAACACATTTCACAGTATGACGCTCACGAAAGCTGCAGTTTACACCATAAAGCTATAAAGCTCACTGTACCCACTTGTATGCTGATGCGGTAGTATTATCGCATGGACCTTTGTAAACAATCTCAACAGCAACTTCCGACATTTGAATATTGGCATGTGTGGCGTTGGGTTTCTTTAACGGGTACCCATGTTTTTTTTGTTTTTTTTTATCAATCAAGTACCTGGTTCCTGGACTACTCGTAAATGCATGCACCCCCACATTCAGTAAGTTTTCAACCACACGATCTTGTAGTTTTTTTTGTGTTAGAAGAATGCATGTGAGTTTTTGGCCACTGATCTCCATGTTGACAGGCTGAGCTGTTCAAAAGTAAAGCTGTTCACCAGTTCCTGATCCCTCCATTCGAATGTGAGGAGGGAACCAGCCTCAACCAATCCCATTAATGAAAATAATCAAGCTAGATTGTGTATCTGTGTCTGTATATTATAGTCGGTAAAGTATCCCAGGGGAAACATCACACCAACTTAGAGAGCATGCAATGAGAAGAAATTACAGTTTTAGAGATGGGAGGAAAAGCCCAGAAGATATTCTGGGGAAAACCCACGGAATCAGGTAGGGACTGAAAACCCAATCCACATATTGACCCAGTGAAATTCAAACTGGGTCACAGCAGTGGAAGGCGCGGAAAGGACCGCAACAACTTGACTCCGCCAGATTTGTCTAAAAGTTTATACTCATGTAGAACTTTTTTTTTTCTAAACAGAAATTTTACATAAAATATATTTGGTTGGAATTTTGATTTTTTTGAAAGCAGTGTGTAACAACTTGTTCAGTAAAAAGTGTGCATATCAATTAAATTAGATATCTTTCTTTACAAATCTTGTTCTTAAGAGTAGTAATATGGCGGACGATGACTTCACTTCTGATGGCAATAGAGCATCCATATTTGTATAATTATAGAGATCACTGGTTTTGGTGCATGGCCATTTCTACTGTTCAATTGAAGTTTGTACTGTTCAGTTGAGCTCCGTGTGGCATGTGTGCTGCCCTCTATTGGCCCAATACCTCCATTTCCCCCCACACCTGCTGGTCTGGAGAAGTTCTGGCTCCACCAGTCAGCCTTGGGCAGTTGCAATAAATCAATTAGTGAGTGTGAATCCTGCATTCCTGGCATACTCACCTTTCTTGTTCATTGTTTGATGACCACACACATACAGACAGACGGGATTACTCATTTTGGTCAACTGAAATCATCTTGCCTGGGCTGCAACATCAAATCAATGCTTCCCCCTCCCTCCCCCCCCCCCCCCCCCCCCCCCCACCAATCGCCCCATAAACAGTTAAAGCAGTTCAACATAAAAGTCATTGTTTGAGGAACTTCCTTCTTCTTTTTTTTCCTTTTTTTTTTGCAATTTTATAAATAATTAACATTGGAAAGGGGGTGGGTGGGGGGGGGGGGGGGGGTGGGGGAGTGGTTAGCCACCCCACCCACCCCTTGGATCCACCTTTACCTTGAACAAACATCCTTTATTGTCATTCGTGAAAAAAAAAATCAAAAAGTGCATGTGCTGGAAGTACATGTAAATACTTCGAATTTGGGAGGAGGAATTGCTATGTGTACATGTCTTATTAAAAAAGGCAGTTTTTGGAGTTGCAGGAGAGTTTCTAAATGTTTTTGTGGATGTCCAGCGGAAATTGAAAGTCATTTTTATATATGAGTTTAGTTTGGGGCCAAGGTTGAGGCTTAAGAAATTGTATTCACAAGTGACAGTCTGTCATGATAGGTACAAGAAGTCTGCCACATTTTGCCATTAACGGCTTCCACAATGCAACCTATCTCCTACATTCCACTTGATGTGGACACCGCCCTCACATGTCAGCCTCACCTGCCTCTACCACCCAAACGCGGGTCTGCCTGGCACCAACTGCCACAGCTATGGCCCTGAGGGGCCTCAAGCCAGGCAATTTAAAACATTGATGACATGTACAGATGGGCCTCGTCTAGAGGTCTTAGGGACTGGGACCGCACACACGCAAGCGTTAGGGGGATTGCAGGGTTTTAAAGGGGCATTGTCTTGTGAGTTGGCAGTGGTAGTGCATGAAGAATCGGATGATATCTGCATCTGTAGAAAGACTGTGCAGACTTCTTAGTACATGTAGGTTATTCCGCGCAGGGCACAGACGCGGTACTTAGCAGCATATTAATTAAGAACGCCCTTTGTGTGAGTGCGAGAAGATTTCTTTTGTTGATTTTAGATGTGAACTGAAGACAGTTGGTAAGTTCCTAATAGGCCCATCTATTAGCAAAGGGCCTGCCTGTCGGGAGGCTCTTTAGAGGACATGACTACATGTATATTATGTATAGCATGGAGGAAGGAATAGACTCTTTCCTCCACGATATAATGGTAGAAGTGAATATCATACTCCGCCGAACTTCCTATAGTAGGCTATTTGTGTTGGTCCTTTAAAAGATGTGTAGCAGCCATAAAAACTGGACAGACACAGTACCCAATCCCCCCCGCCCCCCCCCCCCCCAAAAAAAAATACTTAGCAAAAAAAAAAAAAAGAAGAAATAGTTTGAGGAGTCTTGGGCATTCTGGCTGCCCTGTTGAGAGAAAAGGGAACTGCTGGCTGAGGTTAAGCAAACAGCATAACCATTTGTAACAGATGTTAGAATGCTCCAAGTTAATGATGTGTCCATCAGCGCCTTCCAACTAGGCCTTACCTGCAGACCTTCCTGCCCCCCCCCCCTCACTTGTTGTGCGTGCCAGAGGATGAACTTCTGGGGGTGTTGGGTGGAATTGGAGTACAAAAATTGGTGGCAGTCTAGATCTGGGTGCATTGGTCTGTTAGGTTGATGGTATGGTGAGCTTAGAGCTTTGGCTGAACATTATTTTGTTTGCCATTTTTGGTTTTGATCACTTTGGAACACAGTTCTGATTTCAGATCAGTGTCTTCATGTCAGTGAGCGAGTTTGTTACAAAGCCGAGAACAGATTATTGAAGTCGGTAATTGGTATCGACCTACATGTACGCGCATATTGGGGCCGAGGATACACAAAGCGTCCCCGCATGTTTTTTGCCATTCTGCACGCAACACGTTTACCCTGGGACGTATGCTGCTGTCCACGCCGGTGGTGCAGTATGGGATGTACACCTTGTCTGTACAATCCAAGCTT